TTGGTCTGAGAGAATGGCAGAGGTGATGTTTTTCTTCTTTTTTTTACATTGGGAAATTTTCAGGGCTTGTTTACGCCTGATGCAGGAAACCCAAGCAGGTTTTCTTTTCTTTTTTTCTGTTTTATGTGCATAGCAAGTGTAAATGGAAAAAAGTAGCTAAGCGCAACAAAGGTCATTCAGATGCTTACTTTTTAATTTGGTGTAATCGTGATTGAGATACATTATTTGATATTAACAGGAGGATGAAACCATTCTGTCTCTAAAACTTATCCAAATATTCTGTTTCTCCTTGATGTTAACTCAATTATAATGTTAATGGAATTGGGCCGATTCTCTAATGCAATGATGTATTCACTTCTTGTTTGTTGTTATTGTTTTTGTTTTATTTTGTAAACAGGAAGTAACTTCTCTATCCAGATTGTAGTTGATCCAGTCCATCCTCGTATGCTACCACAATGCAGATTCTTAGGGGCAGATAATGGTGAGTAAACCGATTACACAATCCCTGAGTAATGGCCTTGAATGGCATAAAAGGTATATCGCGCAAGCTGATTTATTACCAATATTTAGCAAGTCAGCATGATGAGTGAAAGATGTTATTTCATGGTCATCCTGGTAGTTTTTGTAAACTATGAGATGTTATGATTTTGTTTTATCCACATGCTTTTTTACTAAAACAAAAACAATGGAATTCATTTAACCTATTCCCTATTGGAACCAGATGAATTGTATTATTAGCCAATGGGAATCAGCAGTCAACAGGTTAACTAATTGTTCTTCATCAGTCTTATTTCTTTGATTTCAGTTATCAATCCTGTACGGAAGCTCTTGAATACCAACCTCCACGCTTGGAACAGCCACTCATCTCTGTTAACAAACCTCCGTAACATCCTTGAGGTAGACTTCCCCACACCAGCAGAATCCCAGGTTCAGGTAGGTATCCCCTCCCCCCCCCCCCCCCCCCATTCCCATAGCTAGTTTAGAGAGACGGTTGTGGCATTGCAAGTTGCTCTGTATTGGTCCTGCAATCATCCTTCCTAACAAACCTATGTAAGGTGTTTCTAATAGGCTTCCCCATGCAGTATCACGGCTTTAGGTCAGTATTCCTAATTCCCATTTTCATAGCTAGTTTAGAGAGACGGTTGTGGCATTGAAAGTTGCTCTGTATTGGTCCTGCAATCATCCTTCCTAACAAACCTATGTAAGGTGTTTCTAATAGGCTTCCCCATGCAGTATCAAAGCTTTAGGTCAGTATTCCTAATTCCCATTTTCATAGCTTGTTGAGATGGAAAGCTGATTTATCTGTTTGAAATTTAGAATGCATTAACAAGTTGTGAAGTTAGTTGTAATAGATATACATGTATTTGTATAGTAAATTATGTTATAGAAATATATGAGCAAAAAAAAAAAAAAATTACGGTATAAGGAAACAAAGGATCAACGGTTTGTCTTTATGATATCCTCATATAAGTTCATTAATTTATACAGGGATCAAGTCATGGAAATTAAATTAAATTTATCTTTAACAAAAATTTATATTAGAAAATCTTGATTATAAAATCACTTGTCAAGTGCATTTATTTGCCGACATATACACGCCAGAATTTCAGAGCTTGCTGTAAGGCCTGTAATCATTGCATAGTTGCATATCAAGCAAATACTTCATCAATACATATTACAATATCAACATGTTTTTTATTCAAAAACCATAATGTGATACTATCTTTTCTTTGTCTTTTCTTTTCTCTTTATTTTGAAGGACTTTAAAGAAGAGTGTGGAATATGTTACTCATATAGCCTTGATTCAGTCATTCCTGATCAGGTCTGTGACAATCCCCATTGCAACAAACCATTTCATCAAACTTGTCTTTATGAGGTGAGCTAGCATTTTACCTGAATTTGTCATTTGAATGAAAACATGTCTAGAGAATAACCACTGTGAGCCGCAAAGTCACAATGCACAAAGTGAGTCGCAACTTTTTATGTGAGGAATTAGCATTTTACCTATAATTCGTCATTTGAATGAAGACATGTCAAGAGAATAATCTAGGAAATTCAAACTTATTCCTTAAAGAAAGTTTAGTACTATCAATTTGATTTCATTGTGAAAGTAATGATCTGGAAGGAATTGAGAAAGGTTGAATATGTAGTTCATATTAGAGTGCAGTTTTGGAATGGTCAAAAATGAAAGAAATCTGCTTGTTCTTGTTGGAAGTAACATGGAGCTACACATACACAAGGCATGAGAGTGCATGGGGACCATCTTGTCACCTATTTCTCGTCATATTTGAATATGAGAAAATATGTTTTTCAGGTGACATTTCTATCATGATATTCTTTCTAAACTGACACGGAATGAGAAAACGTTCACCAGAACTCAACTTTTTCAAGTACTGGCTCACGGATATAATTCAGCTTCGTCCTAAAAAATTTGGTGGTCGAGCAACCCCGCCAAGACGTTACAAGTGTTGAAAGAGGCTCAGTATCACAACTCATTTGCTACAATAGCAATTCCAATTTATTTTTCCACATTATCAACAACAGGTTGCTATTCAGGAACAAATTGCAAACTGGTGACAGAGATTAGATATCATTTTCTTACATGGTATTTCAATTTATTTTCCTTATTTTCTTATACCCCCAGTGGTTGCGTGCCTTGCCATCGAGCTACCAGTCAATTACAGGAGTAGGGTTCAACATTCTGTATGGAGAGTGTCCGTACTGTTCAAAGGCGATATCAGTGAAGAAACTCAACGAGAGATGACATGTTTTTGGTTTTGCTTTCCTGTATCTTCCTGGACACTTTTGTGAACATGTGCAATACTATATTTTTTTTATATTACTTTAATGTATGATGGTGCTATAAAAAAAATATGTCAGCGTAGTTTATGATCTAGCCCTCATTGTACTAGCTTTTCTAGACTTCATCTTGACTAGAGGGAAGGGGTGACCACCAAAACCCCATGATGACTGATCGCCACAAAGTTTTGCAGACTATAGGTATAAAATAAAGAAAAACATCTAAACATAACCATGTTTATAAACTTAATCTACATATATTGGACTTCAAACCAGCAGTTATTTTGTTAAAATTTTGTGAAAGGTCCCATTAACCTTTTTATGAGAGAGGGAGGGGGTGGTGGGGAGATTGTGTCCTCCTAGTCAAAGAATCCCGGATATGCCACTACATTTAATATGGATTACATGTTTACAGAAATATTGTTTTCAATTGTTTTTTGTTGTTGAATAGAGCAGGAAATGTCATAGTTAGAAAGCCTTCATAATTGGTTGCAAAAAAACTACTTTACACATGTACTCATTATCCTGTTCCTCCTACACCTCCTCAACAAGCCTCAATAATTATTTGTTGGATGAAGAGGTAATTTAATACAATGAATATGTTACGATTGCAGAATGGAAAATGAAACTTGATAAGGCAATTTTCTTGTTGCATTCAGTTTATTCAATGAGTACATTTTGATTGCAGAGTGGAAAATAAAAGTTGACAAGGCAACGTTGTTGTTGCATTCACTTAATTCAATGAGTACATTATAATTGCAAAGTGGAAAATAAAAATACACTTTAAATTATTATTATAGCATTGTTCAACTTTTGCTACTTTAATGATTGCTCAAGAGGCACAAGGTTTTGCATAACTTGAAGCCCTTGCCAGTTCTGTTTTAATATGTGCACTAAATCGCCTCAAACTTTTTATAAACTGACTTATTTCCGAGAATAAAATTGTGGACGTGTTCTATTATAACATTTCTATTCTAAAGTCTTTTAAGTTTTAAACCAATTTCCAGGACGGATTTTTCCCACCAGTTCATCAAATGATGTGTGTGTAACGCCTTTCTAACACAAATAATGTACACTTATTATCATGAACCCTTTTAAGACTTGGGCAGTGGCCAAAATGACAATCATCTATATTTATGAATGAATTAAAGTATATCAAACATATCATTTACTGAATGTAAAAATAAAAAGCCTTACTCTTGACATGTACCTTGAAATCTCAGTCTCCAAATCTATTTTTGCAGATATCACTAAGCATACGTCTGTATGTTTATTCTACCTATTGTTTGGAAGCATTGCGTGCAATCAAATGTACTAGCAACTATAAACTGAAACACACAAACTATGAAAGTCGTATCTAAGATTTGCTCTGCAAATCTCTGTTTTAAATAAGTGTATCATACACTCATACAATCACAAATTATTTCTGACCTATATTACAACATGTATCTCATTTCAATAAAATTTTAATAAATCTTTAAAGTAAAGCACAAATACAATTTTCAGGCAAAGAAACAGCAAAATTCCACTAAGGCACTGCCTATGGATTTAATCCAACTCAAAATTAGACTCAAAAGTACAGTCACAATACAGTTTATTAAACAAGAGAGCTACATGAATCAAATGATAAACTGTAAGCAGTAAAAATGGAAGAGTTTTTCTCTTTGTCCGCATAGCTATCTGAACAGTCCATCTCTATTGCTTGCTAATGAAACGATGAACTCGTCTTCCCAGTGCTCTTAATGTAATCTTTTAGGTAGATTCAAAAAGGCATTTTGCTTAAAGTGTACCATTTAGCATGTTGTGCTCTTAATGTGAGGGGTTCTGCATCGCTATATCGTGTTCAAAATATGAGGTTTGAATATTATTTCTACAAAGAGATACATGTATTGCAGTTTAAATAAACTCTCAGTAAACACAAAAAGAACCTGTATAGAATAGCCCAAAGTCCAAATTGGGTTCTGTGCGTGGAGTTTTATAGTTTTCCTTACTTTCTTCATACTTCCTAACCCTTTTCTATAGAATGCGAGGTAAACTTCTTTTTGAGGTTGATTTTATACATTCTAGTTATGCACAACTTACTTCTTTATGGTGATTGGTACACTTTAAAGCTTATCAACACTAGTGTGGCTAGGAGGGATTAGACCACACAGCGAGGTCACTGACAGGTCGCTATCTCATCAACTCAGATCTCGAATAACATAAGAAATAGAGGATCATGGGGGACCAACAGGCACCGATTGGGGAAGTTTTCTATATAGAGGGAGCAAGTAGCTACAAGTAGGACAGTGGGGCTTTAAAGTACCCAATTCCTGATGCTTCTCCTCTCATCTCCTATTTCATACATTCTACACATTCCTATGAAATTATCAGCATTTCAGCTTTTATGGTGCTCTTCATGTTTTCCGTTCCACAGCGTAATGATGGCAGCCTCTAACACGGCTTTTTTGGCAGAATTCTTGGCAAAGTTATTCTGAAGCTTCTTTTGTTTTCCATTCCACGCATTCCAAACGCTTCTATCATGGATGACTATGAGCTATTTTGATGCTAATTCTCACGTTTTCTGTTCCACTGATTCTATCGACATTTTGATGGCTGCTTCTAACATGGCTGATTCGGTCATACCACTGTCCAGTAGTTCTCCCGTTTCCTGTTCAGCCACGACTGTACAGGATGGGCTAGAGGTCTTGGCAGAGTTGTTGGTATTGCTTTCAACTCTCTCCTTGGCTGTGGAGAGTTCTCTCTTTTCTTCCTCTTTTGACGTGGAAGGCACTTCTGAGGGTGTGGACTGATTGCTTGCAGCTGACGATTGTGTAGGCCCGGGGTTTTGTCTGTAACGTCAAATTTATAAAATATGAATAAATACAAATAATCTTCAAATTTATCTACCGGTATTCACTCTTATAAAAAATTAAAATGTATTTACTGGTAAATGGCTAATGACTCAAATTTTTATCTGGTATAACTACCACCTGCAAGTAGTCATGTCAAGAGATTTTTTTAATTTCTGGATAGAAATGAATGGCTAAAACAAAAACCGGTAGGTATGTTGTTTGGGGCACATTGCATAGAAATGTCCTTTTTTAATGATATTTTAATGATACATGGGTCACATATTTTCACAAGTCTTACAAATAGGAAATGTCTGTTCCATCACAAGCTGAAAATAAGAGTGTGAGGTCTTACATAAAAATGGAGAGTTCTCTTCATGTGAAATCACACATATTGCCATTGCCTCTTTCATACAATATTCTTTTTATGAACACAATTACAAGGGATTCTTTACGGGATTCTAACAGTAATATACCCAAGTAACATGACGGTTTTCCTTTATAACAAATATGTAGGGGGATTTCCCCAACGAAAATTCCAAGATATTAAATAGTAGAACAAGCTGTGAAACAATCTAGCCAAAGTTAGTACAATCATGTACAAATCAGCGTTGTGTTGATTTTACACATAATATTCACATTATACACAAACTGGTATGCTAAATTGCATCCCAGGATGTTAATTCATTTTCATCTCAAATTATGTAAATATTCCACTAAGCTTTAAGACCAAAAAAACATCACATCATCTTTTTTCAATTGATTTTTTTTTTGTTATTGGGTTATACAGCACATCATTTCAGAGTTGTTGGTAAACTGCTATTTATGAGGTGAAATTGAGGACACCTGCTGGAAAATATAATTTTACCTGTTGAAAAAAGCTTCTCTTTTCCTCCTCAGTTCATCCTGATTGACAGGTTCACTTGCCTCTGAAACTTGATTTTCTGTTCCTAGAAAAAATGTACAGCAATAACTTAAAACTTTTAGATTGCACATTAGAACTGTAATCAGTAGATCATATCCAAGATGCATACAGCAAATCAAAATAATTCAGATTATAACTTTCTGTTCCTGATAATTGTCTTGTATCCTATCAGATATAAATCAGTAGAATCATGAAAAATTGTGAATTGTGCATATATGCAATGGATATGAGGACATTACAGATCTGTTGGCTCTTGATTATAATAACATTAATTTGCAGGCTTTTTGCAACGCACTAAAACGCAAAATTACTGTACTGCACCCACTTATATTAATATTAACAATAATAATATCTAAGATTTATATAGCGCTGGTATACACATACAGTTTCTAATCGCTTTACAAAACAAATGAAATGAAAATTACGTTTAATCTAAATGAAGTACTTGGACAGTGAAGAGGGCCAGTACTCAAAATGCATTTCATACCTCGTAGACTTAGTTGTATCGCAGCTTGAAGCTCGTCGTCTCCTTTGTACCCCGAGGTAAAACCCCTGCTTGCCTCTAGCGCCTTCTGAAGGTCATCCTGGGTCACACCGACCCCAGTGGATGCCTTCTGATTTGAAGACTGGGCGTCGTCGGAAAGGAGCTTTGGTGGATGGGTCTGAACGGCAGGTATGAGCCGTAGTAGCTGGTCTGCTTCACACTCTGGTAGACTGCCACGAATCACAAATATGGAGTAGCCTTGGATTGATGAGAAAATGATGATCATGAAAGAAAAATCAAGCTTTTTGTCAAAGCTGTATATTGTATATGAAAGATCTATTCACACTCGCGGCAGAATACCGTTTTACACAAAAATTCATTGGCAGAATTAAATTAGAAAAGCATAGGGCACTTCACATTTCTGTTTCTCATAGTTACAGATCTATGAAAACGTAAAGCGTTGCAAGTAATGGCTTTGTAAAGTTTGAGGTGGTTTATTAAGTCATGTCTGAATGAGAATGAGAGTTACCATAACCCTATTATTATTATTAAACCAACCCTAACCCTGACCCTATATGAAATACAAATTTCTACTTCACAACGAAATTGTGAAGTGGAGGTAAACTCATGCATAATAACCTAATCTCTTCTGAAAATAGATGCACATAGTGCATTACATCTTTATTACAAAGTGCTTGTGATTCAAGATGATGCATGGTAATGAACAAGGATGCTTAAATATTGAGAGGAATTCATTTATTTCCTTTTATTCCAGATCATGATATTCATATCTAACACTGGGACTACAGCCAAATAACATTAAAACTGATTTTGATGCAACATTCATTACTTGTCCTTGAATACATTGAGAAAGCAACACAAACAACAACAAAACATTTTACAGTTCTCACCTTCCTTTTGCAGCTGAGCAAGGAACATGCTTAAATATGTATCTGATATCAGTTCTGGACCAGTCAACAGAGAATTCAGATTGAACCACTGATTCCCAAGCTTCCTAATCGTCAACCAGTGCTCCCGAAAGTTGCATATAAAGGCACATTCTCTCCTGTAGAGATAAAAAGACAATGTATTTTAAAGGTACTATGTCCCATTTGCAGGCCAAAAAATATGAAAGGGTTAAATTCCAATGGCATTTGAAAGATAATACTAATTTAGAACTTCCCTCAAAACAAAAGGGCTTGAAAATGGCTTTTAGGGGGAAAATAACCACTAGTTGTCAATTTTACTTTAGTGATTGCATCATTGCAATCACCTAAGTAACATTCTAATTTTCAGACCCTTTTACCAAATGGTCGTACGTTTTGTGCTGCACAAAGATTCAACCAGTTTTATATTGGCCATTACAAGTAGTGGGTTATTGATGTAGACAAATGCTCATTTACAGTTCGTTTTATGTATGTTATTATCAAAGAAAAAAAAATGTCAGTCAGTCACACAATAGTGTCTGACAGTGAAGTCTGGAAGGTAAATGGGTTTCCTTGCATAATTTGAATACTAGGACACTGCTAATGTTTAAATTTCACAGATAGGACATTCATGACATTCATAATTCATGCAAAGTTCTACAGAATTTGATGTTGGTTGCAAAAGGAACATACGGTAGTATCTTTAATCCATAGGAATTTTCTGCAAAATGTAAATATTTTTTTAAATGAATTTATTTTGAAAAAGGACAACCAGATTTTGATTGTGGATGTATATAGAGCGTTCAATTACAACTCAACATTCAAAACCCTTTCTTTTTCCCTTGTCTTTCTTTAATCAGATTTTTGATAAATGTTCACTATTCTGTTTATCTCCCATTTTCTACATCTATTAAAACCAACTTAATATCAGGGTGGACTTCCCCTTTAACTATGCTACCATGAGGCCTATAGTGTACATTCAAAGTGATGAAAGGATAGTAATGAGATAACTCTTGAAGAAACAGGATTGATCATGTGTACTTACTCAGGATAAACTGAAGCTATACCAGCCTCTGAACTACCAATGGGAATACTGACAAGTTCCCATACGAACAGAGCCTTACTGATGACTTGCACAGAGAAGAAGCCACTGTCATCCATATTTGTGGATGGTTGCTGTCATTTAGACAAGAAATGCAAGCAAAAAAGAAAACAGAAAAGAAGCTGCAATAGTGTAAGAAAAAAAATCTACATCAAACTTTCCTTCAATAACATAAACTGGTCTTAAAACATCACTTGCACAGTTTAAATCAAGTTAAAATCATGATTTGTAAAGCTGTGAGTATTTAACAATGATTTAAGATATTTACACAAAGTAAAACACTAACAAAACAAAGATTGTTCATGCATTCAAAGGTCTAATACAATCTTCAACAGATTAAACATATGAGAAAATTGAATGAAATTCCACATTTAAAGAATAAAAATGCATATTAACCTACTACATTGTGCAGAAGCAACCTTTAAAAGAAAACATCTTTCATGACCATCAATACTTCAAAAAATATTAAACCCCAATATTAATTTGAATAAATTTACATACACTGATAAAAAGAATGCTAACTTTCTAGTGCAATCAGGAATTGGCCTACCAGTGTCTTTCATTTAAATTTTTTGATATTGCTTACTTCTTGGAACCTGAGGTATTCTACCGAGTCCACTCCACCTTCAGCCATGTGAGCCCCTTCTACATCATCTAGATCCTGAGCAATGGAGGCAAGATCTACTGCACTAAAGTAGGAACCTATCACATCAAGAGAAAGGAATCAGAACTTTATGGTCAGGATACACTTTCAATTTTCATACATGCTCTGTAACACTTTGCATTTATATAACAAGTAATTGTGGGTTATTTGAGTCTTAACAGTTAGAATACTGTTGAGTTAGCTCACTGAAAATGAAGTATTTTAGAATTTCTGTCTTAATGTTCAACTGAACAGCTACAAGGGCAGAGTTGAGAACAAAAGGCAACAGGATGCAGATGATGAAGATGAAATTATTACACTACCCCAGTACCCTGAGGGTCATAAAGCAAGTGTTTATAAGAAACCAAGGCATTTTCGTTTAATATCTGAGGGACTTGATATTGAAGATTAACAAATTACCAAAGGGTGAGATAGAAGACTTGGTATGTAGAGGAGATGAATGAAGAAAGTGGGTTGAGTAATTGAAGTAAATGAATATGTTTAAGTGAATAAGCAAATTATGTGAAATTAATATGTATAGAGAGAAGAGACAAGAGAAACAAATAATTATTGTAACAAATACAAGTATGGTGTGATTTTCATTTTAATTCTTACAATGTCATTACCATAACATTTCTCTTTGTCTCAATTCTTAATGAAGGGTTTCAAGATCTCAATAAAAGCTTTTAAAAAGATAAAATCTCACCTTGCAGTAAAGAATTTAGACAATGCTGGGCACACAGTGATCCCTCTTGCTAAAAAAAAGAAAGAGAAAAACGATGAACAATATCTGAAACAGATATGCGATTGGCAATTAAATAACTACCCAATATAACTTACCAATATCTAGATTCTTGTTTCAAATAAATTTTGAAATTATATAGGAAAAGACTAGTAAGGTTTAATCAATACATGCATAGATATTGATAAACATAAATAAATTTACCTTGTATTCTCATAAACTGTATCTATTCGCACTACTAATTACCTTTCACATCTGACAGCAGACTGACAGTAATATTAGTAAATAAAGACTGAAGTCATGAAGACAAATAAAAACCTAGAGGCTAGACCGAAAAAAATATTCTCAAAAGAATGAAACGCTGATAACACCAAAAAACAATAACAAAATAACTTCAGTCTCTAAATTAATAATGGTAATGATATAGCAGCAGTATAGTGGACGGTCACGGTTGTTTTACAGAGACTACATGTGACTCCAGCTCCACTGCAGCTGCAGTCACAGTTTGCACTGACCTGCTGACCGGCTCTAGATATTTATTACTAAAAAGTAAAAGCATAGTCAGTACCGGTATAGACTTAGCTTACTTAGTAGACTTTCTAGATCTAGATCTAGAACCTAATGGCAAATATGCCATGGGGAAGGTTGAAAAAATGACAAGCAAATGCTTCCATAAAATTTATATGTGCGTCCTCTCGCCATGCGAGCAAAAATAGTTCAGGTACATTTTTGAACGAAGCACCACTCAATGATGAAACGACCGGAAGTTTCAACAAGATCACCTTACACTTCCGTATACTGATGCTGATGATGCTGATGCTGACACTTTACCAGACGGTTGTTTTTGTCTAGTGTAGTCTACTGGAGTACTGCATGCTGCATGCTGCATGTTATTGTAATTCAAAAGCCCATTTGATTATTAATTTGTACTTTTTTGTAGACTATTATTATAACCGGATGACTTGAAGTAGATAAGGCATCTTTTGTAGGACTACAAATTGATAAGCATCTCACATGGATTGAACATATAAAAATGGTCAATCGAAATATTCGTTCAAAAGTCGGAATTTTGTTCAGAATAAGGCATTATGTCCCACAGAACATTTTAGTGCTATTATACAAAGCGTTAATCCAGCCACATATTTTGTATGGAATTGAAGTATGGGGAACCACATACAAAACCAACTTGAATGGTATTTTCCTTACCCAGAAAATGGCAATGAGAGCGATAACTTTTAGCCCAAGAGGTACCCATTCGGAACCCTTGTTCCAAAGGATAAAAGTTTTAAATATTTACAACCTTCGTTTCCTATCTGTCTCGTGCAACCTTCATCTATGACTTATTAAATGGCAATCTTCCTCACTCCTTAATTGAATACTGTCAGGTAATAGAGCACAGATATGGCACAAGGGGCAAAGAACAAGGACAACTATATCTGCCTAAATGCAAAACCACACAAGGTCAATTTTCAATATCATTTATGGGCGTGAAAATATGGAATAGTATAGACCTACCATACGATTTAAGAGGAATAAGATCTAAAAATGCTTTTCGGAAGGGGTTAACGAAACATCTAAATACTTTTAGTTAAACAAAAGTTAAAACTTCTTAAAATGGCAAAAAGAAATCTCAGATTAGAAAATTTCTAAAACGATCACTAGATAATGATATATTTTTTATTTACTGTATGTTTGGTTTTGATACGGAAGTCAACACACATTTGACTTCCATGTTAAGTAAGGAATATTTCTAAAGGACTATTCTATTTCTTTGTTTACTTATATAGTTTATGTTACATGTATATAATGTAGTATAGACCTAGTAAAAATTAAAATAAATAAATAAATTAAAAAAAAATAATAGTTTTAAAATTCTTGCCAAAGACAGGGAACCAGACTCGACTAGCACTTCGCCACCTGGCTGGCAGAAGGGCGTTAGCTCAAATTTCAGGTCAATAATGAAACTTTAAGCAGAAGGGCGTTAAGCCGTTAGCACTAAATCGCCTCAAACTTTTATAAAAACTGACTTATTTCTGAGAAAAAAATTGTGGCCGTGTTCTACTACAGCATTTCTACTAGTCTTTAATGTTTTAAACCAATTTTCGAGACAGAAAACAGTTTAAATATAAAACAAATCTTTAAATGCGAATAATTTGAAAAGTAGTTTTCGGGTCGCTAACGCCCTTCTGCCACCCGGACGACGACTTGTGTGCTAACACAAAAGTGTACACATAATATTTTATTCCATTTGTATACGATTACGACATACTTTGTAAAACAATATTTATATTATTCATTTGTAATGTTATCGATCTTGTGTTATATTGTTATATTTTATGTAATCATGCTTGATACATTATGTTTTACTTGTTATTATTTTTGTTGTATAATGTTAATAAACTCAAACTCAAACTCAAACTTGTATTTGTAGATCTAGACCTAACTTATTTGATACAAACCTTTTCATGGAATATTGAATCCATTCTCCTCCTAAAGTTTTAGTAGTTTGGTGGCTTCTTCTAGAACTTCTTCCAAATCCTCACACTAGTTCCTGATACTGACCAAGAGTACCGTAATGATTTATTGGCCTCTAGCTCCTTGCATATGCCATCTCAATGCAATCTCAATCTCCAATGGCTCTAGCTCTCTCGCGCGGGGCGCGGCGGCGAGGGCTGGCCTAACGTTACCGGTATGTACTTGTACGTAGTGTTACCTGATTTTTATTTGCAGGTAAGATGAGGTACAGGTGCACGTAAAGTCTAAAGCTTAAGCCGGGTGTGGAAGCAGGGAGAGTTTATTAGGCCGTGATGGTATTTTTTACATCTAGTTTGAGATAGAATTATGGCAATTTTTAGGCGAATGCACGTGCTTGTATGGTATTAAGAAGAGGATCCATATTCCATATTCCTGCAAAATACGCCCTTATCATAATATGAAAAAAAATGCACCCGCAGCTTGAGCTAGATCTGCTACTGTACTGTACAACGTACAACGTACAACGTACAACGTACAACGGAGGAAGAAGAAGAAGAAGAAGATGCGCTTTGCGTGGCGGGAATACAAATCTGTAATGATTTATAAATCATCAGTCTCTAGATTGCCATAAATGAAAAAGTAGGGTTGTTGGGGTGTATAAACAATTCCAAATAACACTTAATTTAAAATTTGTATTTGTTTTGATCGAAACAATATTATTTTGTTTTTATATCCAACGTTTTAGTAATTAGAGGCAACTTAAAAATTGGCCACTCACTATCTGCTACCGAAAACTGGTCGGAATTATTCCCAGTCAGCTCACCCAATCAACAACAACGTAAATCAGCTGGGCCATTATTCAAAATCACGCACGCTACGACACGAAAGCCGACCATTAAAATTTTCGAATGTTGACATCGACTCTACTCCAAACGCCAAGATGCCATCAAAACTGAGTGATTATGATATTTTATACACGATTGGGAGTGGCTCATACGGAAAATGTAGAAAAGTACGTCGAAAAAGCGACGGAAAAGTAAGTATAATAACGTGCGATGCGGGCATTTAATTTTGTCGCCAGGAATAATTTGGACTTTGTCACACGCGCGCCCGAAGCTCGGGGGACGGGAAAATGGACGCGGGAGTAGGGCTTGGTCGACCGGTCAGCGTGTAGTATGGAAGCTAGTGTGGTACTGTTTACTATAAGTGTTTCTGTAGTTGTAATATGTGACTGAGCCGGAGGCAGTTTAGTGCGTGATGAGGTGACTGATGTACTGATAGGCCAAGGTTATTTTTTGCTTTAGATGACTAGGGCCCCGTTCCTAGATTTAGCTAGAAACCGTCATAAGTCTAACTTCTTGACTATCCCATTGAAACGTGTGTTATAGAACTAACACGCATTTCAATGGGATAGTCAATAAGTTAGACTTATGACGGTTTGTAGGAACGGGCCCCTGATCTATAAATCTAGAACTAGATCTAGACTCTAGATTCTAGATCAAAGATTTCGAGATCCTGTCCAGATCGACAGATCAGACTTTCACCTGTATTGATGTATTCACCTGTCTTTTCGGGCTCCTTAGTAAGACAATGTCTTGTAATGCCCTCCCATAGTTCATCAGTACACCGGCACTAGCCACTGCAAAGAGTTCGTTCCTTAATACAATAGGTCCATTGCTGGATCTGTGGGAAGACTCAACAGCACTTTAATCAGGGCTGTCAACCCTCCCGCATTTGGAGCTAATTGGAGGGAGTCTCACGCCACCATGCACATTCTCCCGCCATCCCAATAGCACAAAGCGCCACAAGCACGCCTTTCCTCCCGCTTCGAATCTCCCAGTTTATGAAAAAACCTCTCGCCAAACATGGTAGATCTATCCACAATTTGACCCCCAAAAATGTGCTCTTACCCCCCCCCCCCCCCCCTGCTTATTCAGCAGCTGGCTGAGTCGTTGCGAAATTTTTGGCGCGATGTTCAAATTTTAAAACACCCCCCTTAAAAAAAATCCTGCGTACGTCACTGCCGCGCCGTTGAGCAAAACAAAAATTTGCATACAACCTCCCTCAAAGCAGTTCCCAAATGTGACAGCCCTGCATGCTTTAATACAATCTGACTAAACATCACTAAAGCTTCTAAAAAAGAATTAAATGACGGATTTTAACAAGAGCATGCTTTCACAATTATTTTTTATGTGCCTTAGATTCTCGTTTCCAAAGAAATTGACTATGGCACCATGGGCGAAGTTGAGAAACAGATGCTTGTGTCAGAAGTCAACTTGCTGAGGGAGCTCAAGCATGAGTTCATTGTGCGCTACTATGATAGGATTGTAGACCGCGCCACCTCTACCATCTACATCATTATGGAGTATTGCGAAGGTGGTGATCTTGGCAGTCTCATATCAAAGTGCAAGAAAGACAGGTATATATTAACAGGAGGTGTCAGTGAACTTTGCTTATTATCTGCAAGTTGTTCTGTAGTAGTTGGTGCAATTCATTTAAACTTTTTGAAGTTTGTTGTTCTTTACTTCCAATACTCATTTTCCACATCTAGTAAATTTCCAGAAATTTTCAAAATGCTTGAGAACATTTTTTGAAAGGAAGGAGGGGGGGGGGGGGAATTTGAGATTAAATGTCAACTTTATTTCAATACAAAGTCACAAATAGCATTATCTTTGATTATAGTGTATATTGTACTTTTCATTCTGTATGTTGCAAGTGCAATTTCTCTTTGTAGATTTCATGTTAGTTCAGTGAATATACAACGCCTTGTTTGTCGATGCTCAAAAGGAAGAATTCTTACATTTTTTTTTTTTTTCTTGCAGAAAATTCTTGGAGGAGAGCTTTGCGTGGAAGATTTTCCAGCAGCTGACCATTGCCTTGCAGGAGTGCCATAGGAGGGGTAAAGGTCGTGCCATCCTTCATCGAGACTTGAAGCCAGCCAATGTATTCCTGGATGCAGATCACAATGTGAAGCTTGGTGACTTCGGCCTGGCTAGGGTCCTTCAGCACGATACCAGTTTCGCCAAGACGTTTGTGGGGACACCATACTACATGTCACCAGTAAGTTTTCTTTTTTTAAAGTTAGCAATGTATGGCATAGGGTCCTTGTCAGAGCATAACATACCCAATGCACATATCAAGCAATGAGTCCCCAAAGTCTTGAATGATAGTGGGAGGGGGCTGTGTTCTTGATTTGTCTAAATGTAAAAATAAATATTAAACATGATTTTCCCCACCTTTGTGTTTGTTTATGCAGGAACAGATGAACAGACTGTCATACAATGACAAATCAGATATTTGGTCCCTCGGTTGTTTGCTGTATGAGCTTTGTTCACTCAGGTGAGGTTACTTGATCTATTCAAACTTTATTCAACCTTTAGAGTGGTTATCTATTATCTTCTTCAAATATCTCCATAGATGGTCTATTTTTAAATGGAAAATTATTGATTCTTGATAAAGATTATCAAGATAAAGAGAAGTGAAGTCATCTCATATAACGCAACTCAAATTACATGTATGCCTTTGGGTGCAGGATTGAAAATTAATAGAATCTTTCGTACACAAAAAGAAATGAAGAATAACCCATGGAGGGTATCATAGAATTGCAAACCTGTTAATTGCTTTTTTAAAATTCTTTATGAAATTTTTTTCTTGAACTTTCACTTCCCCTTTTAACGCTTGTATTGAAATTAACTTGATGCCATGATTAGATATTTATTTTTTTGTAAAGAATGGTTCTATTATAGAAAGAAGAAAAAATCATATCTTGTAAAAATAGATTTTTGTCGCCATTTGCTAGTGCTTTATGAAAAGCATGTTGAAGAATTGATGCATTATTCAAGTTATGGATATTGAATTGAAACTTCAAACTTATTTTGTTATCAGTAAAAGTCAACGTCTATGTGACTTTTGCCATATAATTAGCAGTGATAGGTTATAATGTATCGTTTGCCATTCTCTCTCTCTCTCCCTCCAGTCCCCCATTCACTGCCACCAACCAAGCTGCTCTTGCTGTGAAGATCAAGGGCGGTCATTTCCGTAGATTGCCAGTGCAATATTCATCTGATCTCAATGAGATTGTATCCAGTATGCTCAAAGTAAAGGTAAATTGGGATGTTATTTAGTCAAGTCCAAGCTATTTTGTCCCCATAGGATGCTGGCCACATCTAAGATTTTATATGATGACTTTGTCAAGCCAATAGCCTTACTAGAAGTCATATCAAACAAAACATCATATGAAATTATATTTTTATGTCAATCAAATATACATCCAAGTTGAACCTTTTGTAGAGAAACAAGGTGAAGTAAATGGGTACCTGGTAGGAATTTATTTGTTGAAATGCAGCGCGCATAACAGCTGCACTGCTAAAGCCAGGGTAATTATGCTGCATTATTGTAGAGTGCTTAGATACTTCTGATAAAGTAAGTGTTAGGCGCTATATAAGCAAGGATAATTATTATTACTGTGAAGATTAAAAGAAGGTGAGGCTTTCAGTGAGTGGACTTTACTTTCTTGTTCTTTTAACAGCCTTCATCAAGACCTTCGATAGATGAACTCCTGGCAGATCCAAGACTGTCACCTCCACCTTCCCAGGTTTCCTCGGCAGACGCGCCTAAGGAAGCAGAGGTGGATCTCCTGAAGAAGGAGAGGGAAGCCTTGTTGGCCCGGGAGGAGAGCCTCAAGCTCAAGGAGAGGAACGCTGACAAGAGGACACAGATGTTGAATGACAGAGAGAAAGAACTGGATTTGAGGGAGAGAAGCTTGGCAGCTAGGGAGAGGCTAGTGAAGGATAAGATGTCAAGGTAGTTTCATTTCCGGAATAGCCTTAGTTGTGATATTGAGCAAGTTTCATCGAGCAACTGGTGTAGTAGTAGTGGCAAATTGTTGATATCTTTATAACAAGTCAATAGACTTGATAGAACAACCCAAACATCATTGTGGGATTTGAGACTGGACCAGTGTTTTGGCAAATACATGTCCGTTGATGAAAATAACAGGACTTTCCTTATGCTGTGAAAACCTTTGAAAAAATATAGGAATAGCTGAAGGAATTATCTTACCATTAACTCAAGATTCCATTTACATGTATTGCTGGTGACATGACATTTGCCCCATCCCAATTTTCTGCTTGCTTTATTTCATCAAACTTACAGGGTTAGATTTGGTGATGCAGATGGGTTGAAGTTAGGAATTGGAAAAGTGTAGAAAACTGACCTTACAGTTTTTGTTGCTGGAGCAGGCATTGCCAAACCATAATCTTGCATAAGAATAGTATAATATTCTGAAATCTTTCTAGTATTGGCAGCTGGCAGCACTGAATATTGCTTTTAAATCACTGCATATCCAATTGTGACTCTTGGAAGACATTTTGAATATCCATTTCATTGAAAAAAATTGGCAAGGATCTCTTTATTATCTCAAGTTCCTTCAGGCGATTACAACAATATTTTATTTCATACTTTTTAATAACAGGGCAGAAGAACTAATTGAGGAGCACGAGAAGCAGCAGAAGCAGATTCCGAAGGTCATCACCAGAGTGACAGAGCTGCGCAGGCAAAAAGGTAGGACTTCTCCCGAACATGACCGTGGTTTTCCTTACTTGTGTGCTAGGTATATGATGAACGTGCCTGGACAAAAGAGGTTTTCTACTCCACCATAAGATTCCTACAAGACAAGTCTAATCAAAATTACAATTGTGTATCCTATGACACACCTTTAAAAGGGGCGATCATGTCATAGGGTAATCGTGTCATTTTCAGGTTGGGGATGAGACAACAGTTCTTTTCCTGGGATTTGCAATTGCAACTTAAAGTTCATTGTACTGCAGTCGAGATGTCGCTTGGTTTACATGTACTTAGTTTACTGAAAAACAATTGGATTAGGTTACTCTATAAAAGATTGGCCAACACAACTCTTTCTATATTGAACTTTGAGATACATCTTGTTCATGGGCCCCGTCTTACAAAGAGTTACAACGCAAGTTGGCAGTCTCCTATCTCTTATACACAGTTGTGATTGATACCAATCCCAAATAAGTTGTGATTGATATCAACTCTTTGTAAGACGGGGCCCAGAAAGACTTTCTAAATGATTTTCCATAATCTCAAATGTGAATCTAGCAATGTTTATTTGAAAATTCTTGTTTCTGCGGTTTTTTTCTCCAGATCATAAATTTAAAGCTTTATCAATATGAATTAAAATCATGTTTGTTGGATTGAATGAAGCTAGTTAAATTATGTGTTACATTAATTTATATATGATGGTATCATGGTAGTCAGTGGGGTACTTTTTATGTGTAAATTCTTGTATGACTTATTTCAATCATGTCAACTGTTTGTAGACAATGACAAGGGGTTGCCAAAATAAATGATGCTCAAAAGCACAGAATTCAGCAATCAGAAAAAGGTATATAATATACAAACTTACATACAGTGTACGTACAATCCTGTAGAGATGAAAGAAGATATTTTTTTCTTATTGTTTTTTAAGCGTCAATTTCCTAATTTTATTCCATGCGTTTTATAGCATGTTATCCATATTGCATTCAAGGTATTGTATATAATTGCATTAAATGTGTCTTTTTCTCTGACTGATTTATGCAAGCAACTATATAAAGAAAATGATATTCTTCAATTTCACAGCTTTGGAAATGCAAGAACTTTCAAACGATTTATTAACAACGAAAAATAAAATTTAGTGATTTCATCACAGTGGACACAAGTTCAAGTAAATCCTTTTTACCTTCTTGAGATGCAAAGCTCACGTCAAGACAAAGGCATCATGTAGTGAAATTTGTAATTAGTGCAATACCAAAGGAAAATGCAATATTTTGATACAAGTGTGTTTTGTTAAAATTGTACTTTTATATGTCATTGTGCCTCTGATCAGTTACTAGTATTTACCGGTACAACAAGAAAGGAGGCAAGTAGGCCTAGAGGCAAACACATGGTGATTGGAAAATCGTGTGTTTGTGATGAGCCTTTTTATGTTCTTGACAATGTAGTGTTATAGTGAAGTTGGACATCTTCCTGAGCTCATTTTAATGTGCAATATTTTACAATGCAGTGGATCCTAGTTATGTTATTTTTTTAAAAACTGTTTTTCTATATTAAATTTGTGCAAGTGTCAGATCTTTTAAAAAAAATACTTTTGAGCTTACTCAGATTTAACCTAAGAGGATCATAAAAATGGATACATTGTAATGCGTTAATTTATGAAGTTACTTGTACATCACAATTTCTGACAAAGAGGCAGTCGTATACATGTATGCATTTCTATAGAGTCTGATTAACTGATAACTTTTTCATGTAACTTTGTGGTACACTTACATCATGGATCGAGATCAAATAGTTCTTTCCAGTATACATTTATGTTCTTGTTTTATTTTACTATCCGTTATATTTTAATTTTTATGTCATTTAGTTTTTTATTTATTTTCAATTCATGATGTTGGTGGCATTGAATTTGAGAAATAAAAGGCATCAAAGAATAATAAATTGGGTCTACTTTCATTACTTTAGAGTGCAATTGCCATTTAGTTGTAATTATTACATGTGAATTCATCTACAATATCAATATGCCCAGCCAATGCATGGACATCAGTTTTTTTATCTAGACATCATTGCTTTGAATAGAATGTAAATATGATCTATTTCATAACAAACCAAAATGTTCTCTACTACATGAAATATGGTGGAAAAACATTTTCTTCACATATATACATTTTTTTTAAAGAACAGACCACTGCAAAGCCATCAGAGCAAAAGCTCAATGAAGATTATCACAAAATGTTTATGGAATGATGACTTGATAGTTGTACCAGTATGAATACTCAAGATGTTTAATTGCATTTCACTTTCATCCCTTTTATCCCTTCTGTACATTTCCAGAGTACCTTGAAGGTATGCACCCAACCACCTTGAAGACCAAGAAGCATGTTCATTTCCAGCAAGGGAAGGAAAACAATCCAGCATCTCACGAAGGGGAGCCAGCCGTACCGTCGGCTGATTCTAAGATGACAAATTTGAAGGAGCGTCTGTATCAGGCAAAGTTGAGAGGACTTGCCCTGCGAAAAGCCGAGATGACTTCAAAACTAAAGAGCAAACAGTTGCTTTCACTAAGATAACCTGCCAGGAGTGGACTAGAAGAGTTGACGAAATTTCAGGACACAAACAACTTGTGATCTTATCTACCAAGAGGACTGATAATGTAATTTCAGTAGAGTCCCAGTGGGCTGTGCATGGCTAGTTAGAATGGATCATGACAGAAAAGTGACAGATGGAGTGGATTATAGTGCTGCATGATTCCTTATCCATTCTAGGATATAGTTATAATATGCCTGTTTACACAGGATGTTTAAAACCTCTTCAAACAGCTGCCATCGCAATATGAAATGGACTAAGCATAGTTCATTTCATATTTCTGTAGTATTTGTACAGATGAGCAAGTACTCTTGAGGGTTGTGTGTTTTGCACAATTTAGAGAAAAGAGTATTGTTGTTTAAACTTTCAGGTATCTCTCTTACATTCCGTGAATGATTTAACTGTATGTACTTTTATGACCATAAAAGAATGTTAGATAGTACATGTATCTTTTTAAATATGCAAGAAAAGTGAACCCCTCCCCCCCCCCCCCCCCCCAACAACAACAACAACAAATTTAATCTCGGTATAAATCCAATTTTGATTGACATTCATGAACTACATGTAGAACATTTGACAATGGCATGTTATTCAGGTGTGGGCATGTTTACATACAAACATTAATATACAAATGATGAGTGTGAATGAGTTCATTATATGATCTATTCATTCTCGAGTTAAGGTAGTCTGCATCTCGGGCTCGGCAAGAGCAGATATGAGACAATAAACTAATGAAGATATGCATCACTTTTGTTTTAAACATTACTTTAGCATGTTTACTAGAAGCGTAATGCGCATGAATCGTTTGACTTTGACCAATCATTTGATTAGGATCTAGGAGTGAGTTGTACAACATTAGTTATACATATTATGTAGACTACTACATCCATTATCACAGTCACGCCATAAATGTTTGATGTTGATGTTTTGTAGTGATTTCAAAGTGTGTGTTTACTGTACACATAGTACAATCATGAAATACATGTACATACAAGATGTGGCAAATGAGAACCATTTATTTGAATACTTTTATTTTATGTTTTATGATCATGCATGGCCTTGGTGGCCTTGGATTAATTTAAGCCCTGCACTGTACATGCAACGTACTAGTTATACAATCTTATTGAAAACTGTTATTAAACAGCAAAGTGAAAATGGCTGAAACTTTTCTGAAACATAGGAACACACACAGGTTTCAGCAGGTGTGATAAATTTGTCCTGAATGGCAGAGTAAGAAAAATCATGTAATCATGGCCACTTGAGATACTGTACAATAGTTTACATACATGTACATACTTTCTTATGGCATGCATGTCCTAGGATCCTAATCTTCCAAGAATGTATAATTGTAACCGTCAATTATTTTGGTCATGAGTAATAGTTTGAAAGGCCTACTTGTACCTAGACTTTTTTTTTGTAAAGCCACCTCAGTTCCATTATGGGAAAGGGATGTTTTTAAACTGCCTGCAAGATTTGTACACACAATGGCGTGAATAACAAAGTGCAGGGTTGTGTTCCCACGATTATTTATTAAACATTCCATTTTGGATCTAGAATCAGCAATATACTTAAGCTGGAAGAGAGAAAGTTTAATAGGATTAGGTTTTCCAAGCATGTAAATATACGTGTGGCATGTTGCAAGTTATTTTGCAGATTGGTCCATGAATTTTGAATTATGATATTAAATTCAAATTTTGAATAGGAAAGATTAAGCAGCGTGTGATGTGTCTAATCATTTTTGTTTGCTTCGTTGTTTGAGGTTTCATGCTTGTATACTAAATCAAAATGTATATTTTTTCATTTTATGAAGAGATGCACATGTATGTACTGCAAATTTAAATACTGAAATTACTCGTACAAAGTGATGGAGGTGCCCATGGGCTATAGTGATACATGCATGGATGTCAATGAGTAAACTTGTGGGAAGTTCTAAAACGATTGCATGTGATTGGCCACCTTGACGTGAAAAAGTGGGTAATTTAACTAATGTTCGCCATCAAATATGATATAAAAGCAAGTTCACAGTTTGTTGGTTTTATTTATTACAGTTAATGCACAGTATGAAACAAAATAAAAATCAACCAGTTAAAAAGCCTGTGGAGCCTTTCACCAATGACAATTGATGAAGCATCAACGCCAATGTATTGCTGAGTACATCAAAATATATTAATTCAAATGCAGAGTATAATAACTGAAATTTGACACATTTTAACCAAAGTCAACCATGAACATCTACTTGTACATGAAGATGATGTTTTTAGACGAGCTTAAGCCTCTGGCATTTCCTCGAGGCTTGACTGACTCCACTATTTACAGCCTACATGTTCTGCTTTCATTACAGATTCAGTCCTGTACACAGTAAACTATAGATTGGTGTATTGCATAGTGTTTGAGGAGTACTTATCTGCACAAGAGGTATTTTCTGTTAACACACCAACGACATCGGCATTACCCAATCACTGATGATTGATAAATAATGACTACCGCTAACACGTGTCAACTTCCAATCAATGTTTGATATTCTAAACTGAATTTCCACAATGGCCCACTTGTCAATAGATCATCCATGTTTAAAAGCCCTCTGTTCTCTCTTCAGGATCTGATGGTGGAGGTCCATGGGTCCTCCCCTTGTTTTAACTCCCTCTTGTACAGCTCTGTCTTGTTCTTCCAGCCAGAGTAGCGGACAGTCTGCTGCGCGTCAAGGTAGTACCCTACCAGAGCAAAGGCAGGTGTGATGGCTGCCCACCAATAATTCCTCAGCACTTGCATCACCATTTTGATTTTGGGATGTTCTGAAAGACCAACAAAATTAACAGGCATTTTAATATACCTGTGACATTTTAATATCTGCCATTTTTGCCTTCGACATTTTAAGCTCCATTTCACCAGGCGCCAGATTGTCAATTTGATGTCCAACCCTGTGGCTTTATGTGGTGCTTAAAGAACTAGCCAACACATGGTTGTTGCGATTGAAAAATACTGATTGGGACTGGCAAAATTGGACCTGGGCTGAGACACTGCAAGAATAATGCACGGTCCTGTCCTGAACCCATTAAAGGAAAATGATCTTAAAGTGATCCGGTAACTTCGTCTTAGATCCTTTAGAAATAATCCTTGATTTAGCTCATGATGCAATGATAATTATAAACCTTTAGGTCAGTCGGGAACTCCATAACTTTTACAAGCTGATCACCTGTCTGATTATCAAGATATTAATGATTGGAATTACAAATTTTGAAAAACGTTCGCTGAATGGTTTTCATAACACTACAGTCTTCCGAGGAAAACGAGTATGTTAAAACCGGTCACTCAAACATTTGTTACTTTTTTGAGGCACTTCTTGATCATTTTGAAGCGCGATTTTTTTAGGGCTTCAATATTACATATATCACAGACACTGGTAACATGTAGACCGTGTACCAGTATCTCAGATTTAACATTGTTAAACAATCCCATAAAAGAAGTAGACGTAGACTGTAGTCTACTGGTAGGTCTGATTTCTTTTAAACTGGCCGACAGTTTTGAATAAGATAATCAGCTAGTGTTTGCTGAGTTTTAATTGTGGACATTCTTAAAAAAGAAAAGGCTAGCAATATAACAAGAATTGAGAGAGAAAATACAAAGCCCATGCAATGGACAAATTTGAACTATCAAGTGATTGACTAAAAATTGGATTTGTCTCACTGCAAGTCTGCAATGTGATGTGGGCATCAGCTAGACTAGAGACGGAAAACAGATCTTGAAATATTGAATAGCCTAAAAAATAAATCTGCTCTTTATAATTAATACACACAGTCACAGCCAGGCAAAGAGTTGGTACATCTAGCCAACATCTTCATCAACTGGTAAGCCTATATACAAAGCACCGATGGTATTTACGCCTCAACTGTGTCTGGGATCACATCACACACGTACCGCAGCATGCACCTACCGATCGACCGAATGCCAGGCCAGACCCTTGCCAGCGCGAACGGTACGGGGAGAGGAGGCCACGAATGCAGTGCTGGAGCGCTTGGCGGCTGGCCCAATATATAGGCTCTAGCTAGTCTAGGCTATTAGTATTACCCCGTCGGTACCCTCTACATATCTGTCACGGCACACTGCATGGACATCAACACATTCACCTCCACATGTTACTCTACTAGAAAAGTTACTTACCAGAGGTAAAAGACCTTTATCTCTATCCTATGGGTCGTCAAATGTTACGACTCAGTTTCGGCTATCTGCCGCGGTAGCGGCCGGATCCGAATATAATCACATCGAACCGATAGAAGCCGGCGGCCGTTTTTTTTTTTGGGGGGGGGGGGGGGGGGAATTGATGGTTTTTTACATGCGCTTATGTAGCATCAGTGTGACCTTGGCTAGAAAGCCAGAAATCAGTCAATAAATTATCTTATTCGTGCACTGAGTTAGACTTAAAGAGGGTACGTAAAAATGAGAACAAGATATAAGCATTTTAGTATTCATATCTCTTTAATATTCCATTTGGCTTATACATTTCTACTTCTACAATCATCATGATACCAAACACCAGAAAATGAGCATGTATTATACACTGCACCATGAAAAACCTCTTTGAGTACCGGTAATTTTAATTTTAATTATAACCACATGAATGAATTGCCGTGATATAAAACAGCCTCTAAATTGCAGCTAGATTAACTGCAGCTACATGTTGTACAAAACGTTTTGTACCAAAAAAACAATATCATATACTTTCACATCTCAGCTCTCTTAAAGGATACATGCACGAGTGTTTGTTGTAATAAAACCAGTGGCAATAATTAACCTTAATGATGATGTTCAATTGCATTGGAAATTTGGAATACATGTAATCATATTGCAAGGAAATTTATTAAAGCACAAATTGTAGTGATTACAATACTGAGAGAGTGGGGGGGGGGGGGTAGGCATATGTAATGAATACTTCGACACATTTTTAACAAGCCATCATAGAAGAAATGATATGATTTGCTTTTCCCATGTCATTAAAACATCACATCTTGAGATATGCAGATATAAATATTGAATAGCTATAAAAGGTGTTATTATTTATGGTTATATCATCCTACACCCCTCCTTCCCCCCTTTCCATGATGCTCCTGGTAACCATTAAACAAAGTCGGGTTGCCTGTCATGAATTTCCATAGGAGCTAATTAATTTATACTGTTAAGGTCGATCACCTTGCAATACTGTATTTCACTCTGGAGTACACACAAGTATAATAACGATCATGGACTCTATATACCAAAGATATTCTGAAAAAAAATTTTGTAAAAAATCTCACTTCTTACAAGACAAGCACAGGGATGAAGTCAAAATCATATTTGTTGTATGGCTCTATGAAGGCTTGTTCACATTGACACTTCTAAGTTCTAACCTTTTTTGTCTTTTTTGTTAGTAATATAGAATGCCAATGCCCTTGATATTTCTGTTTCTATATATCACACAGATAAGTGAGTACAGAAAGTTTGTTTGGCACAGCTACATTTTTTCATCCTTACTTGATTGTGATTCACTTGCAAATAAAAGATTGAAAGAAGATTAAAAAAAAGTGGTTTCCTGCATCATGCATGAACAAGCCTCAACTAATTCTACCATTTATACATCTCTTCATCTGTTTCTTCATAGCACGAATAGGCATCCAACAGAAGTAGATACCAGCACTATCCAAGAAGCCATCATCGTCATTGATCTCCATATCTTACCAGAAGTTGATCAAAATAAAGCTCAGTTACAAACAAACTGAAACCATAACTGACTATCTGGCCTAGTCTTCTCAACTCTCCTTACACTGACATGTAATTCATTGAATATTACAAGACAAACAGACCCAGTAGAAAGAATGAATTTCATCGAGCATCGCAAACAAATTCAGATGTATGGCATGCAAAATTGAAAGGTATATTGCTCTAATATAATTGCTTCCAATACTGAAATAATCACACTGGCCTTAATTATCCTCACTGAGGTACACATAATATAACTCTAAAGGGGTGAGTCTACCTTGATATTCAGTTGGTTATAATAAAAACAGAACAAAGAGAGAAAGTTATAAATTTTTTTTTAACAATTCAGACCTTTCTTAATTTCTATTGGACTTTCCCTTTAAAACAATTCTGTACTTTTTTCATGGCAGTCATTTTTCATACATGTTTAAATTTACTACCAACATCTATTTTCTAGACAAAAACTATAAATAGTTAAAATACAAAAATCAGACTGTATAATATAATTTCATCATAAAATGTCATAATAGACTACAGAAACTCCATTAGAGATGTTCAATCAATCAGTTTGATTTCCTACCCATCTATTACTGCGTTGAGTTGATGTTACTGTAATAATAGCCTCTGATATATGGCAAGTAAAACAAGAAATGTAAACAAATGGATTAGACATATTGATGAAATAAAATGTACAGTGTATACCCTGTAAAACCTCACAACATTTAGACACATCAGGGAATTATACTGAGAGAATCTCTGCATAAACTTTCTTGTTAAAAACAGATTTTTCAGTAACATAATATATTAATTAAAAATATATGCAGAGCTCTATTCTCAAAATAATTCCATTCATAAAAAAATCTTTTACAAGAAAATTCATTTGGCAAAAAGGTTGGCATTACATGTGTACACATAACATCATGCATGTATTGCATTACAGTATCCTACATCATATATATGGTAGTCATATTTGTCATTATCTTAGTTGTCCCATATTTAATTCTGAAGATTTATCAACTTATTTCAAATCTATGGAAGACAAGTTGGAAAGGATCTTAGCAAATGAACAATAAACATTTTCTTCTTTTTAGGAAATATAATAATAAAAAAGATTAAATTCAGTGTGTGCAACGATGAAATTGTATAATAAAAAAAAGTAAGTCAATTCTAGTCAATTCAGTTCCACAGGACCTAGTATGACAAGAATGCCTAGTGTTTGTTCCTCACAAATGTATGAACATTATAACACAGTAAATAACTGAATAAAATTAACCATTGCAATTATTGCAAAATATTGAATTATTTGCATTTTTATGCCATCTCATCAAAAACCACTAAGATTTCAGTTACAATGATTCATAGAAAGCATATTTTGGCAAAGGAAAACAAGATTTTAGTTTATATCAGATGTTAAAAACAAAACAAAAGGTTGACTCTTGAAATGCCCTTTTGTTTAAATAGATGTTAAAATCATATAAATAGCATTTGTATTGGTTCATAATACTCTTTGAAAGGACTATAAGGGCCACTAACTACTGAATACAGATAAATTACCAATAATAAAATGGAAATATTTTAGACAAAGATTAAAAAAAAGAACTTGAACTGTTTTCCATGTAATTATTGCACATACATACATGTACATATGCAAAATGAATCGATTGTAATTTCTTTAAGAAAGTCAAATACAAATTTATGTAGATATCAACTCAAGCAAGGTTTAAAATTGCTTGGAACACCTTTATGTATAGCACCCCACCTTTTAAAGGATTTCATTTTGGTTTATCTCAGACTTAATATAAAACTGTTAAAACATAATAATACTTCAGTGTTGAGCATGTGTAAGTTCACATTTCAAGATCAGCAAGAAATTGTAGATTGCATGAATGATGACCCCCCCCCCCCCAAAAGGTCACAAAATGGCAGATTTAAATCTGATGCACATAATTATATAGATCAGACTACGATCCAATTTCGAAAAGGACTAGCAATAGATGCGCTCTGTACAACCAAACATACAAAATCTTACTGCTTGAGATTCTGAATACTCATATGAAAAAATAAAATCGTAATTACTGGGAATTGCTACTTTGATTAGAGGTCATGTAATGCACAATAATGTACAAATCTATTTTGTTAGTATTAATATCATTACTGAGAACCCTAATTAGCAATATTAGGCCTAAGCTTTGTCCCCATACAAGCACAATTAATGAAATATTTCCTGAAAATTCCAATTGCATAGAAATCATATCAAGCACAAGTTTTAAACCAATATAAACATAGACCTAATATTTTGCACTCAGATGTATCCACAAGTTACCAATAACACGATTTATGAGACAATTATGATAAACCTGAGAAACGGTTTAGATGGAATAGTAAACTAAACAAATGGTTTTCACAGGACTGTAGTGGCAAGCAGTTTTAGTCAAAATGCTTTAGACCACCACTTAATAATTTCTTTGCCCATGCCGTGCTAGGCTAGCCAAATGTCAATGTTATTGAAAAAGAATAGAGTAAACATAAGTATAAATTTTACTAGCACAGAAATAAGGGTGAAAGTTCACTGAAATGTGGGGGGTTTGGATTGTGTATTCATCACTACTGTATAGACTAAAGCCCAGTGGGTGTTTCAACTTACCGGTAATTAGGAGACGGTACCTGAAATTAATACAATTCATACAGGTGTCCCGCTTGGTATGCAGACAGTTCCAATATCAATATTAATGATACTCACGTCAACAACCTATTCATAGGTTTGGAGACTGATTGAGAGTGGAGGGGTTTCATATTTCTAGAGTCGGTGCGGGTCATTCACTGTATACTTAATCACAACTTTACATGAATACATCTACCTGGCGTATCAATGACATAACACTTCTAATTAAAAGTGTACATTATTGTTCACAGACAATTGTTGCATTATAACTTTAGTTAGTCAGCTGTATCATGATGACTAGAAGCCAGCCCTATTAGGGCAAAGAAGCGCTTCTGTAATCAAAATATATATATATATATATATATACTCTGATCTAAATGAACACCATTATGAAGTTTAAAGTGTCGCTTACACACCATTAATAAAGTAAAATTAAATAACAATAATTTCGAGTAACAAACCGAGTTGTGCTAAGAGGTCTGTGAGTTCTTTATGAAGTTGATTATTTGTTTGGTTTGGCAGATGGCAGCATCTCTTGAAACTAAGTTTGGCAGTTCCCATTTAGCTCCCGCTTCATCAATGAACGTCTTGAATATTTCACATCCAGCAGGTCACCAACTTCATCTATTATCGATAAAGCCTGTATTGTAAACAAACAAGACAATGTGAGAAAGGAATAAAGACCAATCTCCACCTCCTTTGGGAGGTCAACATATGCATTAGATTATTCTAACACAATAATATTTCGAGAAGAAGAGCCATGCATGTGGAGAAAATCAACAACAGAAATGATTGAAAGTGATTCTTGGACAACTACCCACATAGAGCTATCCTAGTATGAGAGTACATTAGCATTGTTGCAACCAATCTGGAAGAATTTGTTGTTGTTGGGGGGGGGGGGGAGGGGGTGGTTGTTAAAATCAACAACAGAAATGATTGAAAGTGATTCTTGGGCAACTACCCACATAGAGCTATCCTAGTATGAGAGTACATTAGCATTGTTGTAACCAATCTGGAAGAATTTGTTGTTGTTGGGGGGGGGGGGGGAGGGGGTGGTTGTTAAGCATTAAAGTCGCCTAGTTTAAAACTTGAAACACAAATTGAAATTTTCACAAACTACTAGTGAAGGCTGTTTTCACAGGAAAGGAAAAAAGGGACATCTGTGAGTCCCATTAAACTTTTGACCATTTTTCAATCATTCCCATCCCCCCCCCCCCTCAAAGAAAGAAAGCAGTAAGGTTTAGTCTATCGAGACAAGAAGAAGTGGAGGGAGGAAGTGTCATCATAGCGCGAAAGTTAGTACCCCTTCATAAGAGGGAAAATACTGACTGTAATGAATAATGATGATGGCAAATGTTTCTTCCGGTATCAGTAAAAGGGTAATTAATTTGTTTAGTCAGTGGGCCATATAAGATCTATCAAAGTGCCCTTTATTAAATTACATAATCATCATGTATCATGTCCTTGTAATTAATGTAAAAAGAAAAACAAGTCAAATGCGACTGCGTCTCCTAAATGCCTCCGCCCTAAATTCAGTATAGGAAATGGATGAAATTCTTCATGACATACATCACAACGAAAATAAGTAGTCTATAATCAAATGTCAACTGACGACTATGATCTTGACCTACTAGCCCCAAAATGGAATTGGATCATCTTCCTATAGTAGTACTTTCACGTTTAGATATTGCGATAGCAAGGCTAAAAGCCTTTAATTTCAGACCTCTGTGACCTTTGACCTAATAACCCAAAATCTAATCAGATCATCTACCTATGTTGATGCACATTATCAACATATTTGTGCCTCATATATCTAGTGTTTTTTTTAGATATCCTGCTAATGAGGCCATTACTTGGAATTTCATTAGTAGACTTCTGTGACCTTTGACCTAGCAACTAAATTACCTAATCAGATTGTCCTCCTATGGTGATACATACTATCATCAAGTTTGAAGTTCATAACTTAAGTGATTCTTGAGATATCGCGATAACAAGAAAGCTAGATCGACGGACGGACGGACAACCCAAAAACATAAAAAGGAGGGACAAAAATGCACTCTCACCTCATCCAGCATCTCTATGGTGTGTGAAGCAGAAAGGCAGATCCTTGCTCTAGCCTCAATGATAGGAGTAGCCGGGAAACCCACGATGACCACAGCCAGACCACGCTTACGACATTCCCGTGCAAACGCCCTGTAGAATGACGTACATAACCATATTAACATTCTGTTTTTGTATATATTTGTAGCACAATTTCCACATACGGTACATTCTGCTTGAACGGAGGAAAGTGACTGTTCATACGGAGTAGGCAAGGGAGTTAGAAGAAAACTCTGAGAACACATTACTGAAGGTTTCAGAAAAATAGGACATAGATTAAGAAAGATATGTACTTTTTGAAAATTCAGGTTGCTTTTGATGTTAAGAATACCCCAATTGGACTACTCCCTTGCAAATGACCTGTAGAATGACATCCATAATCATATCATCATTCTGTTGTTTATTTATATACATGCAACACAATTCCACATGGATTATGGTTGAATTGAAGAAAGTGACCCTTCACAGGAGGTGGGCGAGGTAGTAAGAAGAAAACTCTGAGAACACATAAGTGAACGTTTCAGAAAAATAGGACATAGAATAAGAAATGTATGTACTTTTTGTAAATTCAGGTCACCTAAGACAATAAGAATCTTCCGATTGGCAATGCAGTCATGACGCTTGATGTCATAAATGGAGAACTTTTGTAAACCTAAATAAAGATTCAAATAACCTTAAAGGGCCACTCTAATCAAACCGGGCTAAAAAATGAAAAAAAGACATGTAGAATAATTTTTAACAGAGATTCCGAACTTGACAATGATTTTTCTTAGAAATCACCAATAATTCTGGAATCTAGCTTTAAAAATGACGCCCCAGAACGCTCAGAAAGTAGAGGTGTATTCATGTTTTGAAAGGCTATGCTAGTTGGGTTAGAGTGGCCCTTTAAACTATTTAGTGATCTGACTGAGTAACTCACGCTAGTTTTGAAGGGTAGTACAGCAGCAACGGAACAACAGGGGAGTCCACATTCCCGTAGGTGAGGAATCCCAGGTCACGAAGGCGTCTCCTGAAGTACTGGGTATTTCTTTTCAGTGCTCGGATTCTCTTTTGACCTGTGCAAAACAAAGACATGTACCGCCAAATTTTCTCTAGCAACCATTTGAATAGAAAGCTCACCTGTCTACAAAGTCCACATTTTGTGTTTCTATTGATCATGGTTTCTCATTGAAACTTGACCTAAAGGAACTGTACAGAAAGATCACCTGCCTATGAAGACCACCTTTTGTTTGTATTTCATCACAATCATCACATAAACTTAACCCTTGCCTTACTCAAACATGGGATTTGGGACCAATCAAATTAAACTTCCATATGTCCCATAAGTATTTTGTCATATTGGTCCTTTAAAACTCCTAACCCCAGCATTAAGTGATCATAGCCCAAAAGCCAAGGGACAGAGGGCTACCAAGATATCCCTGTTCTATTAAGCAAAGTAATATTGATTACCTTCTGTGGACCCATCTTCTCCCATGATGATCTTGACTGTCCTCAGGATCTGTTCTACAACAGGGGCTGAAGTGGAGCTGGAGTAGGCCGAGCTGTGAGAGTGTATCCGGAGGTGATCAATCAGATTCTGTACTCAGAACGATAAAACAAGTTTGAAGAGAATCAAGGTTGAGTTCTGGTCAAGATTAAAAATAGTTTGTGAGCTTACTCTTCCTTTTGCCGCTCATTTTTGAGTAAAATTTGCTTCTATTTTGTCAAGGTTGTTTCCTTGAGGCAGTTCACCACATTGTGTCTGAACTGGGCTTAATTACGACTTATAGTAGAGGTGTCGTGGTCGAGTGGATATGTCGCCAGACTGTCGATCACAAGGTCCGCGGATCGAGTCCCGCCGCGGCACTAATGTCCTTTAGCAAGAGTTGATCTACATTTGCCACACTCAACCCAGGCGATGTAAATGGGTACCACCTGGCAGGAATTGATTCCTTGAAATGCTAGAGTGCTGCAATGGCAGCTAGGCTAAAGTGGGGGTAATAATAAATGCGCCTCAGAATAGAATTTCTAGATAGAGGGTGCTATAGAAATGCCTATCATTATTATTATAATTATTACTCATTTTTGAGTAAAAATTTGCTTCTATTTTGTCATGGTTGTTTCCTTGAGGTAGTTTACCACATCGTATCTGAACCGAGTGTAATTAAGACTTCTATCATTAATCTCACCTTTGACCCTGCGATGTAGCCACCGGATGCACCAAAGCTCTTGGTGAACGTTCCCATCATAACGTCAACGTCCCGAGGATCCAAACCAAAGTACTCCACCACCCCTCGACCGGTGGGTCCAATGGCTCCGATACTGTGTGCCTCGTCAAGGTAAAGGTAGCACTTGTACTTCTTCTTCAAGGCCATTAGCTCAGGTAGCCTCACAATTGAACCCTCCATACTGGGACGATGACCAAAGAGAAGAAGTGATTTGATTGGTCAAAAATATATTTTAATTTTAACTGAGATGGTATTTGCAGAAGCGATATGACTGATCAACTGTCTTTTTGGGGGACACTCTAATTGACCAATGGGTGTTGAGATTGACATCCCAGAAAGCCCTTTAGAATGACATGTTGGTCAGCCAGGATGTTGATATCTTGGGCCTTCTGACAACTTTTCTTCTGGTCTAGTGGGCAACTTTCAGGATTATTTTTCCTCTATTTTTTAAAAATAATTCTGTTCAAATAAAATAAATGTAATAAAATCAGCATATTGTTGATAAACAGACCAGATGACAAACAAAGTACAGATCCAAATACAAAGTTATTATAAAGCTTTGAGGACATTTCCTTTTTTGAAAAATTCATTTTAAATTCAGCATATTAAAAAAAATTGTTTTTTGTGCCAGAAAGGAAGAACCTACCTGTAAATGCCCTCGACAACAATAAGAATTTTCTTCCATGGTCTCTGCGTCCTTGGTTGACCCTCGATGATGGCCTTCTTCAACAACTTCTCCAAGCTTTCCATGTCTGTATTAAAAATTATACAAATAATCCTAATCAATAATATAACTAAAAGAAGAATTTGAGATACATACCGCGAAGAGTTGCTGACGAGGGTCAACGTTCACTTTTTAAAGTGAACCAATTTTTGTTTTCTGAATTGTCGGTCATCATATATTTACACAGCTTACAGGATGGTTACACAATGTATACTGATACTCCTTATTGTCTTAAGGCTCGTTCACATTTGATGGGGTAAACGCAACGCTTCATATTTTCAAAAAGACGAGAGTGTAATACAATTCACATTTCTGTATCTTTTAACACACAGATAGATGAGAATACTTAGGATCTTTCATGTGCACAGCTACTTTTTCCACTATTTTTAGCTACTCCCTTTATACATATATACATACAAAAACAATTAGAAGTGTTGTGCATCAGATGTGAACATGCCTTTACTTACTGTTATGTTCAAACACTTTGACAGAAGCACCAGACAATCTGATTCCCAACACAAGGGACGCATGGTTGAGTCTGTCGCTGACTACCAAGCAACCCTGGAAAAAAAAGAAGGGTAAACAGAGTTCTGCTCGTTAATTCTTCATTTGCCAAAAATTGGAAGATTCGACCGCCATATATTGCTCAAAGTATATGGTACAATTACATGCATGGTTTGGTGTTAGGTTCACAGTTGAGTTTGGGTATAGTGCAGCTTCCAGGACTGAAGATTTGTAATATGAGTCTATGATACTGTGCCCGGTGTGCAATTGTTAGCACAGCGTGTGCCATACTTTCTGTTGCATTTTCCCATCTGTTCTGTGCAATATGATAAAGAACAAAGTGTTGATATTTCACAAGTTTTCACACGGGCATGAAAGAGTTGCTCTTTCAAAATGGCGACGAAGCGATAATGATTGCACATGTGCATAGCGGGTTCTCAATAAGTCTCTTCACAAGACTCACAAAGTACACTGACCTTTCCCATGAGAGTAGGAATGTTGAGAGCATTGGTTGCGAACCCCATGCCATACATCATGGCATCCTCCTGCCCACAGAACTCAGCTATACGAGTCTCCAACTCTCTGTGGATATCCAGATTACCTGAACAAAGAGCAATTTATTAATACTTTATTCATTTCATTGACATAGAAAGGGAAATGCATGCCGTTGTATTAATCAAACCTATAGGCACTCTTTGCGCCATTTTACATTAAGCAGTGAGCACTGATCATCACATATGGGCTCCAATTCTCTCTGAGGTAAACAATCAAACTTACAGATAGAATTTGTAAACAAATATATCACATGAATCTTCTCTTTTACAAATGTAATGCTTCCTGGGAGAAATTTCAGTTTTTAAACATATTTGTGGTTTACAACCAGTAAATAAGATCGATTGATCGATCTGTATTGAAAAACAAGTCATAAAAAATCTTGGAACCAGCGGGACTTGAACCTGCATCTCCTGCTTGCCGGGCAGCGACTCTACCACCAGGCCATCACTGGTCCATGGCACAGTCACGTTGAACTAGAAACAAGCTCTCCTGATTTATTCTGACTTATTAATATTCATTAGTCCGCCATAGGACAATAACTTTTATAAATGTAATGCTTCCTGGGAGAAATTTCAATTATTATTTACACATATTTGTGGCTTACACCCAGTAAATAAGATTGATTGATCGATCTGTATTGAAAAACAAGTCAGAAAAAGTCAGGTACTTGTTTCTAGTTCATCGTGACTGTGCCATGGACCAGTGATGGCCTGGTGGTAGAGTCGCTGCCCGGCAAGCAGGAGATGTAGGTTCAAGTCCTGCTGGTTCCAAGATTTTTTCTGACTTGTTTTTCAATACAGATTGATCAATCAATCTTATTTACTGGGTGTAAGCCTCAAATATGTTTAAATAATTGAATCTTCTCCTGTTCATCATTTTTCACATATACATGTATATACACTGTATGTAATATATGTGTGTGTGTGCGTATCAGGGCTCCACACTTACTTTTTGGAAGGGGGTCTGGATTAAAGTTTGTACATTCTGTATGCATAAGCCCTATGTATAAACCACAAAATCTTGGGGGTCTGGAGTTAGATTTTTGGCACCCATGTGTATATAATTACCGGTATAAGTTTGGTCATATCAATCAATGTTCTCTCACTGTCCTCAATCATTCAAAAATACTGTTACCCTTGCCAATGATAAAGGGTACAGAATCTCAAGTCTACATTTCCAAAACACACAAACTTCATTGTCATTACCAAATATTTTCAAACATTTCTCTCACCAACATATCTTTATGAATTTTCCGCTATTACTTCCAGAAACTATAAAGGTAGGGTATCCCTTTAAAACAACTGACAGAAGGATTGCTTTGTGCAACACAATGGCTTTGCAAAATTTCCCATTTCTAGTCTTGACTAGGTCCATGATAACCATTTAAAAAAGTGGATAGATTAATCTTGTACTGGAAACACTTTTTATATTAAAGCCTTTGGTATATATATCATCTATCCTATGATAAATACAGTGTTGGTACTGAGAAATAATTTCTGTGGGATATAAAGGAGTTTAAATAATCACCTAATTCTTGGCGTGTACTGCATACTCCACTCCCATAAGAGAGGGTTGAGTTCTCGATGGATTCCATCCCAGGCCCACCTTGTTCAGCAAAACCGAGGTAGTTGTACGATCCAATGTTAATTGCACTATGAGTTTCGCCAGTAGCTCTGCGATGGGAAGAAGAAAGAAATTATTATAGGCAATGTACAGAAATCAGCTTTACCCCTTCCCCTCCAAAAAAAGAATGCCTGATTTCCTTCAATTTAGTTTTCAAAAATTAATGTAAACTTCTGTTTACAATTCCACAATATTTGAAAAGGTAAAAATTGTCAGTTCTTAAGTGGTCTAAAGCCGTCATTCTGAAGTGGATTAATAAGCAAATAAGACATCTATGTAAACACCAGGCATCAGGCCAATTTCATACACTGTTGCCCATAAAATTGGTTATAATTTTTCTTTTCATTAAATGATTGCGACAATATGGTTTATTCTTGATAGATACAAGTTTATCTCTATGACTCTTTAGTTTGGTCAATAAAGTTCTAAGATACCAATTTTGTCTATCAAGAATACATCATTGTCTCACAATCACTTCGTGAAGAGAGGGTTTAAAAATTCCAACTTTATCTGCAACAGTGGAGGCTAGCTTCAAATGTTTACCATTTTTAGAAATGATAAACGATTGCAATCAAAAGACTAATGACATCATGTTCACAACATAAAATGGATAACATAAAATAAACAAACATTAAACATCAAAGTCATTATGTAAAAGAGGATGAGCCTATGAATCAGATTATGAAATATGCATTTGTTTACCGGTAGTGAATATCAACGAAACATATTGCAAAGTTTAAATAAAGCAAAAATAAGAAATAGGACAAACAAAACATATTATTTTAAAATCAATTTAAAGGCACACTGTCCTACTTGTAGCTACTTGCTCCCTCTATATAGAAAACTTCCCAAATCGGTGCCTGTTGGTCCCCCATGATCCTCTTTTTCTTATGTTAAATGAGAGCTTAGTAAATGAGATAGCCACCTGTCACAGTGACCTCGATGGCTCACTGGGTAGTCTAATCCCTTCTTGCTGAAGTAGTAAAGCCTCCCTTTAAAAGTAAGGGTCTTTGAGGATAAAAATGTAGACATTGTGAAAATTAAACATTGGATTTAGTGAATGGTGAAATGTGAATAGATCTAGTATATTTTTTTTAACAAAGTGGATTATTTGCGAAATTGATTTGTATGAAAGTTTGAGGCCAGATTGGAAAGGAGATACTGTACACCCCAGCACCAAGCCAGTTTAAGAAGACAAAAAGAATGCAGACCTCCATGTACATAGTGAGTGTACCACTAATCCACTATGTAAGTTTAAATGGCCTTGGAGACTACATTTCAATGGGAAAGGCTACATCATAGTAGAGCAATAATGTCTCATTAATTCAAAGGAGTTATTTATAACTCTTTGTTCATTCTAAAATATCACACATTTCAGAACGCTGTATCTACTCATTCTTTGTAACAAGTAAAGCAAAGACCCCCAAAACAAATAGTAGAAACTGATAGTTCAAATAGATCGCACACCGGGTGAACCCCTCAGGTATTGTTGAGGAGAAATCTATAGGGGCATTAGGGGCATTTACAATGCAAGCGAAAACTGTCTGGAATTTTGTAGAAAGTTGCTAGGCAACTAAACATAAGCATGACAAAAAAAATCTGAATTGAAAAACCCATCTCTGGAGTGTAGTTTTTTTAAATGCTGGCCGAAACGCCAGTGGGTTTTGCAGTGTAAATGCTCACTCTCAAAACACCAGTGAATTATTCTGATTTTGGGGCACATGACTTTCCTCAGTTCCGCGCTTACGCATGCAGCAGAGTAGCATCAAGTGGAGCATGCGCATTACTCACCAAGAACCAAGACGTACCGGTGCATGTATTATCAAACACCAGCTTTTTCAATGAGCTTTTCCAGTATTACAAATGGTAGTTATAAAAAGAAAGAACTGATGGTTTTTTTTGTTTCAAAATTGGATTATCTGCAATGTAAATGGGCCTTCTGTCTACACTCTCTGAAAAAGGAGGGGTTAAAAAAATGAGAAGACAAAAATCTAGGCGCGGTGTGATTTATTCATATCTCGCAAAAATGAATTTAATCTTTTACATGGAAATATATCCTTGAGGTCATATCGGTATGAGGTGTCGTGGTCTAGTGGATATGTTGACCGGACTGTGGATCACAAGGTCCGCGGTTCAAATCCCGCCGCAGCACTAATGTCCTGTGGCAAGACATTGATCTACATTTGCCACTCTCCACCCAGGTGTTAAATGGGTACCCGGTAGGATGCGAAAGCTAATGTGGTTAGATTAGCAAGTGTGCGCTTGTAAAAATGACGCTTGGCTGGAATGCTCCCCAGGAAGTGGAGAATGTGCATACATTGTGTGCTGGTAAGCCTGAATCCAATGACCGGGGTAATAATATACTTATCTGTAAAGCGCTTTGAGAGGGCCTCCGGTCCTGAAAAGCGCTATATAAGAACGAGCTATTATTGATCTCACACAGACAACATGGAAAATGGTGTAATTTAAGGGTCCTGTATTTGACCTTACATGTATATAACCACAACTGTATGAAAGTTGTGATTGTATACAATTTACACAAGTTTACAATCTTTTGTGAGGCAGGGGAGTGGCAATTAATTGATTCACTGCATGGTGTCCAGTATATTGCATTCATAATACAGTGCGTCCCAAAAAAAACTATACACTTTTGAAATGGCTGCCGTATAAAAAATATAATATTCTTTGGGGAAAAGTTGTATATGTATGGAAAGCTCACAAACCCAACTTTCATATGACACCAAAAAGTTCGAAAATAATTCATGCTTGGGTGAGCACTGCTCACTTTTGTAAAGGGTATGAAAATTAGTTTGCGCAGGAATTAGCCTTCCAATTTGTGAGAGGTAAATCCTTTGGAGCTTATGAAATTGAGAATAATATGACCAATTTATGATCAATTGTGATGAGTTTGGGTTTGCTAAGTGAAATTTGTGGTTCATGGGATTAAAATTGTATGCATGAGTGAACAGGAATTGCATTTGTTATTACCGTATAGCAATGTAACTTTCCATGGTAGACTCAGTGGTGTGTTCATGGGAGTCAGGACGGGGTGATGGTACATGGTACAGGGGAGGTGAAATGTAGGGTAGGACTTTGTTGGCTAGATTGGATAAAGGTCAAGAGGACATGTATGCCCCTCCCCCTTCTCTCTTTCTCTCTCTCTCTCTCTCTCTCTCTCTCTGCCCGGGTATGCTTGTGCATATCTTGACAATTCATTAGACAATCAACATTCAGCTATCAATCACTTAATCAACAATGTATCAGTCAATCGGTCAATCAATTAATCAATCAAGCATTCAATCACCATTCAGTATTTCAATCAATTTAATCATTCAATAAATCGATCATAATTAATCAATAAGTCAGTCAACCACTCAATCCATCAACCAACCAACCAGTCATTTTAGCACTTGAGTTTTGCACAAGAAATATGGTACAGTTAAACACAAATTCACAAGTTTGTAAAATGAACATGTCAGTTTTCAATTTTACAACTGTTTCGTCCATCTTGTAAGAGAAAAAAGGGGAGAAAATATCTGAAAATGGAAACAATGGCCCATATGTCCACCTCCTCTTTCGATGCACAATCTTGGTGAAGGTTTTTATTCACAGTCATAGAAGTAAAAAAAAGAAATAACAGTTTGTAACACAGAAATTACAACATGTACCATCACTCCTTCCTGACTCCCATGAACACACCACTGAGTCTACCAGGGAAATTTACAATGCTACAATAAAAAATGCAATTCCTGTTCACTCATGCATAAAAGTTTGGTTTAATAGACCATGAAATTCACTCAGCAAATCATGAATGTATCATATCACCCTCAATTTTGTAAGCTCCAAAGGATTTACCTCTCACAAATTGGAAGGCTAATTCCTACGCAACCTAATTTCCATACCCTGTACAAAATTGAGCAGTGTTCACCCAAGCATGAATTATTTTCGGACCTTTTTGGTGTCATTTGAACGTTGGGTTTATGAGCTTTCCATATACATATACAACTTTTCCCCAAGAATCATATATTTTTTTATTTGGCAGCCATTTCAAAAGTGTATAGTTTTTTTGGGGACGCACTGTATAATAAAACAGTTCTGAAGCCCACTGCACACCACACAATCCAATTTCTTCAAAGAAATTGATAGAGCATTATATCTGACCTGTGAGGCAGTGACCATTAAAAAATATTATTCAAACTTGTAAAACCTTTAAAAAGATTTCTGATAGGGTGTTTCCATGCATGTCGCTATATGACCGAACAACAGATGACCTTTGTCCCATTCTATCATCCTAACATGAAAAAAAACCTTTTGATATTATCACTGACTACAATATTTTTTTAATCATCACTACCATTCATCAGTGGTCATATTAAGAGATTTGTCCCTCCATAAGATTTAAGTGAATTTTCTTTTCAAATGCTATCGTCACCAAATCTGGGTGCAGAGTGTACCAGAAATGTACATGTACCAATAGTGTGTTGTGAGCTTCATGTGCCAAACTGTACAGATTCAAGCTCTCATTAAAGATAAACTTTAGTACTGGTAATGCGATTGCATTGTGAAAGAAAAGGTGTGGAAAGGATCAGAAACAGTTGATCATGTAGCATGTAAGTATTGGTGTGCACTGCAAGGTTCTGGAGTCATCAAAATCATAATAAATTTGACCGAGTCTTGGTAAAGTAACAAGCACTCACATAGAAAGCTATATATGGGACAACACACATGGTGTCGGGGCTAGTACTACCTTGATTTCCTTGTCTTTCTATGCTCATTACTCAGCCAGTATACATTTTCTTCCACCATTGTTTGGCACATGTCATTTATTTGTAATCATGAACATTCAGTGTAAGTTTCGTTTGATTCTGTGAGAATTATTTTTTTTTTTTACCAGTACTGGAGTTTATCTTTAACCTATTCAGACAAGTTTGTCAGTTTACCTGTGTAATCTTGAATTGCTATTAGAAGCAGCACTTTCAACTCAGATAAAACTATGTGATGTACGAGATTTAACTTTGAGTTTTAACAAATCCATCCGCATTGTAAGAGAAAAGAAGCTTCAATGTACACATGAAGTTTTAATGCTATTTAAGTTCTTGAAAATGAATTATTCTTTTTGTTCTAGATTAATGTTTTTCAATTCTAAAATCAGATATATTTTTTAATGTGCATTTATTGAAGGAAATTTAAAAATGTGTACAGCCTTCCCTTTCTCTTCTATCTTCTCTCTCGATCCCTCCCTCCCTCCCTTCCTCTTGCATCTAAAATAATAAAATGGTAACTAGTGATGGTAGCAGAGTATGGCAATAGTATTAATATCTAAACTAACATTACATCCGCATTCCCATTCCTTCACATATAAATCAACTTTATCAAGAAAACTTGAAATTGGAAATAAAATGTCTAAGAAGTAAGAACATGATAAACAGAAAAAAACAAAGAATAACATTACATGTAGTTAGAGATAAGGACACAAAGAGGATATCAAAATAAGTACACTTGTTATCAGTGATGTGTATATTTAACTTGTTATCAAATATCCAGAGATGGACACATGTGAATCAACTTCATACGACCAAGAAGTAATGCAGTTTACATGTTGTTGTTAACTTGTTTTTCTTGTTTATATCTGAACCAACATATAAAAGAAAAAAATATTAAAGTGCTATCCATGAGGAACATGCAAAAGTTTCAGTACATTATATGTTTAGTATCAAACAGTTTTCTCTGTAGTGCACTGTTCAAGTGTTCATCTCCAAAAGTAGATATGCTGGTAGAGTGGTAGTAGTACATGTGCACAGTTGTGTCCTGTTTCATCATTCATCATACTAGCCATAATCATGGGAAGATCTATTCTAATTACCACAATACATGCCGGCATTACAAAGGACTACATGTACACGAGCAGATCATCTTAAACATCATCTGATCAAAGGTAAGTTGATGAAAATTAAACTATTGCAGCCAAATAAAAGCTATAACCTATGGTTATAGATATAAAACTATAAAAAGATATGACAAGCACATATGAAAAGATATGAAAAATCAAATATTCAGGAGTCCCTATTCAGTCAACGAAACTGGGAATATATCTCACTTGGCCCCCAGATGAATATTTCATAATCTTATATATTTCACAATGCACTTACTTGAAAGTCCAGTAGTGGTCTTCGCTGGATCTGCCCATCAGATCAAACCGTGCAGTGGGTGCACTGGCGATCGGCACATTCCAGTTGTCCCGTATTTTCCTGTAGACATGGCGCGTGAAGAAGCTATCAAAGTCTTGGTACAGCGGCACGAAGGACTGCAACAAAATGGAAAGCAAGATGTGAGCAAGAGACTGATAAATGAATGTCAAACTTAAAACTGTAAATCCAGACAAAACAGATAACTAAATCGTTTATTGTGTCTTTCCGTGCTCGTCCTCCTGTTCCACAGACACAAGCTGACTTACAATAGAAACTACATGTACATGGTCCCCCCTCAGCCAGGACATTAAACATTAAATGATTACATAGCATGAGTGTCTATTTGTATTAGACCCAGTAGCCATTGGTCCTGAATATATAGATAATTTGTCATTCAGTCAAATTCCATCATTTCAAGAGCTTCGCAAACATTACCATTGCAATCTTGAGATCCATTACATTGATTGAGTAAATAAACAATGATTACTAACACTTCAACCCTTTATTCAAATATTCAACTATTCTAAAATAAATCAATATTAACAGAATACAGGCACATTTAAGTTGAGTATACCCAAATACCCAAATACCCAAATACTCAAACAAAAGCTGAAAAATTGAAAGAATTAGATCAAAAATTTTGGAAAATTGTAGGATGAGGAGGCAAAAGATCATGATCATACAATTTTGCAAATGTAAGATATATTCTGGCTATTTTTCATTTGTTTTGTCACAGATATTTTTTTTTATTTTATTGAATTTTGTTCTGAAAAGATTTCTACATATAAAAGTGCCATCACTTGAAAACTTGTTCTTTTGCATTATCCTCAATATGAAACAGAAATTCCTCTTCACTGAAATAAAAAAGGGGCAATTCATGAAATTCGTGATAAAGAGCAGTTTAGAAGGTAAGCCTTAATTGATCAATTATAACTTTTAAAAATCAAGAAGTTCCTATTAAAGCATCATTGGATGAGTATCAATCTTCACATTAATTTTGTATGCCTTTATTTAAATTGACTTTATATGTGGGAAGCGGACTTCGCATTTAGCAAATCTTTCATACATGCAATAAATTATTAAGGAAATTTATGGGCAGTTTATGTAATTTTATCCACTTGCATTTATATAGATGAAAACAAAATTGATACTATATCAGAAAATAAGACTTAAAATCTCTGATATCGACAATGGGAAAATAAAACCCTGTTGTACGCATGCATTAACAGACATTAACTGAAAAAACCTGAAGGAAAATACCTTTAGCTTTGGTGACTCTTGAGCAGCTAGGCTTTTTCCAAGTCCAATATCCCTCAGTGCATCCTGAATGTATCCCACCAGAGACAGGACAAGATAACTAAGGTACGCCAGGAAGGCCGTCACCAGAGCCGCCTCCTCAAACGATTCCTCAAAATGGCCTCCATTTGTCTGGATTTGAGGAGGAAAAGCCTTTACTTTGTATTGCATAACTCTGATATTCAGCTGGATAAAGAGCCATGTATAGTTGTCATTCTTCTTCAAAAAATTCACAGTTTTTGAAAATCACTGTCAATCATAATGGTGTGATACAACATCTTACTGATCTTAGTATTGTAAAGCATTATGGAAAAGGGGCTCCTCTTTATATTCTATGCATTATTTGTAACAGATATAATGCCTTGCTTGTAATATTGGACAAAGGTGTCATCCCATACAGCACCAACAGCCATAAGCCTTGCATGATTGCATCTAGTAAAAGGTTTTAACCCTTACTGTACTAGGCTATTTTGAGCACCCTCTGACTGGGGGGGGGGGGGGGGGGCCTGGGAGGCCCCCCCCCCTATGATCTCGGAAGTCGAATGTCCGATGAACACGAAAATTTGCATATTTGTAGATATTTACAAATGTACGTAAGGAACAAGATGGTATAATTAGTTTTTTTCCTAATATGCAAATTTTTGTGGTTATAGCCTAATTAATTATGCGAAATGCTAATTTTATGCATTTTACAGAAAACTCTACATATTTGTCCGTAGACTTGTGAAGAATCTTAAAAATGTATTGAATAAATGTTTCCTTCATCTCAAATTCATGAGGTTTCATTATTTTTATGATATTTGAAAATGCATAGGTTAATTTGCATAAATTATGATTACGCAAATTATGCATTCATGAATATCAAATCTGGAACTATATTTAGGGAACTAGATTCATTACAAAAATTGTCAGACTCCACTTATTGAATGTTGGAACTCATTATTCATATGAAACTTCTTTTCTAACACAAAATAGTTATTTGATGTAATTAATAATGAAAATTTATGCAAATTTGATGCGATTTTCAACTATTTATTTTCTTATGTATTTTATTGTTTTTTATTTCTTATTATATCTATTGTTTTATTCCTAATGTATTCTTTTGTTCTGGAATACATCAAGTTACTCTGAGAAACATATAAAAGCAATTTGATATCAATTCATATCTTTACACATCTGCTTGTACATGAATATATGCAATTATAGCACTTTTTTGATGACATGCGCATACTAATTGTTATGTAACACCTTACAGGTATGTATATCCGATTTTGACGAAAATGGTATCAAAATGTGCGCAAGACTTGAGGGGAAAAAGTCATGAAACGACAATTCAAAATTCCAAGCGGTTGCAGCGCGATCTCCGAAAATGTCGAAGAAAAGAAAAGAAAGGGAAAGGAAAGAAAAAGAAAAAAGGAAAAGGAAAGAAAAAAGGAAAGAAAGAGAAAAAAGGAAAGAAAGAGAAAAAAGGAAAAAAAGGAAAGAAAAAAGCAAGAAGAAGAGAAAAGGAAGAAAAAGGGAAAAGAAAAGGAAAGGAATAAAAATGGGGAAAAAAAATAAAGAACATGGCCGTAAGCACCAGGGGGGGGGGGGCAGTTGACCCCAGATATTTTGAAATCGTACAGTTTTTTTCCTGAAAATGTAGTGTAGGCCTATACCAAATCCTTCAATTCTTCTTTTGAAAATGCAAAAGTACCCTCATGACCAGTTCGGTCGCTCGAACTCCCTTCACTCCTTTTGCTTTTGAGATTCTTCAAAAACTTTTAACGCATCTTTCCCCCTTCCCACATCAGAAAAATATTCCGCATACGGCCCTGAAAAATTAAAACAAATGAAAATAGGAAAATATAAGTGATATAACAAATTTGAAACTCTTCGCTGGCGCGAACTGCTTGCTAGCCTATTTTGTATTAAATGTTTTCACTTCCTCGTCCCCCTGAAAAAAGAAAAGGATTAGTATTGCCTAGAATACAATTGTGCCTGCCCCGACGGGCCCCGACCTGCAACCATGGGAATAATAACACACAATATATGTACCAAATGTTACTAAAAGAGACTAATTCATTTTTCTCGAATAGACATTGCTTTGGAAACAATTGTGCCCACCCTTGACCTGCAACAATATCATTAAAAATGGAAGAGTTTTTTCGCCCTCTCGCCAAAAAGGAATTGAATCGCGTTAAACGCGATTGCGTCCATCCTGACCTGCACCAATAAAAACAAGTTTATTTATTAATTTCTATTAAAAGAGAATTTTTTTTTTTTGCTTGCTCGCTATGCTCGCTCGCCAAAATGGAATTGACACCGCTAACGTGCCCGCCCCAACCTGCAACAACCAGTTAATAATTATGTACGAAACGTTATTCAAAGAAGTTTTGGTGTGCTCGTGCTCGCCAAAACGGAATTAACATCACCTTAGACATGATTGTGTAAGCCCTGCCCTGCAACAAAAAAATCTGAAATTTATGAACCAATTATCATTACAAAAATTTCGCTCGCTCGCTACGCTCGCTCGCCAATATAGAAATAACACCGCTTTTAATAATCACGTCCCTGACATGGAACAATTAAACCAAGTTTATATACCATATTTTCCCTATAAAGAGAAGTGATTTTTTTTTGCTCGCTCGCCAAAATAGAATTAACACCGCTTTTAATAATCACGTCCCTGACATGGAACAATGAACCCAAGTTTTATGTACCATATTTTCCCTATAAAAGAAAAGTGATTTTTTTTTTTCGCTCGCTAGCTCGTGGAATTATGTGCCCACCACTAACCTGCTACAATATCATTAAAAAGAGAAATGTAGGGGGTTGCCTGCCCGCCAAAATGGGATTGACATTGCCTTAAACACGATTGTGCCCGCCCCCTACCTGCAACAATGAAACAAATTTTATATAGCAATTCATTGAGAGAAAGATGTATTTTCGCTCGCTAGCTAAAATGGGTATAAAATCACCCTAAACACAATATTGTTCCCGCGCCCTGCATGGGACAATTGAACCAAGTTTAAGTGGCAATTATTAAAAAAGAAGTGATTTTTTTCTTGCTCGCTACACTAGTTTGCAAAAAAATGAAATTAACGTCGCTAACAAGTGAATGTTCCCACCCCCAACTTGCAACAATACCAGTTTATATACCAAACGTTACTTAAAGATTTTTTTTGCTCGCTCGCCAGAAGTGAAAATTAGCATCGCCTTTTTTGTTTGTTTCGGTCGCTTGCCCCCCCTGACGAAGTACCCCAGGTACGCCACTGTTTCTAGGCTAATATTTAAAAAGTTACTACAGTAATGGGCCCGATGTTTCTCTTATCACACTCGCATGTTATTTCTACATAGATTAAACATAGGATGGTTAAGGGTAAGACCGGATAACATTATAAAAAAGATATATCCTTCCAACCTCCCATATCCAAGTTTTGGGCTGATTATTGCCGACCCACCGCAGCAAGGCCATTCAGATTGTCGTATTGAGTACATGTATACTATACTGTATACAGTCTGGAGCTCAAAATAAACAAAGAAGCCAGGGGGTTAATCCTGCATCTTGCACTTAAACCTTGTAAATATCAAACTTAATCACACACTATTCTCAGTCAGTTATGAAATGTTACTCGATCCCTCTCGCTCAGTCAGATACACCCAATTCCATTCCATCATCATAAACGACCCATGACTCTCTCTTTCACTTTTTTTGTTATCACCAGTAGGCCTTTGCTTTTCTCATTTTACAACAAAAGAATGGTACTAGATCTAGATTTGATAAATATTACTATGTCTATGGCATATAGACCTATAGATCTATATATGCTCACAAACATATCCGAATAGAGTTGACGTCTTTGAAAGCTTGTCGCTCTCTACTCTACTCTAGTCTAGATCTAGACCGAAAGCTTCAGTCTCTATACGATTATAGAGACTGAAGCTTTCGGTCTAGTCTAGATCTAGATCTAGATCTACCTACAGAAAATCTGTCTGGACTTTGATTGGAGGAGATATCTTTTAATTTTCAATTAATATCTCCTCCAGAGGAATCCGGTGGAGCAAGACGTAGTAGGTCTACTAGTAGTTTCTGCGCATTGATGCTATTTTATGAAAGACATACATTTGTTGTATTGTCTGCGTACATTATCTACAGTGCAGTCTTGGTGCTCAAAATAAACAAAGCAGTGAGGGGACACGGCCGCGGCGAGGCGAGGCGAGGGCCCGGGGATAATCTTGAATGCACACAAACCTTGTAAATATCAGACTTGAATTCACGCACGTGTACTTCATCTTCTTTGATATCAGGTCCTCCTGCAGATACACCGTTCTTCAAAGATTCCATACATCTCGAGCTAATTCTGTTATTTCTATGAAGGGCCATTCTCGCCGCAGTTGGTCAATTCTTAATTGGGAACAACATGAATTGTAAATCCAATGGGTGAACGAGTCGGCTCAACGAAGCTAGCTAGCCACACCTCCTTGCGTAATTGCGCTTTAATAATTACATGCACGATCGATCGAACTACTACAGAGACGACGTCGACGTTCTATAGCAGCACAGAACTACTCTGTGTGGACGTAGCAATCACTTTCAAGTAAGAGAGGGTCGCGGAGTTACAACTCGGTACGGTACCATGCGCCCCGTTATATGAGTGAAGGGAAAATGAGGGAAAGGGAGCTAGAAACGGATAAAAGAATGAAGTTTTTAGTTTTATGAAATCGACCCATCCCATGCACATAACCCTCACTACTGTCAAATAGCTTCTCTTTATAGACTCTAGAGCATCAAGTATATAGGCCCTAAAATTGAATTATACAGTAAACTTTAAAAAAATGCATATCACGTACCGTCCTATGGAACTATATCGGATCTATAAATTAAATGTCACTTTTGTGGAAGACAATTTTTTTCTAATTTAACCGTTAATAACTTTTTGTTTTGGAAAATAACTTATAAGCAATCAATATATCACATGCAAAAGTTGCATAAACACGTTACAAGTTTGTTTGTTATAAATTATAATTGTTTAGTTTTATCTTCTTTCAATTTCAGTTTATATTGTTTCATATTTAAAATTGTCAATGATTTCAAAAAATAAATGGTACAAAGTAATACAAACATGAATTTTATTACAACAAATTAAGTACCTCATGATTGTCAATACATCAGGATGTCGTGAAGAAATATATATTTCTACATGTACTATAGTTTTGAAGAGTCGTATATTATGAGACTATATCAGCATCTTGGTGCCTAATGTTTACTGTAAGTGTCACTACAGCAGTGTGTAGTGAGGATTGTTACAAGATTTCGTTAAATAAGGTCTATTATTGAAGACTAGTTAATTCAGTCTGAATATATAGACTACCAATGTCAATGCATTAGGCCTGTACTGCTGTTATCTTAGGTCAACAGAAGCCCCTTGTCTTATATAACAGAAGCCCCCTTGTTTTATAGTGCTAAATGAAAGTACTTTGCATACAATGTATGGGTATACATTCTGTGTTTAGGCACTTGTGTTGTAGATGTATCGCATATTATGTGTAGAGGCAGTATATCATCAGTGTTCAAGTGAATGTCTCAACAGTGAAGTTGCTAGTTGCAACCGTCTTCATAAGTTTGATTTCCAGTGATTGTGGAGCATTTTACAGACCCGAATTGGTAAGAACTCACTTAATATAATAGTGGTAGTTAATGTTGAATTGTTTTATGAAGTAATGTAAGCTTAGGAGAGAATATTAGACATCTTTCTTGTTTGTTATATATAGTTTGGAACTTGAAGGGCAAGGAAAGTTATGTGTGTGCTCTTCCAGTGTACTTAGGAGATGCGTGCATTGTACTGTACTCTCTCTCTCTCTTCTCTGTATCGCTATCCACCCCTCTCTGATCTCACCCTTTCTCTCTCTCTCTCTCTCTCCCCCCTCTCTATCCCTTTCTTCAGCTCTCCATGCATGTTTGTTACAGTGCCACTGAGATGGTGGTGACTGCATTATAATGTATTATAATGTATTTTAAGACAGGTACTTTCTTATCTAGTAGGATATTATTCTATACTTGTAGTTGTTTTGTCGCAGCATATATATGTAAATAGACTGCGTAATTAGGTAATTACATACTTGCAAGTTGACTTCTATTTTCATTGTCTAGCCAAGGTTTATAACTTGTTGCTTATAAAACAAAGAGACAGTTTTGGAGTGCATGTAGTCAGTTTAAGTTATATGTAGGTTCAATTACTTTGTTAAGCTATTATATATGCACATGTATTGTTGTAGTGTCTCATAAATATGAACATTATGTAGTTTGTTTCTCTTTCTGTTGTGTTACAGATTGTTATCTGAAGGTTGAGTGACCATACGACCAGTGAATAAACGACAGTTCGTGAACTTTAACTGAATCTTCGTACCTCGTCATTTCAATCTTGTGAATAACAACTTTAGGGTGTTAGTGTAATTGTCGAAACTCCTCGGTTTACTAGTTGTAAACGGAGGCAGCCACAATAACAATCAACGTCTGTTATTCGAAGTCGAATAACAAGTGAAGTTCCACAAACAAATGAAGCTGAATGACAATCAAGGATCTGCATGTGCATCCAGTTAGCTGAACGGCAAAGTAGCCTGTGCATCCAGTTAGCTGAACGGCAAAGTAGCCTGTGCATCCAGTGAGCTGAATGGCAAAGTAGCCTGTGTATCCAGTTAGCTGAATGGCAAAGTAGCCATAGACGTAAACGAAAAGGAATTGTATAAGTTACCATGGCAATGGCCACTAGTCTCCCGGAGAAGTTGGAGCAGGGGAGCGTTAAAAGTAAGCGCTCCGTGCAAAGCGAAAGAGTTCTTCAAGCATTCCATGATGAACTCCAGATGATGGACCAAGAGGATGAACTCAAAAGAATTGAGTTTGCCAGAAAACAAGAAGAAGCAAGAATTGAGTTTGCCAGAAAACAAGAAGAAGCAAATTCAAAATTGAGAAAACTCAAGCTCACCAAGCAGTTCAATGAGAGAATGGCAGAACTTGAAGGAAGCAGGGATGACATTGAATATTCAGAGACCCATTCTGTCAAATTAGATCTTCCTGAGGAGAAAAGGGAGGACTCCATCCAGAGATATTTGCAATCCCAAGATAGTGTAGCACAGCAGAGCCCTCAACAGCCAAGGAGTTATGTCACTCCTGTGTATGAATCAAATGGGTTGCAAAAGGTAGCTGAATCACTCGCAGAGGTAGCAAGGTCGATGGCTATACAAAGTGCTAGCTCTCGGCAGGTCGCTGTGACCAGTCAGTTGCCGCCCATCGATCTTCCCGTATTCAGTGGAGACCCCCTCCAGTATCCCCTCTGGAAAAATGCATTCGTGAGCCTCGTAGACAGGAATCCAGTTGATCATCCTACAAAGCTTCATTACCTGAATAACTCTGTGGCTGGAGCACCAAAGAGGTTGGTGCAGCACTATCTTCTTCTTGGCACTGAGGATGCCTACCACAAAGCATGTGGAGCACTCGCAGAACGATACGGAAGCCAGAGCGTAGTGTCTACTGCCTTCACAAAGAAGTTGAACTCATGGCCAAGGATCAGCAACCAAGACTCTACAGGATTGAGGGATTTCGCAGATTTCTTGAACCAGGTGGAAGCGGCGAAGGTGACAATTTCAACACTTGATATTTTGGATTTTCCCCAAGAAAACGTAAAGATGTTGGAGAAGCTTCCAGCATACCTCGCACGGAAATGGCGTGACGAAGTTGACAGGTGGCAACGTTGTGGACTTGGTAGCTATCCAACATTCGCAAGATTTGCAGAATTCGTCAACGACGCAGCACGCAAGGCCAGCATTCCAGAGTTGGAGTGCCTGAAGAACCAAGAATCCAGGCCTAGGCAATTTCCAGCTGGAAATAAGGGATTTGCTGGAAAGTCGCTGTCCACTAGAGCATTCAATGGTGGTCAACAAGGCAAGTTCTCATCGTGCCCCTTTTGCAATGAAAAGCACCATCTTGACGAGTGTCAAGAATTCGCCAAGAAGCCTCATCCACTTCGTAAGGCATTCTTCTTCCAGAAGAAACTATGCATGGGATGTGGCAGTGATGACAGCCATCAGGCCAAGGACTGTCCTCAGAGGAAAACATGTGAGGATTGTCAAGGAAGGCACCTCACATGCCTGCATCGTCCGCAGAACAGAGAATATGAAGGTTCCTCAAAGTGCACCAACGTCTGTTCCTTACCAGACCAGGACGGGAAGGAACACTGCATGATTGTGCCTGTGTGGGTACGGCATGCTAGCAACCCAGGCAACGAGATCTTACAATACGCGATCCTGGATGACCAATCCAACGTTGGATTTGTGTCGAAAGCATTGTGTGAGAAGATGCGTGTAGATGGAACAGATACCAATCTTCAATTGACAACAATGCACGAGAGTACGCGCATCAAAACCTCAAGGATCTGTGGACTTGAAGTGCTGGACTTCAAGAAGGAGCATGTGGTCACCCTACCAGCATGCTATCAGAGGGACGACGTTCCAGCTAGGAGATCTCAAATTCCTAAGGGTGATGTAATGAGGAGGTGGGCTCATCTGTCCCCCATTGTCAACGACCTCATGCCATACAATCCAGCAATAGAAGTTGGACTTCTCATCGGCAATGACTGCCCGAGAGCCATTAGACCCAGGGACATCATCTGCGGTGGAGAAGACGAACCCTACGCTCAGAGATCCATTCTGGGATGGGGTGTCGTTGGGACTGTTTGCATGTCTGCAAACCAGGAAATCTTCTGCAAGAAGACATGTGTCAAGGACGACTACCCTCGCTTTGCCTACGCCAATCGGGCAAGGGAAGTATTCTCCCAAGAAAGGGTTCTCAACGTGCAGGAGAAGGATATCATCGAAATGAATCAGAAGGGAAAGCCCTATTCTATCGACGAGATGAAGTTCATGAGCATGTTGGAGAAAGGAGTCAGGAAGACAGAGGATGGACACTACGAGATGCCCCTACCTCTGAAGTCCAAGGAGATGTCCCGTCCGTACAACAAGCCCCTTGCCATCAAGCGATGGAATCAATTGACAGCCAGATTAAGGAAGAACCATAAGTTCCAGGAGGATTACACCGAGTTCATGAAGGGTGTGATCGCTGATCATGCGGAAAGGGTGCCGCCAGATAGACTAAATGCTACGGTCAGTGTTCGTATGTCCGAAAGGTCAAGATACTGATAGCAGACGGAACATTGGACAATGAGGGAAAGCGTAAACGCCCTCCCGTTGAACTTGATAGACCTATCCAGAAGTTGGTACTGTTGTAACCAGTTGAAAAGTGATTTTGACTGTCACAAGTGAAGACCAGTGTATATTCCCCCTCAAGGAGCCTTTGATATTAAATCGCGAACAATGTTTTCAGCTCATCCGAACAATAAGCTAGGATTAAAACGCGAGTTTCATAAACAGTTATGTTTTATAGTATTCACCTTTTAATGTATTGCAATGTGATAGATGTTGCAGATTTGTACTTAATTTGTACATGTGTATTGATTTTAAGTGTATGTTTTGTTTTAAAGTGTAAATGGACGAGCCATTTAAAGGAGCCATGTCACTACAGCAGTGTGTAGTGAGGATTGTTACAAGATTTCGTTAAATAAGGTCTATTATTGAAGACTAGTTAATTCAGTCTGAATATATAGACTACCAATGTCAATGCATTAGGCCTGTACTGCTGTTATCTTAGGTCAACAGAAGCCCCTTGTCTTATATAACAGAAGCCCCCTTGTTTTATAGTGCTAAATGAAAGTACTTTGCATACAATGTATGGGTATACATTCTGTGTTTAGGCACTTGTGTTGTAGATGTATCGCATATTATGTGTAGAGGCAGTATATCATCAGTGTTCAAGTGAATGTCTCAACAGTGAAGTTGCTAGTTGCAACCGTCTTCATAAGTTTGATTTCCAGTGATTGTGGAGCATTTTACAGACCCGAATTGGTAAGAACTCACTTAATATAATAGTGGTAGTTAATGTTGAATTGTTTTATGAAGTAATGTAAGCTTAGGAGAGAATATTAGACATCTTTCTTGTTTGTTATATATAGTTTGGAACTTGAAGGGCAAGGAAAGTTATGTGTGTGCTCTTCCAGTGTACTTAGGAGATGCGTGCATTGTACTGTACTCTCTCTCTCTCTCTCTCTTCTCTGTATCGCTATCCACCCCTCTCTGATCTCACCCTTTCTCTCTCTCTCTCTCTCTCCCCCCTCTCTATCCCTTTCTTCAGCTCTCCATGCATGTTTGTTACAGTGCCACTGAGATGGTGGTGACTGCATTATAATGTATTATAATGTATTTTAAGACAGGTACTTTCTTATCTAGTAGGATATTATTCTATACTTGTAGTTGTTTTGTCGCAGCATATATATGTAAATAGACTGCGTAATTAGGTAATTACATACTTGCAAGTTGACTTCTATTTTCATTGTCTAGCCAAGGTTTATAACTTGTTGCTTATAAAACAAAGAGACAGTTTTGGAGTGCATGTAGTCAGTTTAAGTTATATGTAGGTTCAATTACTTTGTTAAGCTATTATATATGCACATGTATTGTTGTAGTGTCTCATAAATATGAACATTATGTAGTTTGTTTCTCTTTCTGTTGTGTTACAGATTGTTATCTGAAGGTTGAGTGACCATACGACCAGTGAATAAACGACAGTTCGTGAACTTTAACTGAATCTTCGTACCTCGTCATTTCAATCTTGTGAATAACAACTTTAGGGTGTTAGTGTAATTGTCGAAACTCCTCGGTTTACTAGTTGTAAACGGAGGCAGCCACAGTAAGATTATACCCCGAGTCGATACAAAGACAGTTTTTTGTTCTCTCCAACCCGTTCTGGGAGAAGCAGACTTCATAATGTCGAAGTGATGCAGTAAGGTTCGAATTACATAACATTGCAGCAGAAAATTGTCAGCTATTTTGTGGAACAAAACTACAGGCCCAATTCGGTAAGAATACAATATCCATTTCTATTAGTTTTGGTAGAGTTTTATATGACTTTCGTGAATGTGATAGATGTTGTACTTTTCAGGAGTAGACAAAGAGATGAGTGTGCATAATTATTGCATAGTGCAGAAAAGCTGAGTTCTTTGTCTTTGTCAGCAGAAATTACAGTACATTAATGTGTCACCTCCTTTTGGATTTTATCATGAAACGACGACATGAGAGGATTCGGTTCCGAAATATTTTGTGTATGGCCGAATTGTCTCAGGCCGACATGATTTGATTTACCGAGAGGCTAGCTAGGCTTGAGCCTTTGGCTTGAGCAGCTCGCTTGAGCTTGGGGCCGCGCCTATGACGGGCGGATCGCGCCATAAAGATGACAACTATACAACTATACATCCATCGAATGGATGTAGGGTTTTAACCAATCAGAACGCAGGAAACTGTACAACTATACAACTATACAACTATACGACTATGCAACCATACAGCTATAGAACGTATGTAAGGTTGTTACGTTTGCGGGCCGAAATGCCATAATTGCAAACAACCATACATCCATTCAGCTTTATGGTTGTACGGTTTTATCCAATCACAATGCAGGAAACTATACAGCCATGGCGGCGGAAATGTCTGTATAGTTTTATGCCTGTACGGTTTTAACCAATCATAATGCAGAAAACTATACAGACATGGCGGCGAGAATGTCTGTATAGTTTTATGGCTGTACGGTTTTATCCCATCACAATGCAGGAAACTATACAGCCATGGCGGCGAGAATGTCTGTATAGTTTTATGGCTATACGGTTTTGATCACAATGCAGGAAATTATATAGACTAGCCATGCATCGCTAAACTTATGCAATTAAGGCAAAGAATTTGTTGTTTAACCGAACGATATTCTAAATAAACATACAAATATTACTCCCCAACTTGGAAAAAGATGGACGAATTGCACCAGTTCATGCATTTCAGTCCCATTCATATAAATTCATCCAGGTCCAACTGCAAATGTCCACCAAAGTTTAATGTTCGGTTAGGAAAGGTACAAATTAATTAATTTAATTTATTCGTGTAGTTGATAACAATGTAGGTCCTCCACGTCATTAGGAATAATCATGTTGTAGTCTATATATACATTTGCCGATGGGTCTGTTGCTTAGAGAAAGATCTAGACCCTATATACCCTAGACTAGATCTAAATAGACCTAGGTCTAGATCTACAGTTGCCGATTTAGGAAATTAGATCTAGATCTAGACCTAGTCTAGTATTAGTAGATCTAAATAGGAGTAACTATAGACCTATAGTCTACTAACTATAATAGACCTAGATCTAGTCTACTAGAGTAGATCTAGGTCTAGTCTAATAATAGTCTAGATCTACTATTTACTAGTAGGTCTAGGTCTATGTATAGTAATAGTCCACTAAATTAAATAGAATAGTACTAGGCTAGACCTAGTAGTAGCAGTACTAATTAAGCACTAGATCTAGGCCTAGTACTAGTACTAGTACTAGACCTAGCTATCACCTAGTCTAGATCTAGTTCTGGTCGACTACTAGTAAATCTACCACTAGATCCAATATTATTTAGTACTAGTAGGCCTATAAGATCAATTTTTATTTTTATTTATTCCATCATTGCTTTGCTATGTTCAGCATTCAATGGCTTTAGAGGCATAAGTGTCGGCTAAATTCAGACATTCTCACCGCCATGGCTGTATAGTTTCCTGCATTATGATTGGTTAAAACCGTACAGCCATAAAACTATACAGACATTCTCGCCGCCATGGCTGTATAGTTTCCTGCATTATGATTGGTTAAAACCATACAGGCATAAAACTATACAGACATTCTCGCCGCCATGGCTGTATAGTTTCCTGCATTGTGATTGGTTGAAACCGTACAACCATAAAGCTGAATGGATGTATGGTTGTTTGCAATTATGGCATTTCGGCCCGCAAACGTAACAACCTTACATACGTTCTATAGCTGTATGGTTGCATAGTCGTATAGTTGTATAGTTGTATAGTTGTACAGTTTCCTGCGTTCTGATTGGTTAAAACCTTACATCCATTCGATGGATGTATAGTTGTATAGTTGTCATCTTTATGGCGCAATCCGCCCGTCATACGCGCCCCCGTGCCGTTCGCTACTGCTAGCTACCTACACAGTGCATGCATTGCATTGTATTGGCGTACTGTACTACTGCCGCTGCCGGTGTAACAGATTAAACGTTGCATAACAAAAAACGTGCCTGAGCTGTGGATCCAGTTGAAAGTGAAACAGATCAACCTTATTTTGCGCAGTAAGTTAAATTTTACTATGTTTTTTGCTGTAGTGAGACGACTAACAACAGCAGACATTCGCTTTAACAAGATGGAATTAGAGCAACTTTTAAAAAACCCACCACAAAAAAATGAACAGAATAGATCTAGTCAATAGACGTTCGTAGTCTACTCTAGGTTAACCCGGCATTTTTTCAACCGGGGAGCCTCGGCCGCGGCACACTCAGGGTGGTGGAGGGTGCCGCAAGACAAATTAAGTTGCATCATAACAATTTTTTAAAATAGCGTTGATTTCGTGAAGGACCTTTTTTTCAGGAACTGCTAGAATTAGTAAAAGCATTTTAAAGATAATAGTGCCTTTCTTCCTCCCTCGCTTAGCTTCAATTGCTGGCAACATTTTTGACAGCAAGGCCAGGTGCAGGTTGTTGTTTTAGTTTTTATGGCATGTCACTGTCATTCATTCATTCATGAATATTTATGCCGAATTTAAGTTGCATTAACAATTTTAAATGGAAGCAAAAAAGAGAAGGTGAACAAAATCGACGCTGTTCAATTTTTTGCATTTTGCGGAGATTCCAGACAGGTAGTTGTCTACATAAAATCATTGACCGTTTTGTATGTATCTTCTGGCCAGCCCGGTTCGGTACATTGAACAGGCTTCTCGGCTTGCATGTTCATGTGCAGCCTATAGGCCCCTCCAATACCGACCAAGGCCATGAGATGTCTGTCGGTGGGATTGTCTCCTTTCCGGGAAAAACAAGGACAAGGTGCCTTCAAAGGCTTTAGTCAGGCTTTACTATTTAGAGCTTTTTAGTCTATACCTCTCTCTTGTATACCATGTTTAGTAATTTACTTGAGAAGGCGAGATTCTGGAAGAATATCTTTTATTTCAAAATTACATTTGTTTTTACTAGACTATGCTTATAACATTTAGAATCAGGATAAATCTTGAAAACAAGATGCCCAAATATCCTCATATTTGTGAATCAAGGTCATGAACGAATATATGATTTTTTTATTCATGTGAATTTGGTGGCGAGGTGCCCTCATATGTGTCATATTGCATAGAGTATTCTATATCTTTTCTAGTCTAGTGTGTTATTGTTAATTACAACATAATTTGTTCCCCATTTTAAATTTGTCTTCTTCATTTATTTGCTTGCTCGCTATATTACACACGCTCGAAAAAATAGAAACAAATGCATGAAATGTGCCCATATTATGTACACAGCACTTGACGAGTGCCAGAGTGATGCAAAATGAATATTCTGTTATGAATTTTGGACTACCATAACTAATGTTGAAAAACGCTGGGTTAACCAAATACAAAGACTTGAAGGGGAAGCCCACCCTGATATTTTTATAAAAGCAGGAAAAATGAGAGAAACAAATTAGTGAAAATTTATGAATTTTTAAAATTGTCATCAGTGAGCACATTTCGGCAACACTGTGACGTATCGTGCCAGGTCCTTTCCAATTTGATAAATTTCATAAACTTGTAGGCCTACTTGCTTTGTTATTGATGAAGGAATAGATTTGTTTCATACAGAAATTGTATAAATTAACTCGTTAGGACCTTTGCAACAATTATATTTGGGAAGAATGTATGATCAAAATTTTCTTAAGCCTATCTGCACTAGTTTGGCTAGGAGGGATTAGGCCTCCCTGCTGGTCACTGACAGGTGGTTATCTCATCAAATCAGCTCTCAATAAACATAAGAAAAAGGAGATCATGGGGGACCAACAGGTACCGCTTAGGGACTGTTTGCTATATTGAGGGCGCAAGAAGCTACAAGTAGTGCAGTCCTGCTTTAAGGGAAACTATACATTTTGAAGTTTTTTTTCAGTTCAGGCCCTACAGGTCAAATGGAAGGGGAGCTCGCAAGATACATCACAGAGTTGCCAATATCTGTTTGATTGATTGATCATACCTTCAAAAACTTCCTTATTTTTAAATGTATTCTGCTCAAACTTTCACTAACCTCTTTCTCTCATTTTTCTGCTTCTATTAAAACCATCTTAATGTCAGGGTGGACTAACATGTGTTTTTCTTTTGACACTCTTCTTCGTCTCTCTTTGGATTCGATGAAGCCAGTCCTTTTTCTTTCAATTTTGTTGGTTATTTACTACTTTACTTTTTTTTATCTTCCTTCTCTATTTCAGAAATGGCTTCCATAGATTTCAGGTATTCCATTCGGGATTTTGTCTCAGAAGTCCCAAATGCAAAGAATGGCAACTGCAATGGGAAATACAGTCGAGTAAGTTTATTTTAAAAAATTACAGAAGTACTTGTAAGCTTACATGTATAATGATTGTGCATGTTTGCAAGGCTACATTTTATTTGACATCATAATCATACCATACATATCACAGTTATCACCTATCCTTGCTTTCATTTCAGACTGGTTATTTTTCCCCCTATCCTGACAAAGTAACATTGAGTTTATCTGCTATTTACATAAATGAAACCAGTGCAAAAAAAAACTTACAAAGCTGCCCAGTCACTATGAGGACTTGTAAAGACTAATGGGCAATTCAACAGATCTGTTCCCTGATCATATCAAGCTCATCAAATCATTTCTCATGCAGGGTCAAAATTTAGTTCAAATAATTATAGGTTTAAAGTTCTAGTGGTCATTGAGCTTGGACTTAAAAAGATGACAAGTTGTATTTGATTTTGATGAAATGCATTCTTAAATGGCCAGAACTATTATGCAAGAGCCCCCTTGGACTATCTCTCTCTCTCTCTCTTTCTCTTTCCCTTTCCCCCTATATATGTACATGTAAAATTTCATTTACTTTGCATACATTTGTATACATATATGCTTCATACTTCAAAAGATGGAGTATTTAATTAAAATTTTTGTTATGAATTCTTTGCCATTTTGTATCTTTAGCATAACTGATTACCTGCTTGACTTAATACTATTTGTGCAATATTGTTTATAATAAGGATCTTTGTCGAGACAAGCTTTCGTAATTAAGTTTAATGTTAATTTGTACAGAACGAAGAGGAATAACATTTGGCAAGATACCTTTCATCAATGGACTTAATGTGTGCACTAGTGCAAGGTTTAAACCTGGCCTAAAGCAAGGAAGCTTTAGAGAACACAGGACAAAGGGTTATATGAATTGTGTTGATCTTACTGACATCTTTCTTTGTTCTCTTTAGTTTGACCAGGAGTTGAGAGGAAGGTGGGATGAAGCGGTTGAGAAGGGGTACTTTCGTTACGAACTAGGTTCGTTACCAACTAGAGTTATAGAGGGCCCTCATGGATTTGTTGCTCAGGTAAGTTTTCTGATGGTCAAGATGTAGTCATTATTGAAAATTACTATGGAACATAATTTGTATGCGTTATTAATGTTTTTTTCGTATGAAGGAAAACAAAAGAGGTATATACATACCGTAAATCTCCGTGTATAAGACGCACCTGTGTATAAGGCGCACCCCTATTTTTTTTGTGTTGTTGTTGTTGTTGCCGTTTGTTGGCTGGCCAATCCGCCTCTAAATATTTTCTCTCAAGATTTGGGTCCCCCCTCTTGCTGCCGGCTGGATCTGCCCCTGTTTAGTGTACACATGAATTCAAAAGGAGGCAAAAGAAACATTGGACCAAAGTTTCTGAAATCTCATGCAAAATCTTGATTGTCTGGAGGCCTAACAAATATGCTTTATAAAACATGCTTTACATGAAACCAAAATAAGATAAACTACTCATCCCCAATTTTCCCCCCGTTAAGAGAACTCCAACTTCTGCTTAAAATTGAGGTCACAGCTTGGATGTTGACGCACCCAGATATCACTTTCTGGTTGTGGCATCTCAAGTCACATTTTAGGTAACGGAATGTCACAATGATAGAAGGTACTGATTTTAACTTTTTCCTGCAGTATACAGGAACGGAAACGGTGTGATAGGATTTTAGATAAAAAAAGTTTCCTATGACAGACTACTATGCTGGATAATTATGTGGCATACAGGTACAATGGGGATATGTAGTATAAAGCAGACCCAGTTGGTGACATTAAATAGATAAAAGAGTAAATATATTAATCATATGTTTTTATTAATTATCCTTTACTTACAGTTGAATGTGAAACGCGCAACTGAGAGGCGGAAACCGCAAGAGATCAAAAGTACCAAACAACCATTCAAACCAGAAGAATTCAACTTCAATAAAGTCAGACCTCATGAGGTAAGAAAACAATTACCCCCTGTTCATTACAGGAGAAGTTCACCCTGATAATAAGTTGGTCTCTGTTGTATATAGTATATACATCACTAATCACTCTGAGACATTTATAAAACTAAATATGACTCCTGATTGGAATGAGTGCAGTTTTTAGTAAAGTTGTTGGTGTATGTCATCTTTCGGGCCCAAATCTACCTACCTTACGTAAAACTCAACTGCAAGCATAACCCTAATCTTACACCTTTGACCAAATAAAACCCAGAGTGGTTGTTGCCAGTGCAAATGCCTGAGCATTTGTGAAAGGAAGTGAGTCTGAATGAACATGGCCTCAGGGCTTGATCCAGGATTGTCAAGAAAAATTAGGTTAGGGGCAGAATATCTCCTGATATTGATTTCATCTAAGTTATATGATTTTGAAAGTTTTTTATAGTTTTTTTAGGAATATGATATTTTTATATTTTTAGTTGTAGTACCAAAGCCTTCCACTCATATTTAAAAATATAAATCCTTGGGGGGGCATTGCCATTTCATCCCCCAACCTTGCTCTGGATCAGTCTATTCCCTTTAATTACCCAGAATGATAGTTCTTAAATCGCAATGATCTTTCACTCGCGTATGAACTTTTTCTCATACATCTTTAGACTCTCATGGAAATGCATCCCGAGGATCTTTCTTGCTCGTCTATAAATGGAATCACCAACGGCAACGGCATCGTTAGGTCACATGCTGAAAGGGAAGAGTGCATGAATGGTGAAGGAGGGAGGAGCAAGTATCAAGTCATCATCAACATCAGCCCTCTAGAATATGGCAATGTTCTACTTGTACCTAGCCCTCATTTATGTCAACCACAGGTACTTTAAATGCCTCTTTTTTTTGCATGCATATGATGCAGCTGCCAACCATTTCTATTTTGGAGGAATTATTGCTACTTTGGGGCCTGTTATGAACCCTATATTCCTTTCTTTTTCTGAACTCTAGGCATGTACGAAATACACTGCATTCCTATGGTTGCCTTCAGAGATTCCTTCTTTTTTGTGTGGAAGGATTTTTTTGTGCTATGCATTTTGATGCATTATGTCAATATAGTAATAATATACGTAGTCATATGATTACATACTGAAAAACACATGTCATTAAAGGCGCAGGTATACAGTACAGCTTAGTGAATTAATATCTCGTCTATTCCTTTGCCTGCATGCATACTGATGATATACGTTACATATGATAAACAGGAATTTGTTTACCCTTAATTAAATCCAGTGAAATATAATCATGCAGCCTTGAGTACCATAACAGCTGCGATTTGTAAAAGTTTACATCGACATGTTTTCCTTAATTGATTATTTTGTCAGCAAGAATTTTCCTGAATTTTTTCTGAAATTCCCCTTCTGAGAGGTAAGGTAAGGAGCATTTAAGAACTGATGTACCATAATTACGTTGTATAAACTGCCCTCGTGTATTAACAGCACCCCTCTTTTTTTTCTTTTTTTTTGCCGACTTTTTTTGGCCGACTTAAAAAACAGTATAGGACCTAGGATAGAACCTTGTGGTACGCCGTGTAATAGAAGAAAAATTGGAGGAATTATTATTATAAACTACATATTGAAATCTATCAGAAAGATTACTTTCAAACCAAGATGACGGACAAATTTGAGTGTTGTTCTAGTTTCCAAGTGGTGAGTCAACACACCGATTACTGAGCTGGGAGACATTGCCAGGCATAGTGCCAGGTGGAGGGGCATATATCGAAATTTGAAAAAAAAAAAAAAATTGGTGTACCGTGTATAAACCGCACCCTCGACTTTGAAATTTTTTCGGCGGCAAAAAGGTGCGGTTACTACACCGTTAATTACGGTATTATTTTTTTTACTTTTGTCTCCCACAGAAGTTTTTAAAATATTATTTATTCATTATTTTGTGCTTTCATTTTTTCTAGATTGCCACAATGGAAATGATTCAAATAGGTGTTGAAGCTGTGTTATTAAGTTCAAGCAGGTATTTTCCATTTACATAATTATTATGAATACTGTATGCTAGAACTTGTCCCATAGACTTTATATGTTTTATATGTTTTTATTTAGAACCGGTGAACAGCTTTGTGAGTGAGTAAATGCATATAACTGTCATTGACATAGCAGGATCTTCAGTCAAGAATGGAAAAAGTAACTTTCAACAGCTTTTTATGCCTCCGCCACCATCATGTTTTCGGGTTGTCCGTCCGTACGTCCGTCCGTCCGTACGTCCGTCCCGTTTGACCGTTATCACAATATCTCAAGAACCATTTAAGATTTAAACTTAAGACTCGGGAATAGTATTTATCACCATAGGAAGACGATCTGATTAGATTTTGGAGTACGTAGGTCAAAGGTCACAGGTCACAGAGGTCAACTTATGAAATTCCTTGTATTGAGTTTGTTAGCGCGATATCTCAAGAACCATTTGAGATTTAAACTTCAAACTTAAGGATAGTATGTATCACCATAGGAAGACGATCTGATTAGATTTTGGAGCACGTATGTCAAAGGTCAAGGGTCACAGAGGTCAACTTATGAAATTCCATACATTGAGATTGTTATCATGATATCTCAAGAACCACTGAAGATTTAAACTTCAAACTTAGTGATAGTGTGTATCACTATAGGAAAACAATCTGATTACATTTTGGAGCACGTAGGTCAAAGGTCAAGGGTCATAGAGGTCAACTTATGAAATTCCATACATTGAGATTGTTATCATGATATCTCAAGAACCACTGGAGATGTAAAAACTTCAAACTTAAGGATAGTATGTATCACCATAGGAAGACGATCTTATTAGATTTTGGAGCACGTAGGTCAAAGGTCAAGGGTCACAGAGGTCAACTTATGAAATTCCATACATTGAGATTGTTATCATAATATCTCAAGAACCACTGGAGATTTAAACTTCAAACTTAATGATAGTGTGTATCACCATAGGAAGACAATCTGATTAGATTTTGGAGCACGTAGGTCAAAGGTCAAGGGTCACAGAGGTCAACTTATGAAATTCCATACATTGAGATCGTTATCGCGATATCTCAAGAACCACTGGAGAATTTTCACTTCAAACTTAATGATAGTATGTATCACCATATCATAATATCTCAAGAACCACTGGAGATTTAAACTTCAAACTTAATGATAGTGTGTATCACCATAGGAAGACAATCTGATTAGATTTTGGAGCACGTAGGTCAAAGGTCAAGGGTCACAGAGGTCAACTTATGAAATTCCATACATTGAGATTGTTATCATGATATCTCAAGAACCACTGGAGATTTAAACTCCAAACTTGTTTAAATTGCTCTATGGCGGAGGCATCATTTTCGACTGCACGCAGTCAAAATTCCATCTAGTTTTAGTAATAACATTTTCTGTGTAATTGTGGGTGTGGAAAATGCAACACTGTCCTTTCCAACTTCCTCATTATTCCAATTGTAAATTGTGTGGTGTGTCAGAAAAATCATTTAATTATTGTTTTCTGCAAGTGTTTTGAAAAATAGGCTGAATTACTACCCTGACTCCCCCCCCCCCCCCCCATCCTCATTAGAATTTGTTTAGTGAAAGCCCTGACCTGAAATATAATAATGATATTTTTCAAATTTATAATCAAAATGATAGCTTTTATAACCGTACAGCCAGTCAATTTGATCTATATATTGGAGAATAATTGGACTGAAATCATATCGTGAATATGATTATTATCATATTTTAACAAATTTTCATGCATTTTTTTCTCTATCTGTTTTCATTCACAGTGCATTGAGGATAGGTTACAACAGTCTATGTGCTTATGCTTCCGTTAATCATCTTCATATGCATGCATACTATGTTCATCACAGGCTACCAGTAGAGTACTGGGTAAGGCAAATACAACTCAAACCTACTTTGATAGCAACAAAGACAAATGAGATGAAAAAAAACTTAATATATGAGATTATTTTAAGGATTCCTCTTCCATACACTATGAATATGACCGACAAAGAAAGCGGACAAAATATACAGTTCCTCAGGTAGACAAAGGAACATCCCTTCACTGCTATTATGTAAAAAGGTGAATATGCATGTGACACCTGTTCTACACATTTTTACATAATAGCAGTGAAGGGATGTTCCTTTGTCTACCTGAGGAACTGTATATTTTGTCCGCTTTCTTTGTAACTCATGTTCATAGTGATACTGGTGATTATGGTTGCTTTGACAGCAGACAAGAAAAGTAAGATGTAAGTCTTAATATAAAAGGAGAATTATAATGGTTCACACCTTAAAAAGATTTTCCTTTATTTTTCGTACCTGTTCAACCTATACTTTTAAGAAACACTATGATTATGGTTGCTTTGACAGATTTGACCTGTAGGCACCAATCAAACGAACTTCTTACTTCCTTTGTATTTGTATATGTTGAGTTTTTGCTTGGAAATTCAAAAAATAAATAGAAAATGGAAGAAAACCAACTGTACAGAAATATTACCTGTCAAAAGAAGATGTAATTTCTTTTTGTTTCTCTTTGAATAATTCTACAATTATTTGTGTTTGTTAATTTAATCAGGAATACTTATTGTATTGTGCATTGAATGTGTAGAGATATTATGCTCAATTCAAACCGTTGTTTCCCCTTTCCTTTATTTCATGAACTTTTTATATTTGCTGTGCATGCCATGCATGTACTATGTGCAATACCATCACAATATCGCAATTGACATTATGAATAGGTTTCTTTAACTATGAAATTCCTAAGACAAAGTCGGACGTATATTATATGAAGATCTTTAAAAGGAAGTTACAAATATGCAACAAAGAATATCCCAATTTGTTGTCTTTCACAATAAAAATATATCTTTTCACATTGATAGCCAACAAAGGAAGTGGTCGGAGGACAAGTTCATGAGACAATCGGATGGCCAGCGCAAGCATTCATGCTACAAATGAAAAAAGAGAGTTATTTTGATGGTATCAGGTAAGCATCACACATGATATATTTGCCCTTTACCCTAAACAAATTGAAGCCAAAGGAAGTGGAGTACTAAAGTTTTGGTAGCAAAATCCAAAGGAATGAAAGTAATTCCAGTTAATTGTTAGCTGTCATCAATCTAAAGTGAATTGTGATGGCCCTTACCTCCCTGAGAATGTGAAACTGCATGTGAAATTTAGGATCAAGAGCCCTTTTCAGGTGGTCAAAGTCTTTAAGATGATTATCTATACCGGTATTCCTTTACATTGATTAAATATATGTTCGAGGCAAGCAGAATACATGCAAGTATATGATAGCATGCATGTTTATAGAATAAATTGAGCATAGTTGTTTGAAATCATGACCATGTACATATATTTAGCATTTGTAGCTGTGAGTTCACCAGGATCAAAATGGGTTTGAATCGCCTGCTCTTATTTCTTGAATACACATTTCATTACGCTAGACAGAAAATGGTTCTTGTTCCCTCCAACTTTTATATCTGTAATGTACTTGGCTATGTTGTCTTCTTGCTGCCTTCAGCTTTTTCAACAACAAAGAACACACACACAAAAAAAAAATGTTTTGTTTTGTTTTTTAATTTTTTTAAACCCATAAAAACCACTGAATCGCATAGAAACATGTACAAGTAAACCCCCGCAACCCCAACAAAAACTTTGCTTTACAATTTTCTCTTTACATTTTAATGAAAGAGCAAACATTTTACTAGACCATACTTGCGAGTAAAACATTTTTCTGAAATTACTAATGGCCTGGGGCCAACGGGCCATTAGTAGTGTCAAGTTTTCGTGAAAATCTGATTTTTTAGGATACTCGGTCTGTTTTTTTGTGTCAAGAGGTTTGCATCTCTGCTTCAGATCATACATAGCCCCTGTCATGGTTTGCAAATGGCTGATGCCAACCGTAAGAATAGACTCTAAAAATAGATTGTCTGAATTTCTGGTTGAATAATGTTTATAATCTGTCTGCAGGGACCTATTCAGGATAGTCAAGCATCTTCAAGATAGGGACATAGCTCATAACATGTTCTTCACCAGGGGCTTGACGTTAGGGCCTAATCCTCAAGAAGATGGACAGACCATAAGACTAATTCTCTGGCCTCGCGTCTCCTCTTTCGGTAAGTCCTGCTCTCAGCATGAAAAACGGCCTTTATTGATACATTAGAGGTGTGATCAACTGGAATTTTGTATGTGAAGATTCACCTTTTCATGCTATGGTCACAGCTCGCTGTGCGTCCTTTTGCATGTGCACTTTTGCAGCTGCGGTGGATCGTAGGTGTGCACAGAAAGTATATATTCTGTTTAATTACAATCTGAAACATGATCCTGAAGCGAATTTGTAACATCATACTGAATCCGATTAAATTGTTTCCTGTTACGTATTTCAGTCAAAATGTAATTATTATTTTTAATGAAGAATATTTCTTCATCTCCCCCCCCCCCTCCCATTAGCATGTGTGAAAAAGAGCACAGCATCTTTTGTTTGTATGCTATCATCTCATCTGAATTGTTTGTTTTTTGTTTTGTCTTTTCTTCTTCATTGGGTAATGCTTGGACATGAAGTAATGAAGAAATTTAATTGTAATAATTTTCGGTGTATGGGTAAAAGAGATTGTAAAGAAATACAATTTCCTATATCCATCATGACAGATGCCTTTTCATAAATTCTCACGTTTTGAATATTTTGCTTGAACTCCTTGTAGGTATAAAAGGGAATGATGCATTTAATGGTGCTTGTTGTGAACTAAGTGGTCATCTTCCTATCAAACGTAAGTATAGTCACCATTATTTTGATGCTTATTTTGATTATGATTGTACCCCGACATCTTCTGGCCACATTTTTTGCCAGGTCGTTTTTAAACAATGGTGTTAGGGTTAGGGCTTATTAGAGCTTTTCAGTCCATGGTAAATAGTTATGAATTTGACCAATCAACTGTCCTGCTATGGGTTTCAGTTGGATGACCAGGACCCCGTCTTACAAAGAGTTGTGATTGATCCAAATTAATCGCAATACCAACTTTAATTTCACCGGTCATTTTCTCTCTCGCTTTCTCTTTTTTTAAATAGATACATAATAATAATAATAATAATAGTATATAATAGTAATAGTAAGCAAATAATTACCGTTGGTGAAGGTGATGGGACAAACTATCACTTCCGAGGCGAACTGGATGTAGCAGCTATCTTTCCGAAGCGAAGCTGAGGAAAGATAGCGTATATATTCTGATCGACGAGGAAGGGATAGTTTGCCATCGCCTGAAAACCAAAAGGTGATTATTTGCTTTATATTCCACATCTAAAACAATTTAATTACAAAAAGAAGAGGACGTGTATGCATCTACATAAAAGACACCTAGGCCCAAAATTAACACCAAAAAAGTTTAAGTTTAACCCAACCCCTTGAGGGTAAGGTGCGCGCATGTGTTTTCTTTAATTGCGCTCATTGGTAATGCGCGCTTAATTATGCCTGTTTTAGTGCGCGTTTGGATAATCTTCAGTGAAAGTACGTTGCCCTTTGTAGATAGTACCTCTATCTTCAATGAAAGTGCGTTGCACTGTGTAGATAGTAGTACTATCTACACAGTGTAACAAACTTTTTGCTTTTCCCATCAATAATGGGCGAACTATCTTTCCTCACGTGATTTACTTTTCACCAATCGAAGAGCAAGATTCTTAGTATGTGGGATATAATAATATATAATAGTATATAATTGGTGATAATATTCCATGAAACCCAGGCCGCAAAGGCTGGACTTCAAGGTTATCTGATAGAGGTGGTCAGTGGCACTTGAGCGATCAGTTTTCTTATTGCTCTTTGCTAGACGTCTGCTGCTTTGCGATATCATATCGACCAAATTATTTGACGGACATTTATTTGTATTTATGAATATTCATTGTAAGTTGTGATTAATTCTGTAAGAATTCATTTTTGTCATTACCAGAACCCCAGGCTACCTTTGAATTTCATCCATTTTTATGCCTCCGCCACCGAAGGTGGTGCCGGAGGCATCATGTTTTCGGGTTGTCCGTCCGTACGTCCGTACGTCCGTCCGTCCGTCCGTCCGTCCGTCTGTCCGTACGTCCGTCCGTCCGTACGTCCCGTTTGACCGTTATCACAATATCTCAAGAACCATTTAAGATTTAAACTTAAGACTCGGGAATAGCAGAGATGCCAACCCTCCCGATTTCATCGGGAGGCTCCCGATAATTCACCCCAACTCCCGACCTTACGATCACCATCCTTATCCTCCCGATTTATTATAAAAAATTAAAAAAATGATTTTTTTTTTTTTTTTTTTTTTTTTTTTTTTTGGCGCTTATCAGTATATATATCTGTGAATTGAATGAGAAATATCGTCTGTTAACTTTAGCATGTAGTAAATCCACTATATTAAAAGACAAATTAAGAGTAGCGAAAGATTGTTTCAGCATATGGATCGCCGTAACCAATGCGTGGATATTGACACAGAATCCAAATGGCGGAAAATCAGCTAAAGAAGACCAAGAAATGGTATCAGAAGTATAAGACCGAACACTGTATCATATATATGAAAGGAATTCATCATGCATTTTGTACAATTTGTATGTTATTTTAAAAAAAAGTGGGAATTATTGAACTAAATACACATGTAAAATGCTGCAAAATAAGGCTCAGATTGCACCAGAGAGCATCTAGAACCCCAGAGCTTCCAGGGCCCTAAGGCGGGCCCTGGACCCCGGCCGCATGGGTCGGGCGCTACGCGCTCGAGATGTGCGCTACGCGCACATTATTTGGTGTCCGTTACAAATCCTCCCTATTTATGTTTTCCAAAAGTTGGCATCTCTGGAATAGTATTTATCACCATAGGAAGACGATCTGATTAGATTTTGGAGTACGTAGGTCAAAGGTCACAGGTCACAGAGGTCAACTTATGAAATTCCTTGTATTGAGTTTGTTAGCGCGATATCTCAAGAACCATTTGAGATTTAAACTTCAAACTTAAGGATAGTATGTATCACCATAGGAAGACGATCTGATTAGATTTTGGAGCACGTATGTCAAAGGTCAAGGGTCACAGAGGTCAACTTATGAAATTCCATACATTGAGATTGTTATCATGATATCTCAAGAACCACTGGAGATTTAAACTTCAAACTTAGTGATAGTGTGTATCACTATAGGAAAACAATCTGATTAGATTTTGGAGCACGTATGTCAAAGGTCAAGGGTCACAGAGGTCAACTTATGAAATTCCATACATTGAGATTGTTATCATGATATCTCAAGAACCACTGGAGATTTAAACTTCAAACTTAGTGATAGTGTGTATCACCATAGGAAGACGATCTGATTAGATTTTGGAGCACGTAGGTCAAAGGTCAAAGGCCACAGCGCACATTATGAATGCAAAAACAGCTTGTGATCGCGTTATCTCAAGAACCGATTGATGGATTCATGCCAAAATTAGGTCATGTTTGTTACTTGCAGAGCCAATGAACTGAGTAGATTCTTGGTTCATAAGGTCAAAGGTCAAAGGTCATGGGCCCATTATGTATGCAAAAATAGCTTGTGAACGCATTCTCATTAGAACTGACAGATGGATTACTATTTAACTCAGAACATCTTGCAGAGCCAATGAACTGAGTAGATTTTATGGTCATGAGGTCAAAGATCAAAGGGTCATATATGTATATGAGAAATTGCTTGTAATCACAATATTCTGAGAACCTGTCAATGGATTACCATTGAACGTGAATTCAATTTTTTTTTTCTGTTTTGGTTTGTAAAATTGCTCTTTAACGGAGGCATCATTTTCGACTGCGCGCAGTCGAATTCCATCTAGTTTTGTTTGTTTTTAATGTATCAGTTGAGCAACGCTACGACGACCTGACTGACGAGCAGTGCTGTGAGTTACTCGAGTCAAACTCTCTATCACCCGAAGATTATGCAGCTCTCAAAAAGGATATCAAGAACATCTTCAAGTAATTTAGGGCTTGTATTCATAGAGGTGGACAAGGTAAAAGCATGGTTTAACATAATCACTGGTTCATGCAGTGCAAAGTGTCAGTTTCTATTCTGTACAAGTTACTGAAATTCTGTAATAAAAAATCCAGTCATGAAATAAAATTGAGAAATTAATTTTATAAATAACGTGAATTTTGATTATTGAGTTACAGGGTCATGTTTTTTTTTAGCGATTTTCATTTTACAGAATGAAGAGATTCACACTTGGCACTCCATAAAATTCCTGAACTGAATCGACCCACCATAGAGTTGGGGTTTAAACCTGAACTAGAGTTAGAGCAGTTGAATGAATACCAGCCTTAGATATTAGAGCTTGTCTGTGAGATGATATGAAGATGTTATTTCCCTGTTCAGCTGAAGTTGAAATATGTATTTTGTACCACAATTATGAAGAGAAAAAAAAATCATTGATGCTGTTTGCTCTTCTCGTGCCGTCACAAGATGTACAAATGGTTTATCTTGAGGGAATTGTGAAATGTGATTTCAATTTTATTATATCATTACGTCTGACCCTCGTAGCTCGCAAACCCGAGTAAATGGCCATGAAGTCGGGTATTGAAATACCCCATTCTTTGCTTGCTGCAGAGGAGGCCTAACCCAACTGATTAACTTGTTTTCCAAACATAGTTCACGCTACTTTCCGTCTCTCTCTCTCTCTCTCTCTCTCTCTCTCTCTTCGACTCTGTTTCTTTCAGGCTGCCTCCTTCAGTCTCTCTCCCCTCTCTTTACTCTCCTTTCTATATCTCCCTTCCCTAGTTCTCTGTCTCTCCCATCTCTCTCTCAATCCCTCTCTCATGTTTATTTATTTATGTCTCTCGATCCATTCCCCGGGTGTCCGTCTCTGTTTCTTCCTCTCTCCCTCTCCCTCCGAAATTTTAATTATCTTTTCTCCCTTCTCTCTCTCTCTCTCTCTCTCTGGTTGGCAGCCGCTTTTCTTCTTCTTCTTCTTCGGTCTTCTGTCTTCTTCTTCTTCTTCTTCTTCTTCTTCTTCTTCTTCTTCTTCTTCTTCTTCTTCTTCTTCTTCTTCGGTCTTCTGTTTCTTCTTCTTCTTCTTCTCCTTCTTCTTCTTCTTCTTCTTCTTCTCAGTCTATAGTGGCCTAGTCTTTTTCTCCAAGTCGAAGCGACAGTCCTCAGGTTTTTCCTGGTTGAAAAACCCCATTCATAAATTATGAGTCCTCAAACTCGGGTTTTGAAACACCCCCTTCACCCGCGCATTGATAATAACAAGAAAGTTCTCTTTACACTGCACTATTTAAGGATTTTCTGTCTTGTGTCAGAAGCTTGTAATATCTTAGTTGATATTGACATGTACTTTTATTATCAGTGAATACTCATGCAACGGAATTCAGCTTCTTAATGAGGACTAATTTCTGCGCGGATTTTTATTAGGGGGACACTTCGTCCGCACATGTGGACAACTCAGTGCAGTCACGTTAGGGTTACTACCATTGACCTAGAGGTCAGTGGTTACTATGGGGGTTACTATGGCGATCTGTCAATCTCTCTTCTCCCTTCCAGCAACGATCACTGGCAAAACCACATTGTTGACCTGGCGATCAGTGGTTCTTGGCAGCCTCCCAATACCTCCATCCAAGCAAGAACCAAGGGGGTATTTCAATTTTGCTACGAGGAGTTTACGTCATGTGAAGTATAATACACGTTTGCTGCTGTATTTAATATGCCAAATCTATAGATATATATTTATCTACATTAGAAATTCTCTATTCATCTCAATATTAATAGAATTATGTTGCTAATTTTTTTTTTTTTTTTTTTTTTTTGTATTTCATTGTTTTTCTGTTTTACCATTGATTTTAGTCAATTGTGACCATGTGTAAAAATGTTATATCTCAAAGTGACCAGGTAATTGAAAAAGGAGGAAAAAAAAAATCTGAAAATTATGATTCCAAGAGTTTTTACAGGTTCTAGACTACTTTGATTACATTCGGAAAAACGTGTGTTTCGTTAGAACTTACTGCTTAGTTTTATACAAATCTTTTTTATCTTGTATGCCATTCTTATCTGAAATATTCTGGTGTAATATGAAGCTTCATTCTGAAAGGCTTTTTTAAAAAAAGCTTGATGACTTATTTCTTTTATGTTATCTCTCACCTTAACATCTCTCTTGTCGTTTGTTTCAATGCCTCTGCTGCAAGGTAGCCGGAGGCATTATTTTATTTTGTAATCTGGATTCTATGGAGCCTTTGAAAGGAGTCTGTCTTGTTATTTTGATTTAGTTATGACATGTTCATGAATTTTTTGAGGGTATTTAAGACCTCAAGCCTTGTTTATTCTAAAGTCATCCACGTAGCATATTCAGATTGCCATAGATGTGACAGATTTGTGGATGTAAAACAATTCAAATACTGGAAAGACACAGGGCAGTTTGGATGTACAGTATTATACACTTTTGTGTATGTAATATAGATGTAAAAAAAGGGTATATTATTGCATGCTCTGCACAACTATTTATTGAGTGTCACATGATAGCTTTTCAGACAATCAGATACTCTCTAAGTACCTTATCTTGTATTCAGGGTAAAATATATTTGTGATAGTTAGTCTGTAACTATAAAAGTGCACTTATTGGGTGGTATTCTCATAAGTTAAGCCGGGACTAAGTCCAGACTAAACAAGAATTTTAGTTCACACTTCTATGGAATGCTAGGTGTCATCTTCCTCCTTCAATATTCATGACAAAGGTAATCTACCAAAGACTTTGTTGAAATTCAGTTTATACTCATATTATCTTTTTCTTCCCATTTCATTGCAAAATTAATTTTTTGGACACTTTTCATTGGAAGATTAAAATAATCTGTACAGGGTAAATGAGTTGGCAACTGGCACTCCATAAAATTGTGGACTAACTTAGTACGCGCTACCGGAATACCACCCATTTATTTTATTATTCTTCCTTTCTTATATCTGTCCTGTTTGTTGGCATTTTATGTTGTACAGTAAGTGACAAATATTGGTAAATGATAGATGGATCATTTCTCTACTTGTTTTGTGATAATTTATTTCTTCTGTCACATTCTTCATGGAATGATATAATTGGTAGACAACGTGTCTAGAAATGTTGCTTGTCCTATTTTTGTAGATTCCCTAGTTGTTAGGATTGTGTGACAGTCTGTTTTGATAAGTATTGATAAATGAAATTGTAATCAATTTGAGATTAATTAATATGTTGATATGTAATTATCTGATCAATTTGTAGAAAGCGTTTAAAAAACCAAAAGGAAATGGGAGATATTCATAAGCATACTACATTTTGTATTTTTCTATTTGCATTACAAAGCACCTATAGTTGCCTATTTGTGGATTGCCTTCCAGATAATGATCCAAATAATGTTGAATTCTGTTCTTTGTTTTTGATACAAGAAGCCAGTGTAGTGCAATATGTGTAGGGGTTATGTAGTCTAACTTCCTGCCTCTTGAAAGAATTCTGAACGTATTGCGATTTCTTCAGATGATGCTGAGTTATTCCAGAGAGCACAGAATTTCCATCGTTTCACTGTGATGATATTAAGGCATGTACGATTACAGCAGCCACTTAATCCGAAAGCCCCTTCCAGACATTTCTTATCTGGGCATAAACATTTAAAAACACATAAACATTGGAAACACAGTAAATACCTTCTTGAAAATGACGAGCTTATAACTTTGTGTCATCTTTATAAATATGGCATTGCTAATTTAGCTTAGCTAAGGGACTAGTCGGGTATAAGTGAACACTTTTAAATAGTTGATTATAATGATTATGACAATCACTATTATTATTCATGCACATCTCCAATAAATTTCATTGTAAATGGAAATTAAATTGAAATAAGATTGGGTAAAGCTGAATCATTTTCATCCTTTTCAGTTCCAGCGGTTGTGTAGACATCTTTCATTTTTAAGGTAGAATATCTGCACATTGGTTCAGAAGAAATTGAAACAAATGGAGAGCGACGAAGGAGAACAAATATAAGAAAGCCTGAGGAGTAAATTAGTATGAGAGAGGAAAAAAGAAAATGAAAGAGAAGCAGAGAGAGAGAGAGATATAGGGGGAGTGACAGAGAAAGGGGGGCTATAATGAGATGGATGACGGTAATGATAAGGAGGATTTGGAGTAATTGAGAGTGAGAGAAGAAAGGAGATGGGTTTGTGGGGAAAAAACATTAATAGGATAATCAACGGATGATGAGTAATTGAGAGAAAGAATAATGGAAATGGAGAGATATGGGGATGGACTATAGAGAAAATACTAACATGGGAGATAAGAAGGCAAACAAGAGAGTGAGGAAAAAAGGGAAAATGAAACGAGGGGGAGAGAGGGAAAGAAAGAAATGTATATATATAGAGAGAGAGAGAGAGAGAGACAGAAGAAAGAGGGGGAGAGATGATGATGGAGGAGAAGACTTTAACATAATAAAGCAGAGTAGTTGAGAGTGAGAGGAAGGAAAATAGAAAGAGAAGATGGTGTTAAAGAGAGAGAGAGAGAAAGAAAGAATAGAGAGAGTTAGAGAAAGATATGGGGATGGAAGAGCTAGAAAATACTAATATTATGGGAGATGGGGAAGGCGTAATATTCATTGAGAGTGAGGAAAAAAGGAAATTAAAACAAGGGGGAGAGGGAGAAAGAAAGAAAGAAATATAGAGACAGACAGGTAGAGAGGGAGAGAGAGAGAGAGAGAGAGAGATAGGGTTGGAGGAGAATATTATATACATTATATTTTCCATCGCTTGACCATTAACATACCGCGGCATTAGTATTCCACGGTCGTATATTCAAGCTGTAAAATATTTTCAAGATCTGGTAGGATTTGAGGCATCTATGTTAATGAGGAGGAGTGAGTCATGGTGGAAAGGGAAGGCGAATTGAATCGTCAACTCGAAGACACAGCTGGTTGTATTTATCTGTATCTTAAATACGTGGACTCTTTTCGCAGCCCCCCCCCCCCCCCCTGTCTCTGTCTGTCTCTCTCTCTCTTTCGCTCTCTCTCTCTCTCTCTCCCTCTCTCTCTCTCTCCCTCCCTCCATCCGTCCGTTTGTCACTCTCACTAATATCTCTCTCTCTCTATTTTATATCTGAAAATGTATTTTTGAAAGGCCTACAAAAACAGCATCTAAATGTTTCTACTATAAAGTGTTCATAGGGGAGTCTAGATTTCCTCCCAATATGAGCATCGGCTCAAACCAACAATGGTGCATGTCTTTAACAGAGCAGCACCTAATTACCCTCGAAGAAGACTGATTCTCTTTCTTGGGATGTAAAACAAAGAGCTTATTATAAGCCGGATTATGCATAATTAGCATCACGCAGCAGTCAACAGCTGCTTGATTACTGCTCTCTCATTCTTTCACCCCCCCCCCCAAAAAAAAAAACTCTCTCTCTCTCTCTCTCTCTCTCTCTTTCCCTTTCTTACATAATCCTCTTTCTCCATATTTCATTGAATGATCGAGGCAACGGATTATAGAAACAGAAATAAGGCACACAAGAATGATATTGTGCAATTTTGTGATTTTGGAATGACACATTTTAAGATCATTATTTTATTTATATAGAAGTTACCGATTCCTTGTAGATATAGGGGGATCATGATCTGGTGTGTCGATATTGTTGTTTTGATTTATGTGTTGTTGTTTATTTGGGAAGCGTTGTGGCGGTCTTGACCAGTCCGATATAATTATATGATATAGTTAGCTTTCTTATTTTAAACATGAAGTATAGATTTGTATTATCTGTGCACTATTTATTCGGTCTAAATAAATATTTTACTATTGAAAGTTTATTCACTGGTAGACATTCCTATCTCAGTGTTGACAGACTAGATCATTATTTCCCCTTCTCCCAATTTAATTCATGTAAAGATTGAAGAAAGACTTTTATTAAGTGATATAGAGGTCGGCTATACAAACATTTCATTTCATATTCTTAAGTGTTTAATGTCAAATATGGCATTCCACTTAATTCCTCCTGCGTGTCTCTTCACACAAAAACTCAAACGCCAATGAGCAGTCTACATAATTAATAAGACTTCCTGTAATATTAAGCACGTTTAGCTATTCCCTTTAAACATCACTCATCAGCATCCAAATCACTGGGTCTGAAGGCGATACACTGGGATAATAGGCACGGCATTACTGGATGAGAGTGTGCTGTATGCAAGGACTCTAATTGCGCTGACTACGTAAGATGCACGGAGTAGCTAGCCAACCAGCTATACTCCTCATTAATATATTATTCAGCGCACCGTAAGCTTCTTGCGCTGTCTTCACCTGTCATTGCCATGGCGCCGAACTCCGTGTTGTAAGGCCCGGTAATTCTCGAGGACGAGAGTGTCTTTACGGGAGGAGGTCGTATATATATCTTCCAACGCGCGGCGGAGGTGCGAGCGAATCTTCTTTTGGTGTTTTTATGAGACATTCATTACCTATGCACTCCTAGCTCGCGTCTTGGAGAGCGTTATGACTTGGTCGGCTGTCGGATAACGTCGCATCCGTTTCCCGCGTTATTTTCCTGTGCCTTGGAGACTCAATGGATGCCTCTCGATAGTGAATGGAGAGAGATGCGTTCTGTTTACAACTTGCCCATGTAATTTTGTCAGCCGTTCGTGGTACCCTGAAATTGTATTGCTTTACACAATTACTGAGCCAGTCTTGTTGGAAATGAATTGTTTGCATCGTTTGTATATCAAGAGCGGAGTGGAGCAAGCGGCTTGGTTTAAAGGAGGATTCGAATTCTTGGACATTAGCATCATACCGCAGCTACATGAGCTCTCTGTATATTGTCAGATTTCTTCTTCTAAACATTCGAATCTCGATCTGAATCCATTTCGCTTTCATCGAATCAGATACGAACATTATCAATCTACCATCCAGCTGATGAAAATATGATGTTTGACTTTTACGGACAATATTCTCATTTATCAAGTTGCTCATGAACCTACGCTGTGCTTTCCTTCCTTTTGTTATACAGGTCATGGACAAAGCCTGTACTCTTAGAACAAAATTAATTTACTGTATCTTGGTCTATAGCAACATATGAAATAACCCATATACCGCCACATGTCAAAATAACTGTCACATACAAGCGGAAATTCATCGCCTTCAGTTGCGACGAAATCATGTACTTGTGAAAGATGATTTGCGTGACGACGGAGAAGGATAAAACTTAATCCGCAGTTTGCAATCAACGCCTAAAGATTTAATTATCAGCGTTTCGCACGATCATCCCGTTAACCATTTAACCCTTCTTGTCTCGGGTGAATACGTCATAAATTAATTTGACGCATCGGGATCATTTTGTTAAGATATGCGCTTACCAGTCAACTTACAGCAAGGTATCATCCTGTATGATTCTCCATAGCCAGTCTACCCGATTATTTTTGGACAAATACTAGTAATCACCACATAGGCCTATACGATTAATTAGTTGGCGTGGTTAATCGTGCTTTAGCTTGGAGAAAATCTTCTGCAAGGGCACTAAGATATATCTATCTTACATTTCTCTGCCCATGACCACACCTTATTAACAACTCGATCTTCGTCACCTTCAGCTTTTTAGATAACTTTTACTCTTTCCTTCCCGCCTTTTTTTCCCAGTGACATTTATCAATCGGGAGATCACAGCATTATAGTTACACGTACGTGCAGGTCAGCTTCACTTCCTATGCCATGCTTCCGGCATGCGTTGCATCTATATATAATTTATCAGTCCCATTTAATAACATACTTGGGGATTGCCTGACGTGTAAGAATGTACATACCACTGCTGTGCTTATCAAATTAAAAGTCGCGAGCTAGCGGCTCCCACGTGGCATGCTATATTTGACTGGTCTAATTCAATATTTGATTAGGATCGCATCTGGATGCATCGGCGCTATCTCATGCTGATGTTGAATGTGGATACTATCTCGTGGTGTGGATGATCTGCGTCCCAGGGTCTGCGTGTAGGAAAAAATTGGATCAAGTTGCCTTGGTTATGATTGTCACCTGTTATTAGAGACTGAACGGTCGTATGGATCATTGGAAGTGCCGACAATAATTTGGTTGCAGTATCTATACAGTGCTCTAGTTGCCTGTGCATTCAACAGTTCAACTCGTCCACGCATACTGATTGCATTTTGGATTTGTCTGCATCAATTTATTACTTTTCTTGTTCAGCAATTTTTAATATGAAGCAGTGATAACATTTCTCAAGTAACTTCGTTTCGTTTGTAGCCTTGATTAATTTTATAAGAGCTACCGCCCAGGCCGATATCATTTCAGGAGAAGGGGGCCAACTATTTAATCTTCAAGAGTATTGTTTATGTGGTGAATATTGTTCTGTTGTGATTCGACTCAGCCGACAAGATGGGATATTCCACGGAAAAGTTTGTAACGACGCCCAACCCCAATCTGATCTGTGGCATCTGCGCATGCGTTTTGCGGGATGCCGTCCTGACCCGATGTGGGCACGCTTTCTGCCAGACCTGTCTCGATACCTGGTTGGCTAGACCATTGGCGGGAACGTGTCCTCAGTGTCGCACCTGTATCAGCAAATTCCAGGTGAGCCCCGTCTGGGCGATCCGGGAAATGATCAACGGATTATCCATCTACTGCAGCAACGCCGACCGCGGCTGTACCTTGACTCTGGGTGTTGAGAACTTGGAGAAGCACCTTGACTCCTGCGGCTACGGACCTGTAGAATGCGTAGCTTGTGGCGTCGTGGTCAACCGACTCGACTACCCAGCACACACGGTGGAATGTGAGAAATATACCCTCGAGAAAAGTGGGCAGCTGCAGACTTCAACCCAGACTTCACCGACAGCAGACGCGCCCGACGTTGAGAAGTTGAACCAGCGACTGAACGCGCTTGAGATACAGCTGAAGCACAGCCGCAAGCAGCTCCACCTTTGCCAAGCCGATAATCGAAAACTGGAGCGGGAGCTGTCCAAAGCGCGTATCGACTTACAGAGAAAGCGAACCGAGTTCAATCTCTTCAAAGCTCAGATGTGTGAATTCGACGCCGATTATCCATACGGCTTCCAACCAGACGGCGTCTCCAAACTCTCCCTCCTCATCGCCTGTCATCAGCAGGAGAAACCCGAGAACATCGACCAGAACCGCATCTTCACCTGCATCCAGCGTTGCTATGACAACTTCGCGCGGTGCGGATCCAAATACGAGCACGACGTCCATATGCTGATCGCGACCGCGTATGCCAGTAAGTGGTTTTCGGACAACCACAAGATCAACTTTCACTGTTGGCTGCAGAGCATCGCACGATATCGCAAGTATGCCGACTGGGGCAGGACAACTGTCAGTCAACAAGCCCCTAATCATCACCACCACCAGGAAGAATCGCATCACTTGATTGGTGATGATGTTAATTCGACGAGAAGTCAAATGCATCGAGGTACGGTCAACATAGGCAGTAACCAACTTTCTAGGTCACTCTCTCTTCGATGAATAAGGCCATAAAATAGTTTCAGCCACAACAACAAATTGTATACTGGACCTAATGACACAATAGTATTGTACAATGCAATGATCTTGTTGTGTCAGTTGCGACTTCCGATCTTAAACATTAGAACTGAAAGTAAGTAAAGCAATCGGGACAACAACACAAAATGATCAATCTAGAACCAGACAACGAATTCATTCAGCTAAGGATGCAAAAACAGGACATGGATCCTTTAGCCCTAGCCTTTACCCCAGCCCATCCCATCAATTATCTTATACCTATCTGCCCCCTCCCACACCACCCCTATCCCTTCCCCTTGATGCTGCCAGTGTGTATGGGTCATGTTTTTGAAGGAGTCATTATTATGGAGTGTTGACTTTGAAGTAATTGTCGAAATATTCAAACCGAGATAATTATCGGTTGTTACTCTTTGTGCTATATGGAACCATTTAAGATTGAACACGGTCGCAAAGACTTTCAAGAAATCGACTAAGGTCAATTTCAATTCCCCATTGTTTTTCCTATATGATAACAGTCATGTTCAGATTATGCAATATTGAGTTAATATTTTCAATCGGTGACGACCATGCAAGACTATAAAGATTGTCTTGGGTTGACCTTCCGAAAGTCTAGGATTGTGTTGTTGACGAGTATTGGTTATAAACAGATGAACTACCTCAACAGTCCTCATCGATTTTTAAAAAACGTGTCTTTAAAGTGACGTTTCATTATTTGAAAACCAAGAGTTGAGTTACCTATGTTGTCATCTAAATGAACACCAATGAAATAGCATATGTGGGTGTTTTTCACAAGAGTGTTAGACAACAGCCTATAGATTAGTGCAGACACAATCAGTGTATCGCCGTATTCTTTATCTTCTTTTCTGTGCGATTTGGGAATTATGTTAAAAATTATGTTTATGACTTACATGATGGCAGTCAAGTATCATCTGGTTCATAGAATATCGAGTCATATGTATGTTTTTAAGTATGATAGAAGCGATTTGAAAATATTGACAGAACATGGCGAAGAGTATAAACGTTCGTCTTGTTGTAAACTATTAAAAGGGTTTTTTAAGGTTAAAACCTTATGAAACTATTCAGCACCAGGATAATATGGCAGTGAAAGTTCAACGTACTTTTTTTAGAATTGTGAAATTGTGGAAGTCGTTTCATTATATCAACTATTTTCACTTTGAAAATGTGGGTAAGAGGGTCTCTTCTCGTCAACATTCACAATAGACATAGGCCTACACGATAATAAAAAATGGTGAAAGAGGGAGTTGTCTGTTTGGAGCTTGAAGGGCGTTAACTATGTGTAAACTGATATGAGTTAATGCCCTTCTGGCTCCAAACAGATTGATTTCACTTTTCTTGCTCCTTCTGAGTCTATAACGATCCTAAATTATTGTACATTCGTTCAAGTTTTATGTGTGACCACAAACACCAGTAACTTATTTACATGAAAGTCTCTGTATGATTGCACATGAGTTGTCACAAGTTTTTAGTATAGATTGATACATTTTTACGAGCAGAGTGAAACAGATTGAAGGTGTGAATAAAAGAAAGTGAAATGAAACAATTATAAATCTCGATTTTTGTTCATACTGCAATGTTGACGTCACTGGTCAGTCTTGTGTTATCTATACAGCTATGTTTTAAATGAAAATGACAACGAAGAAGAACAGAAACTAAATGCAAATATTTAGCTGGGGAGAGAGTGAGAGAGATGTAAATGAATAATGATGCTCGGAAGGTCGCAGTGATAGAAGTGATGATGGATGTGGAATGGATATGGAATGGATATGGAATGGATATGGAATGGATGTAAGAGAGAGAATTGACATGTTGCTGCAGGAGAAATGAAAAGAAGATGGATGATGAAGGGGAGTATAGGATGACTTCTGCATTTAGGAAGAGCGAACCTTGAGTAGTATAGCACAGCTAGGATCCTTTGCATCCGAATTCTTGCCCTACCCAATTTTTCACCTGCTTTTCTGGACCTCCCCTCTCTCTCTCTCTCTCTCTCTCTCTCTCTCTCTCTCTCTCTCTCTCTCACACTTTCCCTCTCTTCCATCACTGCTTTATCTCCTTTTAATATTATAGTAGAAGTAGTAGTAGTAGTAGTAGTAGTAGTAGTAGTGTTTTTTAATTTTATTATTGTTGTCATAACTTTAAATTATTATCTTTACTATAATTATACTTCTACTTTTTTCTAATAATAATAATTTCTCTTTTTTTAAATATATCTATTTCTCTCCCTTCATTCTGTCTTCCCATCCCACCCACTCCTCTCTCTTTCTCTCTTTCTCTCTCTCTCTCTCTCTCTCTGTATGTCTTTCTCTCTCTCTCTCTCTCTCTCTCTCTCTCTCACCCACTCTTCATCCTCATCCTCTCCCCCGCCCTTCTGTCTGTCCTTCATCCATTTTCATATTTTTTCTTCTTTCTCCTCTATACCTTTGCCAATCTTCCAACTTTCATCTCACTCTCCGGGCCTTCCTTAGTTCCTTCTCTCTCTCTCTCTCTCTCTCTCTCTCTCTCTCTCTCTCTCTCTCTCTCTTTCTCCCCTCCTTTCTCTTCTTCCCTCGCCTATTATACATTTTCTTGCATCTGTCTCTATGTATTTTTTTTTTCTCCTGCCATCGCTTTTTATCACCTACATCCATTTATCTTCCTACTTCGATCTCTTCCCACCCCTTCCACTTTCTCTCTCTCTCTCTCTCTCTCTCTCTCTTTCTGTCACTCATCTGTCTTGTTCCCCTCCCTTCCATATAATATTTCTCTACCGTTTCTTACAATCATCTCCATCCTCATACCTTCCCTGTGTTCTTTTCCCTCCTTTCATTGCGTTCAGGAAGCAAAAGCAGGTGAATCTTACCTCGACTGCATGTATGCGGAAATATATTATTTGACAGCAATGATGCATGCGTTGCTTTTGTGAACTAATACACTTCGCATTTGAAGTGTAGACCTACTAGTTTTCACATATTTCAGTTCCTTTATTGGCGGCTGCAAATTGTGATTACCTAGCTGATGAAAATGAAATTACTATTTTATTTTATGCCCGTATGTAGCAAATTAGTGTCCGTAATTCGTGTTCCAAATAATATCTTTCATGAATTGTGGATTAATGACTGATCATTACTTCCTAACCGATTAGCTTTTATTAATATTCGACTCGTTATAATGACTCATCAAACATTAGGCTATATGCAGCACTTAATTTCTTTGCTGATTGAATCGACATAATATGATAAATATCATGTTAACCCTTATTGTCTGATATTGCGAGAAAAAAAGATGTAAAAACAGAAATATGTTTGACGGTTGTCAACGTTAGAATAGCTAAGAGAGACAGGGGGTGCGCATAGGCTATGCCCCCAATTGAATGGCAAGCATGAGAGAAAGAGAAGGGGAGAGGAAAGGAGAGATAGAAAGATATATATATATATAGAGAGAGAGAGAGAGGGGGGGCAGAGAGGGGCAGAGAGAGAGAGAGGGTGAAGAGAGAGACAGAGAGAGGGACAGAGAGGGAGAGAAAGAGAGAGAGGGGCAGAGAGAGATTGGAAGGGGAGGTGAAAAGATGATAATTGGAACACAATAGGAAGTCAGACATTATTATAATTGTGTCATAAAAATAATTGAAATAAAATGTAAAACTTAAAAGACCACCTACTGCTGTCCGATACCCCGAGTATAATAATTTGATACCAACTCTTTTTAAAGATAACCAGACCTACTCCTTTTATTCTTGCGGGAGAAATGCTGCAGGGGGTGGTGTAAAGTAAATTCGGTTTAGGGAAGGCACGTTTCGTGAAAATGATACCGTATCGCGACAATCACCCCTAGAAAATCACCCCCGATGACAATTACCCCCCCCCCCCCCCTCCGAAATTAGCCCCTGTTCAACCTGATAACAAGTTGGTTTATTTGAAGAAGATTTTTTTTCGGGGGGGGGGGGGGGGTAATTGTCCTCGGGGTGGTTGTCCTCGGGAGGGGGGATTTTCCCGCTGGTAATTGGCCGGGGGATGATTGCACAGGGGGTAATTGTCCTAGAACCGCGTACTACGAATTAACTCTACTATATCTATAACTGTCTGTACAATAATTATACTCTATGGTCTTCAGACTTCAGGCACACTGCCCTCTCTCGTTTCAGGCATCGTGTGTAATTTGCTAAAATGTTCAATGAAAATTCCTTTTATACTAAAGGAATAATACGAATAACACTCAGATGCCAAAGGAACGATCATTTTCTAGAAATACATTAAAATGGTTTATAATTTTAAAAAAGTCATTACAAATTGTGTCATATATAGATAGATAGATCAAACATTCTGGAGAGAGAGAGAGAGAGCCTAGAGAAAACACCAGAAATTAATTGTACAGAGTGAAATAGTGAGCAAAAGATACATATAAAATAAAGGGCAGATAGTACATTAAAGACAGTCAACACTACTGGGCCACAAGGGATTAGACCACACAGCGAGGTCACTGACAGGTGGCTATCCCATTAACTCAACTCTCTACTAACATAAAAAAAGAGGATCATGGGGGACCAACAAGCACCGATTGGGGAAGTTTCTATATAGAGGGAGCAAGTAGGAGCAAGTAGGACAGTGGGGCTTAAAGCAGTAAGGAAAAAGAGAGAGAGATGCAGATAAAAACTGAAGGGAAAAGAGAGAGAGATAGACCAACCGACCGACCTATAAAGAAGGGGGGGGGGGGGGGGCTTGACTAGCCATCGTAAGTGAACAGTGATAGCTCATGTATTTCAGAGTAGATTATGATATGCACTTACTCTCTTACACGATGGAACAATTCATGACTAGTATTATTTTGGACCCAGTCCAAATTTTACTTTTGACTCAAAAGACTAAATGAAAGCAAATGGTTGGAGACAAACAGATCCATTTTCAAAATTGTGTAGACATCACAACTGTTCAGCTTCTATTGAAGCTTTTTATGTAACGTATAAATAAAGACACAAATAGGATATTAATCTTCTGTAAAACACAATTTTAATTCATGCTATATAACAAATATGTTAATAAATGGATACAAAAAGTAAATAAATATGAAAAATTAACAGTTTTATATACTCCAGCTAGATTCCATGTATATAATATCATAATATAAATGAGTTTGATATTGGCTGTCAAAGTTTGCATTGAACAGTACGATTTATAGCTTGTAAAAACATGGAATGTTGAAATACTTTAACAAAGTCATTAAATCGTCCCTGTTTTCACGAAGTGACGGTAGTGAGGAAAATCGTCACGCAAAGTGAATGCAATTTTTTTTCACTACCGTCACTTCGTGAAAACAGCGACGAAATAAGTAGCTGTGAAGTGTTAGAGCATACCAAAATACCCAGATAGCATTTAGATACTGTTTGATCAGGATTTGGATCAATGAATCTTTTCCTGGGAAAAGAAGGGCATTAAATTGATAATATTTTTTGTCCTTCTGGCTCTAAACAGACAAATTGATTTTCCAACTTTTTTTGTGAAATAGTTGCTTTGTGCTAGAAGCTAGGCAGAGATGTACACAGTATGTGTGAACTTATATATTTTAGATGCTTGAATGTAGTGGGCTGAAGCGTAATTGCCCAGTTGTTTTTAAGCTAACCCTGTATGACATCAATACACCACCCAAGTGTGATCTCCAATTAAGGACAATCATTTAAATATCATCAAAATGTAACAATTTAAAGTATGAAGGATGTACCATCTAGTATATACCACCAAATAGTAACCATATAATGTATGAAAGACAATTAAAGATTGTCAAGAACACTTTATCTCAAAATAAGCCGGGAAACTAGAAATCCATTCAGAAAATCACAACAACTTTAATATACATATATTCTACCCTAAACTAATGAATTCCATATACATTGTATAAATATGTTCTTAATATTTCAGGGAGCATACCTTCATCAAATGGTCTAAGAAAACCTCACATACTAGAATGGAGAAATGAGCAATCTATACCAAACATTAATTGTGACCTCCAAAGTTGAATTTCATAAACACTCAACAACAAAAACAAAAAAACTTTTATATCCAATTTCCTGAATAAGCATCTTGAGCAAAAATTTCTAGAGAAATGTAACTTGAAAAAGTAAATAAAGAGAAAATGAGGAAAAGATTAAAAACAGCAATTATATAAAATAGTAGCCCCCCCCCCCCCCCAACCGACTTAATTTACATGAGTTGGGTTAAATCTCTCTTCCTCTTCTCACTTGAGAGGCTTAAAAGGCTCTTCTAAGAACTTGATTTGATGACTGGTACAATAAGGTTATGATTATCATGGTAATCTGACACCATCAAAATGAATACAAAAATAAGGAATGCATAATACAGCAAAACAATTGAAATCAAATTAGAATGCAGATCTATGTGTATCTGAATCACATCAATGGAAAGATCCCAAAATGAATGTATTCGTAAATTCATAATAGTTCAGCATTAAAATGTGTGTATCAAGTTTGTACAAGAATAAGGCACATGCTTAACTACAGGAAATGTAATAGCTTCAACCACAACAACAAAAAACAAAAAAGGCACTGTGTAACATGATAAATCTGTACCAGTATTGCCTCAGAATGGTAAATTATTAGAAATAAATATAGTTTGCAATGCACACAACCACAGCCAATAACATCTTTGCTTATTCAGGATAGCGGTTTTTTAAAACATCAATCCTAATATAGTTAGCAAACACAACATTGACAGAACAAATTTTCTCACACCTTTCTTCCCTCAATATGAATAGATTTTGAATTGTTATAAATTATATCTTACAATATATTGCACCATTTAAAGAAAAGGCGAGTCGACTATCATGGTTGACTATCCTTCAAAAACAAAAATGCATCTTCGCAGATTGCAAAAGATATCCAGGTATGTTCTAAATAAAGCATTTTACAGGTGGAAACAATGATATTTCTGGCACCACATTTTGATGTAGGTGGTATTAAACATATATTATATTCAGACCTGAAATAAGCACATTTAAGAATAGTTAATAAAGCTTTTGGCAATACGCAAGACCACCGACAACAAAAACTACTCACAAAATGTGCTAATTTTCTGGTGCTGCAGTAATGACCCAAAATAATGTATCGTGTTGTTAGTCTACAAATGACTCATGTGTGTGCATGAGCAACATCACATATGGCATAGTGGATTGAAGATGCTATGCCTTTAGTTGTGGTAGTTGTATATCAAACACTCACTTATAAAAACATATAAATGATTAGTACCACATTGTTATTCAAAAGCTTTCTAAATCAAATGATAAACTTGAAAAATACCTTGGATAAGAATTGATTCTTTGCTTTCATCTTTTCTTGAAGGGCCGTATTAAGAATGGCTGCGTTACCTTCTCTCGAAATTGCCATTTAATTAATAAAATTGGCAAACATTCCAAATAAAACCGGTAACAAATTTCCATCAAACAAATCAAACATACCAAAGCTCTCTTCTAATCTGAATATCTTATTTCAGGTTTTAGCAGTTCCTTGGCTCTATCTCAGCCTCTAAGGTGCTCTGACATATCCTCTGGCAACAACTGCTTCTGCTTCTGGACTTGATTTCATAGAACATAGAGGGATAGGTTGTGATCGGGTTTAGGACAGGGCAAGGGTTAGGGATTAGTTATACTGCATGGTTCCGGATCTAAGTTTGAGTGAAGTTTGTTGAAGCTTGATAAATTTCTGGAAGTTTAATAAGATTTGCATAGGATACTGACCCAGCCCACAGAGCACTTGTCATCGAAGCATGTGTCGTATGTACAGCCCTATCTCAGTGTGTGCTTGTAGGCAGTCCTGGTTCAGGTTGACTGGCCAGGGATGCTTGGAACACTCTCTCGGCCTCCTGTCTTGTTACCAGGTCCTTCTGTTCTTCTCTCTCAGCCATCTGGCGATCCAGCTCCTCCTTCTCCTGTAGCATAGACCAAGGAATGAATGAATCAAGAAAGTAGTGTACTTTCTACATCTGGGACCCGTTTCTCAAAGCCTCTTTGCAATGACAAATGTCAAAAATCAGTGCCGAATCTGCTGATAACCAATCAGAAGTAAGGATTTCAGTAGCTTATAACAAAAACTGTCAATAAATTTGTCACTGATGATAAGTTTGGTGAAATGGGGCCCTGAACAAGAAAATATATTTGATTTTGACATACTCTTTTACCATACCATATTATACAACATGCCGTATGGCAAGAGAAAATAATGTAAAATTTAGGTCAGGTAATAGGCAGCATTTGTCAAGGTCATGGATTCGATGTGAATTTGTTTTAAATCTAGTTGGACTGTTCCAAAATCGATAATTGGTTTAGTTCTTTCAACCTGTGTGGGAACACGATTCAGGTAAGTCAGACATTTGCCAAATTCACCAACTTGAATTAAACAAAACAATTTGGATAGTGAATTATTTATAATTGACGTATTTAGCCATGATTCATGAACTTTTACCTCTTTCTCTAATCTGTTGTATTCACTCAGGGCATAACCATACTTTGGTGATGTGATTCCAAAAAAATATGCCAGTTTCTCGCCAAGGTAGTCACAAACTGTGGGAAAATAAAATTTATTTTGATGATACATTTCTAATGTGGCGTTCATGTTCTTAATTTCAAGGACAGTACCATTTGATCAAATTTTGATCTAAAATCCATCAAATAACAGAAACAGATCCGTATCAAGAGCTATTGCACCCTTCAATGTTTCTGGACACATGTTATATTTTTTGCAGAATCATGTTATTTTTAGAAAGAGACAGTTACTCCAAAAAAAAAGTACAGAAGAGATTTGATATTAAATTAGTTAGATTTGGAAACAAATAACATCTTGGTGAAAATATTTACTCTTCCAATATTTCATATGAACTTCATAGTCTACTTTAATATAACCACACAGATTGGTTGTATCATGAGTTTCTCAGTAAGGTTCTTTTCTCCATTGAAAAATTTCTTTCTAAGAAGATAACTGTGAATACATGTATTAATTTTGTGCAAGTAAACATTCAAAGATAATTTCTACCAAACTTCAAAATCCCTTTCAGTCAAAAATGAAATCAATCTCACCTTTGTATGTAGTTGTTCCTGACTTAACCATACAGTACCACATGTAGGGCAACCAGTCCAAAGTTTTCTAGCAATAAAATATAGAGTAAAGAAAAGAGTTAAAGATCTACATGTAGATGCAGTTTACAATGGGCCTGGTCCAACAAAAACTCTCATATTATTGTTAGTTATCACAGATGTGCTTTAAAATTATAACAATTTTTTTCCTTCAACAAACCATACCTGAATGTAAATATGTTTAAGGTCATACTTCATGACATATATCGTATTCCTCTTTTCTCTTACAAAGAAAATATTTCCTTTACTTTAATCCCAATCAGTTGCTAAGCAGCCAAATGAACAATGGGTGCAATGAATCTTACTGGATCAATGGGAGGCGCCTTCGTCAACTCTCCGTCTTCCTCATCCTCTTCATCCGTGCTGTATTCCTCCAGTACCCCATCACTGAAATGGATGATTCTCCTGGGTTTTTTCACCTCCTCCAAAGAGATGCTCTCAAAGTCCTTCTTCTCTGGCTGGATGGATCCGTCTCCTGCATCCCCTCCCAGTGCTCCTGGTACAAGGGATGCGGGGTACACAGGTCCACTGCTGATGATGCTCACAGGAACACTGGAGGCTTCGTCCTGCCCGATGCTCCCAGTTTCCTGTTTTAAAAAAAATTTAAGAAAGACAAAAAGGAAATCAAAATAAGAGAGGGATTTAAACAAGGTTAATTCAGATGATCGATGACATAGATGAAAACTGAAGTATAAGAAAAAGAAGAGCTGTATCACAAGTGGATACTCAAATGGAGTAGATGATGATGACAGAAGAGGAGAAACGTAACAGGAGAAAGGAAAAGAAAATCAAATAGTGAAAAGAATTTTTTTTTAATTTGAACCAAAATACTGAAATGTATGTATTGAGAAAATCCACTGAAATAGAATAACGATTCCCCACGACATGAACCTTAATCCTGACCAAACTTGCTGGTGCTAGCTCAAGCACGGCCAATGACAATGTTTTCATCCCTCCTCCTACCTCCCCCCCCCCCCCCCTAAATAAAAGATGCGCCTCAACTGGCACAATAGTGTGAAGAAACAAAATTCTTCACATTCCTAGTCCTACTACAAAAGTACTTGACTTAGATCTAGACTAGATCTATATAAAAACAAAATTAAATTCTTGATAAAAATGTTAACAGGTTTACTTTAATGACTCTTTAACATGCCAAGACAAGAGCCAGAGCCTCAAACTAACATTAGCAATAACAGAATTCACCACCATCACTCATATCAGACCATTTAAATTTTTGTTGATCACTGACAGTGTGTCAGTGATGTTGTCGGCATCACTTCAACTTTAACTTTATCAATCGGACAATCCGAGTTTAATATTGTAAATCTGAAATTGTTTGTACTTCTTCATTAAAGTCCATTATCACTGATCAACCAATCATCACTATTCATTCACTCAGGTTCACTTGTTATTCATTTCTCATTCAGTTTCTGGTTATGCCTATTCTAACTCTGACTCTGAATCTGATGATGGGAAAGGCAAAGTGCCATTTATTAATTCATGAATCGTTTCCAAGCAAACAAATTACCGTTTCATGATTAACCTCGGTCATGTCTGTTGGTATGTGTGATGTCCTTGAATCTGTACCTCCTTCAGCTTCCATGTCTTGATAGTTCAATTAATAACAACGTTTCAATATATAGATTTCAAACAGTTTCAAGTGAGAGTTACCATTTGTTTACAGATCAGTCATCATCGGCCATTTCAATCGAAATAGCTCTGTATATACTATCGTAGGTGGCGCTCCATATACCCATAATTTTTCCTTTTTTGTGCGACATCGTGGCTTACCTAAGGTGACTACCGATACGTCCTTATAAAAATGCGATTTTCATGTTATGTATAATCCATATGATGTTGAAATAATTTTTTAGGGTGGTTTACGAATTGAAAAATATAATGGTGTAAGATAATTAAAAATCCATCATGAAATGTCGTTGTATGAAGAGGAAAGAAATGAGCTTGTTTGCTCGTAGTGTTGAGAGACTATTCATTCTTTGATTGGTGCTGTATGCATAATGCACGCGATGGTGCAGTGTGTTGGTGCGAATGCGATGTCATTGAGATAACTACATGGGCTTGGCTATTGCAACATGCAATCCCAATTCTTGTACAATTATTAATTGCCATCTTCTCGACATGTATGGTCGCCATGGCCATGCAAATAATTGCAACAGAAACAGGCAATTGCTGTGATGTCTAGCTTTTAACCATTTATTTAGGAGGAATATTGATGAATCATGAATGCAGAAAACAAATAATTTGTATCGAATCAAAAAGTCCACTGCATCTGCCAGCGCATGCAGATTATAATTGAACTGAATGAATTACGTTGGGTTCTGTTTCGACTCTGGCTCTACTCTTTTGTGATATTCATATTCAGACATAGGCAAAGCATCATTTCATCAAGCATGAATTTGGAAATAAAGTGAGAACATTTGAAGAGTGGGTATATTTTTTGTATTTTGTTGGTAGGCACAGATTAAATAATCTTACACAGTCATGACCCGTAGCCGTAGGTCAGTTTGATTATGTCTTTTTAACTCTTTAATGACGATGTGTTAATCAGATAATAAAACCTAGTCTGCTCATTTGCAACAGCAATTTTCTCTTGTGTGTGAGTTTTTTATAGCTGGTGTGTGTTGCGACTTGACATCAACATTTCAAAATACATCTTACAAATTTATTCACTCAATTTTCAAGTTGTGCCCATGTAAACCAAGTACGTAAAAGGGAATATGTATTATGTGTTCATTTTGCAGTTACATCTTGATCTAAATTTATCTTAAGCTTCAGTCTACTGAGAATTGATATTGATTTTAACACTTCTGAATGTGCTCGAGACTGTAAGAGGTAAACTAATGTCTTACTAAATTTAAATGTTATTTTAAGAGATGTTTTATTTTCATTGAAATTCAATCATGTCTCTGTACCATTGAAGAGAAATTTGTATTTAGTTTGAGATTATCTTTTGTGAGTTGTGACAATGTGAATTGCAAACTTATCTTTAAAAAAATGTAAATGGTAAATACCCTTTCATACTAGCTTTCCAGCTTCAGTGCCTGCTGCTGCAGCTGTGGTTACGTATGATTGGTAAACACTTATCAATCCAATTCCAAGTGAGAGAACAGGGATCTACACTGACCTTTTTTCCAAAGGGTTCAGAATGATAACTTAGTCATTACATTGGACCTCTGTTTGAATTTAAACTTACAGTTTCGGGGAGAGGAGTCAGGAATTTTGGGCCCAGTACAGTGTAGAGAGACCTGGAGAGGTCAAGCACTTATACTTAGCTTTCCAAATATATTTTTAATTGAAAAAGCCTAATTGATGTCAAGGTCATGTTCTTCTAAAGATTGTTGTTGCCATGTAGCTAATGTGATAAATTTTATTACACTTAAAAAAAAAAAAAAAAAAAAAAACGGGTGCACTGAACAGGGGCTATAGAGCTTGATTGCAGTCGAACTAAACCCTGATATATTTTGGCTTTAAAGCTGTATATATGCAGATTTGCATCAGTCACCTGCACCAGCTCCCTGTTCTTACTATCAAATACCTGCATTTACAGCAGTGCAATTATCTGAGACCCTATCAACAAAGTTTTAAAAAATGGACTCTCTAGAATCAAAATCTTCCATCACAATTTTCTCCAATTGATTCCCAGATAGAAAGCTAATTAATGAATGAAGAGATGAAGAAATCAATTCTGACTTATCACTTTCAAAGCACAGCTTCATGTGCTGAAGATGAAATTCAATTTGTACTCCCTACTCAAAAGAGAACTAACCTAGATTATTTTTCTCATTTTTTCTTACCCTTTACAGCACCAAGATGCAATTGTTTGTCCGAGCTGACGAGACCCACACCCTTGAGGTGACTGGTGAAGAATCTATTGCTGATCTGAAGGTAAGGAAAGTTCTTTTTCTTCACTTTTCTTTTCTTTGATAAAGGGTAATAGTCATGAAGTTTGATTCAGTAAAGGCCTTGTACCAGTTGTATGTGTACTCTTTGCACTTTGATCTTTGATTAATTATTTATTTCATGGTTTTGTTTCTTTCCAAGTGAACTAAACTAGTAAGAGATATTCAGGTTAGAACAGTCGAAGCCATTAATTTTAAATGTCGTTTATTACTTATTTGACACCCCCTCCTATATTTGACAATATACAAGAAAGAAAGTATAGACAATACTTTTTAAACCATAATGTAGCTGGTTTTGAGAATTTGAGTTGTACCTATATTAAAGCATAATGTAAAAATTTGCATGAACAAAAAGGAAAAAAAAGAAAGATTTTTTTTTGTCAAGGTCAAGACCAGGAGCCATTGCAAGTTCATTTGCCTCATTTAGCATCTATGTAATCATTCGTTCATGAAGCTAAAACTAAACCAGAATGCTCAAATGAGCCAAGTCTTCCTTTTGTGCGCACTAAATATTCAGATAGTTTTAAAGATTATAATTATAAATCTAAATTTGACATGTCAATTTTTACATGAAATATGAATCCTCTCATCTTAATCCCATTAAGGCTAAGATCCAGGAGCTGTCTGGCTTCTCTGCCTCTGAGCAGGTCCTGTCCTGCTGTGGCGCACCCCTGGATGAGGACATCACCCTCTCCCAGAATGGACTCGTTGACCTGATGACCCTTGAGCTCTCCGGACGTCTGCTCGGAGGAAAAGTTCACGGCTCCCTCGCTCGTGCTGGTAAAGTGCGAGGTCAGACCCCCAAGGTAAGTACCACAATCCATTTTGTTCCTCCCTATTTCTCCATGTCGGGGTAAAAGGCTGAAACAAAAGTTTGGCTTTCTTATGAAAGAAAAACTTAAAAATTAATATTGATGGAAGTGAAATTTCAGTGAAATTTCTCAGATGTTAGTTCTGAATGGCCCATTTAATCGACCATGAACGGGCTCAGCTGTAGCAAGTGCCTGAAATCAGGCCAACAAATAAGGACTGCCTGGCTACTGAAATACGTCTTTGAGCAGGGCAAATCAACAACGTTGCTTGCAATTCTTATAAGAAGGCGAGTGTAAATGAGTAAGAAAGAAAGAAAAGTAGTGAGAGACTAGGGAGATTAAGGAAATTTGCCATGGACCGCTTTTCTCTCCCTGCTTGTTTAGCACAAAATGCTTTGGATAAATATGTCATGGAGTTATAATTTTGAGCGTACTGTTACTCGAAACCTTTGACCAAGCATAGCTCTTTAGAACACATTAATATTTGCCATGAGTTCTGCATCACCATCTGTAGAATGACAATGAAATCATCTGCTTTTGTTTTTTGCTCTGATTATCAGGTTGACCCCCAGGAGAAGAAGAAGAAGAAGGTCGGACGTGCCAAGCGCCGCATGCAGTACAACCGCCGATTCGTCAACGTTGTTCAGACCTTCGGCAAGAGGCGTGGACCCAACTCCAACTCCTAAGCTGTCATTCCCTGTCAGAGAATGTTGCATGAAACAAATTGTAAAATAGTCGATGTGTTGATCAGATAATAAAACCTAGTCTGCTCTTGTGCAACAGCAATTTACTCTTGTGTGTGAGTTTTTATTAGAGGTGTCATTGGTGTTTGTGAAAGTTTGAATTTGAATATTTTATGTGGAAATCATGTTATAAACAATGATGTATACCATAGAATGTTTGAATTTGAATATTTTATGTGGAAATCATGTTATAAACAATGATGTATACCATAGAATGTTTACCGGTATATGGGAGATTTACTGTTGCATATTGTGTATATTCCATTATTTATGATATGTACATATGTGTGAGAAATGTTTTTCATATCGTCTCTTTGACTTGTGTTACCCTGAACTACTTGAAAATCAGTATTAAATGTCACCTAGTGCTCATAGTTTTAAGCATGTACTGTGAATGATAATAATGTGATAGTATTTTTGGCTTGGTATCAGTTCATGGATGTAGGATTGTAGGTGGTATGATTGGTTGATTTGACAAAAAAGGAAAGCGTGATTAGTGAACGAATGTGTGTTATGACTGAATGGATACATGTTGAGAGAAAGCAAGATTTGCATTAAATGTTTACATCAGGAAAACTTGTAGATTTTGGTACAGGTGATCTAGAAGAAGACTAGATATTTAAACTTCTTTCAATGTTAATCTGAGCGTAAATAATAATATTGCAAAGAATAATGAAGGGTCGAGTATTGGGTAGTTGATATTGGCAGACAAATGGGAATTGAAATTCAGTTTAGCAACATGTTTGAGTTGAGTCGGACTTCTCTCCCTTATGGTCCTGCAAATAAAATACCTGAAATAACATGTATATTTCTACTTCATTTCTGATTAAAAACCGTGAAAACAATTTTGATATCTGTTGTACTCTACCACTGACTCGAGGCCCTTGTTAAAAACATGAAATGAACACTAGTATACTAGTTGGGGCTGCACCCCCTCCCCAAGGAAATGTTAACTGACAATACACCAGAGATGAACATATTTCTTGATCTCAACTCCTAGATATTCATCACTGTTTTATCACTCCAGTTTCTTTCAAGCTTTCACTCGACTGCTCTTGCTCTTGCACACTCCAACGTGTTTCAAAAGTGGAGCATTCTTTAAGTAAATTGAAATTAAATATGAAATAAATATTATAGAATAATATACCCAGTTAATTTTGAAAAATTAAAAGCACAAAATGAAATGCAAGACACAAATATTTAAAGTGTTTTTAAATATATCTTTAATATACCATTCATTTCTGATAGGAAGACAATTTATTTGGCATTTTTGGAAAAATCACTTTCCATATTGATTTGGTACTTTACAACTCACAAATAGAGATTAAATTCTTATTACTAAATTTTTACTTCATTAGATCATTTGTGTATTCAATCAAATTATTCACACAACTTCCCTCACAGACAATATGATATGTGTTTAATGATGATGCAAAATGTCTAACCACAACATCAATGTTTATACACAATGGAGAAAAAAATGCTAATAATGAGTCACAAGTGCAAATAAGATTTTATATATTAGTTAAAAGTTGTGCAAATTTAAGTACCGGTACTGAGCACACAGGATTTTGTGCTACATTCAAAAGTATTTAAGAGTAATACCCACCCCCTCCCCAAAAAAAAAAATGATCACATATTATTTGATTGTCTTGTTCTGTATATTTTTGTATAAGATTGTTGTATGATCTCCCATTGTATAAATGATGTTCTTCAATGTTGGCCTGTGACAGATCACCTAGAGCCCTAGAGGTATTTTTGCATGCCAAAAATAGATGATTATGGAAACATATTCTTCCTTTTTTCTTTCAATATACAAATATATTCATTGTAAAAATTCCTTTAACATCATTGCACAATACCCAGCATCTAAATGTGTGATGCACAATTCATGAACAAACCAAACTCTGGTACTCTGGTAGATAATAAATTTGTCAGATTTGCTCAATATGCAGAACTGACAATAAGCTGTACGGTGTCCCCAATTTTACACAAATAATCTCTACATTACAAATTTATCTAAACCAAAGTTCAGATGGATGCTACAATCTATGAAGCACTTGCCAAACACTGCAAGATACATATAAGTTTTAAAGTGCTCCTTCTCTCCAACAAATCTATCTTGATTTGAAGTTAAATTTCCTTTCCTGTTCACAGAGTTAATACTCTTTTGTTGGTAGATCACACACAAACCTGCCATTTAGAACTGAATAATCCCTTTAAATATGGATATATTTCTATTTCTCAAACTACATATGCAGTTAACTAATATGACTAGAAATAAAATGGCAATTTTAACAAATAAAATCTTTAGAAATGATAGGACAAAGTTAAATATATTTCTCGTCCTTGTCAAAGAAGACACCTACCCATATCCTAACATTTTGTTATTCAAGGTGAAAGACAGCAGCATAATTATATCTAAAATACAGACCCTTGCGGGAAAAAGATGGAAAAGCCATAAATGGAATGACAAAGGGGGAATACAAAAAGTATTAGTAATTATTTTCACTAAAGCTAATATTTTAAGTTTTAAATACATTACAAGTAACCAGATTGACTAACAGAACAGAATATTATATCTACATTTTTTGGTTAAAGTAGATATTTCTGCCAAATTGTAAAAATACACTTCGTCGATATTACATTGATATAGACATAATAGTGCTGCTATTCATTCTATTGTATTAAATGTCATTGTTACACATAAACATACCCACTGGTGTTGGAATGCATATGAATTTCAAATGAAAAGGCAAATATAATTAATCTTACAATATAAATGTTAATGTCATAAAATAACCCCCAAAATGGTAAATTTAGGAAAATTAGAGAAAGGAATGAATTACTATTCTACTGGTAAATAACACTGGGGTCCACTCGCCCTTCATAGGGACCCGCTATTCATAATTTGAGAAAAGGTCATTATTCATAAGCTGTCCTTATGACTAGCGAGGTCAACCGAAAAAACTTTCCAACTGGTTATAAAGTCATACTTTTACATACAGATAGTATTTAGTTTTACAGGATTCATAGAGGTGCAAAATTGCCAAAAGAACATACTGGAAAACGTGTTTTATTATGACGACTGATATTAAAACCTATTCCTCTTTTTTAATTTTTATGAAAAATGCAGGAATGGAATCGAGTCCTACCTTCTTAATTGTATTAACATTTCTTTTTTACAGCTGGCACTGAAAAAAAATTAATTGCTCATGAAAAAATAGAGGTTTGGGTCAAAATAGTGCAAATAGTGTCAGATTGTTGTATTCTTTTTGTGACTATGTGCTAACCGTGCACAGAGTGTTCAATACCAAAGTGTGAAACATAATTAAAAAGGTGAATGTGCAATTGTACATTTTTTAAAAGGCACATCATTTTTAGCAATGTGTAATTTATGTAAACCTAACAGCATATCCTATATCCTTCACCTCAGCCTCCATTTAAGGAAAAAACATACACTTATGTCCAAAGAATAAATCTATCCTGGCAAAACGTGAAGATAAAAATACTTTACAATAGTATGATATGTAACTCGTATATAGTGAGGTAATGTCAAGGCTCCTATAGTTCTGATCAATTACCATACTCTTTTGTGTTATGTACAGTATCCATGGATATCAAATTCTTGCCATTATCAAAATTATTATTATCATTTTTTTTAACACCGGTAGGCTTTTTTAAGGCCATTCAAAACGACTAGTTTTAAGCATACAGTTGAAAATTAAACTGGAAAGAAAGCATCTAAAAAAAAAAAGAGGCTAATTTGGTGCATTTCTTATTCACAGTATCACCTGCACATTATTATGTAGGGCCGTCTGATACCTAATACAAAAATGAAAGAAGATATAGTGTTGTAACATATAAGAATGTCATTAAATTTACATTGATTTCTCAAATACCACACAACCCAAAAATGATCTTTGGAATCTTTCATGTACAGACAATAAAAGCTGCTGAATAAAATTTCACTTAAAATTATGGTTCTCTTGAACTTTATATCCATAACACAGTGGAACATGACAAAAGAAATACAAAGGAATTAACTTCTAATAAGATGAAACAATACTCTTATTCACTATCATACATGTATCTCTTTCATAAGTTCAAAATTACACAATACAGCCTCGTTCAGGCAAAACATGTTAAACAGCCTTTTAGAAAAAAGCGCTAGCGCAAAATAAGTCTTTTCCCATGTATCAGTAAAATGGTATCGTAAATGAATACCGGTAGCAAATGGTGTTGAAAATGGTAGAGCATAAGGCACCACAAGGCCTCTTTCCGCATCTGTGTGTTGTAAGAAACAGAAATCCGGAGCACACTTGCTTATGTTATTTTATTTTGCTACAGCATTTTATTTTCTTTAAGACGTTTTATTTTATTTACAGGCCCATTAAGATTGTCTTAGATCCTTTAAAAAAAATCCTTGATTTAGCCATGCTGCAATGATAATTATAAACCTTTAGGTCAGTCAGGAACCCCATGGCTTAACGCAAATTACAAGCCGATCGCCTGTCTGATTATCAAGATATTTATGATTGAAAATCGAAATCAAATTTTGCGTTTGCAAAACGGTTTTCATGACACTACAGTCTAAAAACCGGTCACTCAAAGGTTTTTACTTTTTTGAGGCTCTTCTTGATCATTTTGAAGTGCATTTTTTTGTAGGGCTTCAATATAACACCATATCACAGACACTGATAACACGTAGGGCCGTGCATATCTCAGATTTAACATTGTTAAACGATCCCTTTAAAGATACTATGTCCCTTTTGCAGCCAACATCAAATTCTGTAGAACTTTGCAGGAATTATGAATATGTCATAATGTCTGTGAAATTTAAACGTTAGCAGTGTTCTAATATTCAAATTATGCAAGGAAACCTGTTTACTTTCTAGACTTCACTGTCAGACACTATTGAGTGACTGACTGGCTTTTTATCATCTTTAGTAATAACATGCATAAAATGAGCTGTAAAGGGTACATGAGCATTTGTCTACATCAATAACCCACTTCTTGTAATGGCCAAAATTAAACTGATTGAATCTTTGCGCAGCATAAAACGTATGACCATTCGGTACAATGGTCTGAAAAATCAGACTATTACTTACTAGCTCTATAGCTCCTAAGTCGATTCGACAACTAATAGTCATTATTTTCCCACTTAAAGACATTTTCAAGCCCCTCTTTTTTTAGGGAAGTTCTAATTTAGTATTGTCTTTCAAATGCCGTTGGAATTTAACCTTTTCATTTTTTTGGCCTGCAAATGGGACATAGTACCTTTAAGGCAGTTTACGACGTTGTGAGTGAACGAGGCGTGGATAGACACTATACAGACATCAACTGCAGCAGCCACCTGGTTTGACCTCAGCATCTATAGTACTGTTCTCTCTGGAACCATATAGCTTGATGCTCTGTAGTTGCTCATCTATGTCCTTCTTGTTCCTGTCCATGACAATCTTGACGAGACCTTCAAATGCCTGGAAGATACAAAAAATAATAATAATACGTACATACATTTATTCACTTTTTTTATTCACTATAAAGAAGGGGTTATTTCACCAATAAAAGTATTCTTCAGTGAGGTCCTGTTTGCAACATGTGACACAAATAAAATGTACATATTTTCAATTAAATACTTGATTTTCTTTCTTTAGTGTTCGATCCACACAAAGTTGCTGCGGAAAGAATTGCTACTCACACCTGTAAAGCCTAAGATGCGGAAAAGATGTATAAATAAAACCTATGAAATATGCTATGACAATAATAATTATGATACTAATACTAATATTCTACTTGTATTGTATTATTTGCATATGTCTCTATCCCCTGTCAAAGTATATAGAATTACTACCCTAGCCTTATATAGCTCTGCCAGTCTTAGCTGCCCACAGTGCATTTCAAGGAGTAAATCAAAGCACTTACTACACCTGGGTGGATACTGGCAAATATGGATTGATGTATTTACATTTCTAAATAAGAGCATCACAGAATTTGATTTTGAATTGATTGAGTTTGATATGAAAAATGAAAGAGCTGAACATGGGAACAAGATTGAATATCTTTTGTTCAAATACGAAAAACAATTGAGCATACCTCATCGAGATTGTCTCCGCTGAAAGCACTGCCCTCTACAAACGCTAGGTTCTTCTCCCTCGCAAACTACACAAGAAACAAATACAAATGGTGGTTATTAAAAGAGTTCAATAATCTTAGATCAAACGATATCATCAATGCCCTCAAACAATTCATCATCAAACACAACGTTAGGCTTTTGCATAAATAACTAGTTGAGAACAAAACACAAACAAAGCAGGCATTCAATATTTCCGAGTTGACCATATCATCTAAAAAAGTATAGTTTTGTAATTCTCTGTGCTTTTGATCATATACATGTATCTCTCAAATTGAAGAAAAAAAAATCACATACAAGGTTCAATACTCTTTTATCTATCCAAATATTTTTGTTAAAGACTTCAAATGTTAGAGTTTTGCTTCTTTCTCTTACCGTCTGACCCTCTTCCTTAGATATGATCCGGAGTGCCGATGCATCCGACTTATTAGCCACTAGGATTCTTGCAACACTACCAGCACCCTGTACAAGAACAAATAGGAGAAAATCATTAAATTCATTTTCATCATTAGATTCTAGGCAATACATGAATAACAATAAAATTTGAAATTAAAATCATATTTGCATTGCTCATTAATAACAACGCCTTATTGTGGTAATATTTAAAGCCACTTTATATTATTAAATAAGTAGATCCCTGTAGAATAGTGTACATGACTCATATATTTACTGATATTTCCATGGTAATTTTATACCAGAATATATTTTTCGCATCCATATACCAGCAGAATGCGTATCAAAGGTATTGCATTGCATGCGGAAGAGAATCATAGTGACAAATTCATGTACAAGGGTATAAACACATGTAATATTTCCTTCACGAGAGTTAAATCACTGTTTTTTAAAGGTAAAATTTAACTTCCTCAACAAAATCTGTCTAAACAGTTAAGGGAAGAAACGTCACATTACATGGTGGCACTCCAATTTTATTTGTCTATGACAAACTGATTTTCCACCTTCATTTCAGTATTAAACATTGATAAGCTTAGGTACTCAAAACCCTAAGATATGTTTTCTGATATTTACAGCAGATAACATTTTTATCTATGTGGGGTCTTGTTGAGCCCTAGTTTATTCTTACCTCATCTATCATATCCAGCCATTTGCTAATATGCCTGAATGATATTTCACTTGTGATGTCATAGACTAACATGATACCCTATGAAGAACAAAGAAAGTAATGTATTCATATATTATGATCAAGCAAATATCATAGTGGGAATATCTGAACTTCATGAAAATTAGCAAAATGACAATGAATTAGATAAATAATCAAAAATAGACTCATCACATTAGTTTTAAAGACCGTCACCACTACTGGGCAAGAAGGGATTAGACCACGCAGCGAGCCAGCGAGGTCACTGTGACAGGTGGCTATCTCATTAACTCAGCTCTCATTTAACATAAGAAAAAGAGGATCATGGGGGACCAACAGGCACCGATTGGGGAAGTTTTCTATATAGAGGGAGCAAGTAGCTACAAGTATGGCAGTGTGCCTTTAACATTTTTTTAAAATTTTTTTTATTCCAAAGCAGAATTTTAATTAATTTCTTGAATGTAATACAATTCTGAAATAATGTATCCAACCAGAAAAAAAGTATAATATCAGCATCGTCATTACTTGTAACCTTCAGGATTCACTTACATATTTGTATTGGTGCCTGACAAATAAATGTAATGCTGCTTTAATCTTATCAAACACATGCTTATAAAATATACTGTATGTCTGTATATACATGTTAGGGGTGGGGTTGCTGTTGTCCATTATATATTTCATTCAGTTTTGATATTTCCACTGTACAGTACACATTACCTGTGCTCTCCTGAAATACTGCTTCGTTATTGTGTCATATCTCTCCTGCCCAGCAGTGTCCCTGTACATAGTATCAAGCAAGAAGAAAGCATCATTAATATACTTACAAATTACAACATTGATTTGTCTACTGAGCACCAAAGTAATAATACTGCAAATTATTTGTATTATTATTTATAGTGCTATTGTGAGTTTTGGCTCCCAACAGACAAAAATGATTGATTTAAATAATTAAATTGTTCGTTTTGAACTATAGATGGATGTTAAATCTGGGTAAGATGATATGATTCTGTCTCCAAATAGATGATATGAAAACATGGTGCCAACATAGCTGGCAAAAAATAAATGGTGTCCACTTAACAGTTTATTCATAGAGTAAACAATATGACTCATTCCAACATAATATTGTCTACACACTGTGATTATTCACATAGTAAACAATATGACTCATTCCAACATAATATTGTGTACACACTGATTAATTTTTAAAGTCACAGTATTCTTGTTAGAAATTTGTTTACTCTTTGGATGAAAATTAATAATTAAGTGACTTTGCATTGTCCAAGGGGGTGTGGGCAGGGGGAGGGGATGTAGGCAAGATGGGGTGGAAGGACCAAACTAACAAATAAATTTGGCATGTTTTGGGCGATCGACATAATTATATTATCTGCATTTGGGGAGATTTTACTCTTGGTACATGTATAGTTCTATTCTGGTGCTCACTTTGGCTTTGCTTGGTACAATATTATCACTTTGTTGAGTACTAATTAGAAAACTGTGGCTATCTGTGTGTCATATTGTGTTACAGTACACAATCTCACATTGTGGGCACAGTCTGTTACTCACAGTGTGGACATTATATAGTCAACACTGTGATTGTGTACCATATTTTGTGACTATAAGCTTTGAAATTTTCTCTGTCTGACCACATGATATTACATTGTGGATGATTGTGTAATACAGAGTACGTAAACAGCACATGAGCCGATCATACTCCGGAAACATATCACACTCTTCATAACATGGTCCCTATAATTCAGGCAATAACCCTGTATCATGTTGAAAATAGAACGCAAATAATTGCAGGCAGCCTGTAACAACATACATGTACATGCTGGAAGTGGTAATTGTTAGTTTGTTACACACGTTTTAGATAGTGATAATAATTAATTAATTATGGATTAATAAGTTAATAAATTTAAATTAAATTGGGCAGTACATATTAACATGCAGGCTACTGTACCTTTAAACAAATTGCTGCATGCCTGATTGGCACATTATTTCAATGTCAATGTATTGTTGCCAGGATGTCATTTCATTGTTAAGCCACTATTTCAATATTTATTCTCATTACAATAGGATGTTTTCAATGAAAAGTACATACGTAAATCAAACTAACTCAAATAATCATTATGTGCGGAAAGGAAAAGAAAGAGTCAAAATATTGGTTTTTGTGGTTGTGTATGTATTTGCACTAATCAATCATCACTGTTGAAATCTCAATCTCAAACCTTACACATTTAACTACAACAAATGTGTGTATGTTTTTAAATAACATCTTTTACAATAAAAAGAGGAGAAGGAAATAGCAGAAGAGGATGTCTCTCATTAATTTAAAAAAAAAATAGATTTTCAATTTTCCATAATTAATATTGCAGTTCTTTAACCAATGTATATATGTTCATATTCATTTCTAATAGCAGATGAAAAACAATTATGACCCCCCCCCCCCCCCATCGAAGAAAAAAAGGAAGAAAAGGGAATAAAATGGAATTGAGCTAACCCTGATCAAATTTTTAAGCCAATATACAAATACATGCAATTCATTCATACCCCAAGGCTAAAAAAACATGATCATACGATATTCATACTGGGTGAATCAACAGTTAATGCATAATAGTTCAGGAAAATACAATTCACAGCTTTGCTTTGCAGTGTGTACACGCTCCTAGTCAGTCAATTTCATACTATGCATTATTGAGCTTGGGTTGTGAAACCATGCAGAACAATGAATGAGAACAATCACAGACCCTGACCTCGACAATACTCGAGGCATGTATGGAATTCTGGGATCATGCAAATATTTTGTCTGCCATATTACTCATCAAATATATACCTTACTCACCAAATTTGAATGCGGATCTTTTTATCATCCACCATGAGCGTTTTCATTTTAAAGTCGATACCTGCAATGCAGAAGATAGAAAGCATATGAAGAGAATAAAGGTCAAAACATATCAAACTATACTTCTCCTCAGACAGTTTTGATCTGCAGTATACATGTACGGTATAATCAATACACCGATTCATTAACATATTCAAATATATGGATGTATCATTCCTAGGGACCTAGTGACGAGTTACTACCACAATAACCAGCATCCAGTCTGCATATATATTACTTGTTACTATGTTGGGCAAGCTTTTAAGGTGTCAACAACAACCTTTGTTTTAAAATTTGAATGTTAGTAAACTAGTCTATTCCAAATGGTCAAAAACTACTTCGATTGTGTATAATATATTATTGTGCAATGTGCAATGTGTAATATATTTCTACCATGCATAAACCACTAAATTAGCTAGAAAATGATACTTTTGGATTGAGAATGGAGAACATTAACTTTCCAATAAAGAATTTGACTCTGATCTGAACATAAACAGTTAAATTTTGAATATGGTTATGTTATGGATGGGAAAACCAACCTTCATACAGAATGACATCATGACAGGCAATTCATCTTAACTTCTGAGAAACATTTTGTCATTGAAATGAGATTTGCCATAGAAATAAATATCACTTTGAAACATTTGAAATAACATCTGGATCATTTTTTAAACCATTCTTGCTTTTCTTAGAACCATAATAAAGAAACAAATTACAACCTTTACAGCGTACAAGTAGGATTCAAATTGTTAAAAATAACCCTCAAATCTAGCAAACATAGTATGCTACTTCGGTAACACTAATAAGTGATCAAGAGCTAAATAAATATAGTACTACTTCGCACATTCCATCTATTGTTTACTTATCATTGACTCCTCTCCACATTTCAATTGCATTGTAAAACCTCTTTGCAGAATTAAGTCCCGCATGTTGGTCTTTAATACATGTACATCTCTTAAAGGATTTGATTCACCAACCACAATACATACTGCATGAGTGATTCCTTTTAGATAGACAGTGATACTTGCTTTTCATTCTCTACCAAGATTTATCAGAAGAAATAATGCAATAGGTTGTGAGGATCCAAACAGTTTAAAATATGTGATGATCCACATATCATTGCAAGCGCAATAAATGTAAAACTGATTTTGTCATGTCAAGATGATGATAAAAACAACAACAATAATAATGATAATAATAATAATAATAATAAGAAGAATTTTGATAATATTAAAACAGCAGATAAAGTTTCATTACTTCAGTTTCACATCAGGTGATAGAATAACAAATTTTCATGTTAACCCTGGCAAACTATTTGAGGAAACAATTTTCTTTAATTTTTACTAGATATCACATGTCTATGCACTATAGTCAGAAAGAATATCCTGATTGGAAGCGATCTACCTCGGAAACGTGTTTCCTTTTCCCCATCTGTAATATCATTCCGGATGCAGGTAATCACCACTTTAAACAGAAAAACAACACACCCTGGATTATGCAAACTATCCCATGTGGAAACCTATTTTGCAAGTCTCTTGTTTAAATTATGCATTGATGGGTGAGCCACCTATAATTGCAAATGCACATTTTCTCAATAAAGTCAAGAATTGAAGAAAACAGAACAACATCTCTATGTAGTATGTACCGGGTAGACTTTGAACAGAGGTATTTTTGAACAAATTGTACACAAAATTAGTCTTGCAAGGACCTCTTAACAACTGAGGAATTTGAATAATGATGTGCAAATATGATGTGTATTGTGTAACAAATCTAGTCATTAGATATTAAGGGCCACACAAGTGAATTGAATCATTGATGTATAAATGTTCTTCTTCTGTTAATTTTCAAAGCCCTATGCAGTTGCACAGTATGCAGCCTATCCAGAAGATCTGTAGAAATATTATCAGTTGTGTATCCAGGCACACTAAACCAATTAACAAAACACGATATGTTTAAAGTAAAACATTTAAAAAAAATCTTATATACATACAAAAACTGGTGATGGTTATATGGCATCTAAGTGAAATGAAGAGCCCAGTAACATTCTGTATTTTTTGTTTACATCTCTTTTATAAAATCATAACTCATTAACACGATATAAATGTAATTCAAATGTAAACAATAGAAACAGCTGCAATGTCCTCTCTCAACAATGAGCTTTCCTACAACCATCACTAGATATCAATATTCCTAAATAATTCACATATTTAGATATTTGCCATACAGATCAATTATCAAAATACTGAACCAGAGGTTAAAAGCATCTGCATCTGATGGCATTCCAGACAGTATACTGTAGTCATACAAATCTATGAATAAGTGAAACCTCTCAGTAATTACAATTGATAGGCCAAGGAAAGTGAAACTATTTAATGGCCAGACTAAGATTTAGAACAATAGGGCTTATATAGCTGTACCCAACCTCCATCTGCTCTCTTGTGACACATGTTTCATATCATTATACGAGGTGATGAATTCAACATTAATATCTGTTTTACACAAAATTACTTCCGCCAAACATAATGAAGTACACATCTTTGGGTTGTTATGTTGGGTGACCAAATCTCTCAAATAAACCCTTTTTTGGTGCCTGTGTAAGGTATGTTGAATCTTGCTGTAATACATGATTATGTTTGTTGAGCAAAGGCCTCCACTAGCTCTTCACTGTGTTATAATCACAAGATATGATTTAATGCCACTCTGGCTCTCAGCAGATAATAACTGATCTACATGCATGTTGTTGTTGTTGTTGTGTTTTGAGTTATTGGCGATTAGTCAGTGATTTGACTATTGTCGCCAAATTACTTTACGGCACGTGTTATATCTCTCAATTTTGGATTTTTTTAAAAATACATTTATTTCGTTTTATATTTATCTATCTTTTAAGATAGTATCGTAAAATAATATCGTAAGCAAAACATTCATGGGCTTTATTAGTGTTTCTTAACAGTACGTGCAGATTATTTGTTATATCACATACACACCATACATAAATATGTATATCAGATAGCACCTACACAAGCTTCTATATTCAGTAATCTTATCATACCTTTTATCATTGTTGTTACTTTTTCTTATTTTATTTTCTTAATACATGTACTAAAAGAAAGGTAGATCAAAGGTGACAATAGAAAAAGAAAAAAAACTTACCTATCGTTGGAATGTGTGTACTGTTGAAGCCTTCTTCTGTAAATTTACACAACATGGATGTTTTGCCAACACCAGAGTCTCCAAGCATGAGAAGTCTTATCAGAACATCGTATTGTTTCGCCATTTTGACAAAAGGTGTCCTCGTTCAGTTTCATAGCATGATCAAGCAGTTTTCACATGGATAGAGCAAACATCTGGAAGTTTTCATTAGTGCAATTAAATTAGTCTATGATGCTGGCAAAGAGTGTTCTTGGAGGGGTACTTGGTGTCTTGAAGCATGTATAGCCTAGGAGACAGGTACTTCAATCATTCAATGCCAGTCTCGATCTTGTCTGTTCAAACATTCAAAGTCTCCTCACTGCAGAACAAACATACCCTATCAAACCATACTAGAACAACTCTCACTTTAACACCTGTATTAGATTGAGGGAGAAAAGGAAGGGGTAAAAGGAAGGAAGGAAAAAAATGAATATGTGGAAATCAACGGTACCGTTTTTGTAGATATATGCTTGTAATGTGCATATTTTACATACCGTAATATAAGTATAAGTTTCTGTTTACATTACGAGCTTGCTCTGGCCTCTAGACAGCTCTGACTGGGGGATTATGATATAAGTGAAACATTAATTTAAAAAAAGGATTTTATTTTTATAAGAAAACAGAATACTGGTAGTGCACTAGTGATAATGGATTAATAATATATGGATCATACAAAAAATACTTTTAATAAAAATCATAGTTGAATTTCATTTTCATTACCCTCAAAATATTTCTTTACACTCTTCTTTTTTTGCCAAATCTACTGAAAAATATTGTAGGGCTGTAAAGGCCTTACTTTGTAGTATTTGTACAGCTATCAAATTTTAATTTGGAGCCAGAACTTTAGGGCATATGATTATGAATTAGTGACTTATTATGAACTCTGCGTAAAATTACATAAATTATTAATGCTCTTCTGGATCCAAACACGTGATATGTCGGAATCCTCTGTTTAAGAAAGAGGTCAATATATATATATATATATATATCCTCTAAATACACATTTTATTTACACGGAGATATATCTAGGCATGCAGGAGCCGCCCAACTCAGCGCATAGTGATCGCCAGGCCAGGCGGTCCTGAGCTTTGACACCTGTGCGGCAGGCCAGGCGCTGTGCACTGTTCGCACCACTAAATGGCGGCTCCAGATCCTACCGGGTTTACAACATTGGTATATTGCCCGTAGGGATAGTAGTTCGTCGCGGCGCCAGTTGTAAAATAATATACCCCAATCATCCTCCAGAATTAGCGTACAATAGAAGAGCCCTTTAAAATGTGGAATATAGAAAAGTATCATACATACCCTTCTCTTTCGGAATCCCGGCCTCCCCGAGCTGTTTTTAATGAATACTCAGAATTCGTTACCTAAATTGTTGGTTGGTCCACGAATGCAATGCATCACCACCAGTCGCCGCGCATGCATGCTTCTTTTATCACATATCAATAGCATGATCGGCAACATCAAACACGGTTGAATAGGAAGATCCTATTAATGGGTGCTACCAATAAAGGGGATTCGAAAAACAAAGCGCGCATCCTATGAGCATCCATGTGATAACAAGGGCGGGGCGGAAAGGAATTATCAAGGGTATTATAAAAGTACAAATATGTCGATATGCCTACATGTATGTATTCTCCACTATATTTTTTCCTACTTTTATGTACTGATATACCTCTTTGATAATATCCAGCTCAACAGTAGCAAATTACACTTAAAGTTATCCAAGGAGTTATAACTCCTTGGTTTATGACGCTCTTATCGTGGTGCATTAAATTCTATTCACAAAAAACATAAGTTTAAAATAGCGGCGGAATTATACTTCAATCTAATCAGATATAATTGAGTGTATTTTTGTTTTCTTGTTCATCTCTTACTAAATAGAATATAGGGAATAATTTAGACTGTAGGTGCTCGGATTGGTATCAATGTTTTGCTTTTCTTTCTTTTATATAAAACATAAACTTTGATTAAGAAAAAGATACCTGTTAGATGGCAATATCAAATCAAATCTCCATTTATATTTTGACATATTACTAAGAATTCATTTCATTCAGGTTTATTCCATGTTTCACATCAAACTTTCAGCACTGTCAGTTTGTTTAGGCTTACAAAAAATGATAAAACATCAACAACAACAAACATCTGCAAGCTCCCCCTACCGCCCCCCCCCCCACCCCCTCTCTCATTCATCCCATCTTGTATAAATTATTGTTCTTGTCATGCTTTTCGGAACACATGTATTTTCAGCTAGCTTGTCTGCAAATTTAGTCCGAAACCTAATTTGATAATGGTCTCGCGATGACCCTGTCATGGGGTAGATGCAGGATTCTGTGAAGGGGGTGGGGGCACAGTTATTGTGTGCCCCCTTTTTGTAATGGATTCAATTGTATTACGTTCCCTAGTACTTTGCGCTTTCTCCTGGCATTTTGTGTCGCAAGAATTCCGTCTTGTACACTGTATTCCAAGTCTAGTTTTTCTTCACATCTCTTCTTCTCAACCCTATTCACCTTCTTACTGTCTCTCACTACCTCTCTCTCTCTCTCTCTCTTTCTCCGTTATTTATTTATTCCTATATCACCCAAACTCAATCCTACTTGTTGTCTTATGCTAGCCTTGTTGTCCCATCTCTGTCTAAAAGTATTTTAATGTTGAATTGAAAAAGAGTCATTTTGACAAGTCAAGTGAAGCTTCTGTTTTATTCTATTTTCTTTTAAAAATCATTCTTGATTTTTATCACTCATGAAAAAGTACATAATACACACATTAATACAGCAGAAGTTTTTAAACAAATAATTTGCTGCAATGTTGTATCCCCCAGATCATAACACCTACACTCTTCCACACCGGTAGAATTATATCAGCCAGGCCTTTAAAAGGTCCAGAAGCTTATCATTTCTGTAATAAAACTTCTGTCAACAATTTCATTGTAATCGATAATATGTTAAAAGCAAATGAGAGTAAGTGAGAAATGAAACCGTCTAGGACATGAATGATGAAGCTTGCATATTATCAACTGAATCATATCCTTATCATCCAATCAATATACATTTCATTTCACCCTATACAAATGAAATATTTCCAGAGAATGTTGTGCCACTTGTGTGATGATGACTTGAAGACTGTAAAACCAAAAAATAATGGATACAATTATTGCTCAACATCAGGGTTATTTTGTGTTAGACCAACTTTGGGGGTGATTTCATGCCCATCTTCGGATAACGTTTCGCCCAATAACAATCAAATTTTTCAACAAACTGAGCAAAAAATGATTCTGGTAAGTTGGGCCTACAACTGACTGAAAGTTATTTGGACAAATAATTACCCTCCCAGGATTTGTGTTACCTAAAGGATTGAGGGGATTAGTATTCAACAAGTAAAGATTCTGTTAAAATGGAAACAACCCTGAGAAACTTGAAGTAGTTTTTTACTCTTGTTTTATTTCTAACCACACCATGACTCTAGTCATTCATTGTACTTGATTACATAAAGAAACTCTGGTTACAGAGGGAAAAGTTAACTGCCTTAAACCCGGGCCTCGACTTTTAAAATAATGATGAGCCCATATCCATCTAAAGTTGAAATAATGCATCTCATGTCATTTCAAGTTGTCTCCCATGACATCATGTTTAAAAGATGTAAGGATAAAGTTCAAGAAGATTAACATATCACATGATCTTTACCAAAACCAATGCATTTATGGACTCTTCAATACCAGTATTTTGCAAAAATTGTATTCTTTGCAAATTCAAATTATTGCCATTCAATTGAATTTAGAATTGTCCACTTTCCTGAAATTGAAATGTCCAATGTAAAAAAATTACTTACATAAACAGGACTCTTTTACAAATTATCTTCACAAGTACAAAACGTAAAAATTAATATTTATTTATCTCCCCCCCTCCCCCCTCCTCAAAGCATACAGATACATTTTGACTGATTTTTTTTCAGTTCCTTTCAGTCCTCACTGATTTTGAAATCAATCTTACTTTCTATTTTAACAGTGTGATAATGCTAGTGCTTTAAATGTGTCTGCATAATCCATAGCAGGGTTCCATAGGAATCAATCAGTATGCTTCAACTTGATCCATAAAACATTCACACCTTTTAAAAAAAGTGTTCATTCTGGAACCAGTAAACAGATTGACTCAGGTCTTTAAAAAACTATTTGGCTAATAAAGCCTCAAAATAAACAGGAATAAACAGTGGTACCATACACTTGGGCTACTATCTCTTAACACAACCCTTAGAATGTTGTAGTTTCTGGGTGGGGACCCATGCATACAACAATACAGACCCTACATAAAGCCTTGAATCTTCTCATTGAAAAATAGTAATTGTGGAGTCAAGGGTAATTCATCATCAAAATTATGTAACTAAGTCACATCGGACATATATGCCCATAAATGCTGAATAACGTACAAGGAGATTTAATTCAACATGTCACATGGCTGGTGAGTGGCGAGTAACAGTGACGTTCATTCCCTGGAGTATATCGCAGAAGACACAGATTCCTGTAATGCGCTGAGCCTGAAGCTACCAATCATATTTCGATCTTCCATGCTCACTTCCCAATTCTCTGCATTAGAGACGGCAGTTGTCTTTGAGTACCAGTTCATTAACTATTCTCTCATTCCCGCTTTATATCTTTGTATATAGGATGGGGGCTTTCTGCTGCTGCTTTCAGTGCTGCTACGAGTTCTTTCGTCCTTTGCTTTGACTCAGCCATTTTTACTGGATCTGCTTCCGGGAGACGCTGAAAGGGGAAATGAGAGAATGGATTTTTGATTATTAGATCTACTTGGTTCTCGGATGGTGCAGGCTGTACAAGTGTACATGCATGACAACTAGAAAAAATTATCAGGGAACTACATTTATAAATACTTTGCCAAAGTTAAGAAAAAGTACAAATTAGATTAAACAATAGCAGGAGGGGGAGGACAGAAAATGGCCCCTTGATGTTCATGAAATATGGCAATACTGTAGTAGTATAAGAAATGCTAAATCTTTCATGCATAGAAATAGATAATGCATAATATATCGATAAGAGATTGATAATATCTACTTTTGTGGAATCGTGAAATAAAAACCACCATTTTCTCCTCAGATATAATGTCAGTGGCGCTTCATTTTGTCACACACGCACGCATCGAATCGGTCTCATACTCATACATGCGTGCAGACAAACAAATCCACAATATAGCTAGTTTTGTTAATAATGTTATTTCATGATTTTTGGAAGTATTTCCTGAATTACTCAGATATAATTACAATAACATGAATCATTGAAAATCGTTAACAATATACTAGGTTCAAACTTCAACAAGCTTCATCAGCTGGTTCAACTTCAACTCAACTTCATCTCATGCAAGCAAATTACCTTCAATAATTCTTCAGGATCTGGAGTGATAGTGTTCATCAAGACCCATCCACCAAGGAGACTTCCTCCCATAATACCAATGGACATAACATAGCGAAGTACTTTCGACATGTTGACTCCTGAAAGGATAAATTACCTATTATGAACAAATATCAAAAGCATGACCATGTACAAGCCGGTATCGGAGCGGAGGTAGGGTAATTATTGTGTAACATAAACACAGATGGAGTTAGGACATAGATTGTTCTCCGTTAGCTAAATATCGGAGACACTAAAATTGATTATAGACCCGGGAGATAAATGAGCACCACTCTTATCTTATTTCTATGAAGCGCTAAACGGGCCAGAATTTCTCGTGCGAATCGCGTGCACCTGTTTGACGTGTTTTTATCTATGATTATTATTATTGTAGTGATAGCTACATGTAGTTTAACAGAGTCTGCAAATACAGACTAGCATGTATAACTAAATATAGAATGACCTGCAACCCATGACTCATGCCAGGTCATGTTATGAAACAATGAGTACTTGTACAGGGGATGCCTACAAAGATGTCTGACTGACATAGAGCCTCAATAAAGCTATACAACTTATTAGTTCAATCAAAGCTCTCCAACTGGTCTTTTATAAGAACATAATATGGTGTCAGAACTTAGCAGCCAGTGTTTGTGCTGAGCAACCCAGCCTGCAGTATATCTATGGAGGAATCATTGAAATCAGGCCAGTTCAATCCAATTCTTTGTGATGTGAGAGATGATTAGAGTCTAAGTGTATGTCCAGTGAATGTAGTTATGTCCATAATAGTTAGCGCTGTCGTTGTATGGATTGGAGTGCATAGTTCTGTGCCGGGCCAGTTCCAGTATAACGGGCAGTAAGCGTGACATATATGGGACATGAACATACAGGATAACTCAGTGAAAGTTAATAGTTGAGCTTAAAGTAATTGTTGCAAAGATACAAAAAGAAAAAGCTAATTGTTATGCTGTTCATGTGAGTGATTACACTAGGCTAAGAAACAAAATGGCAAATCTCAGTCAACCTCCTCCACTCGACTTCAAGGGAAATATGTCCGAGAACTGGAGAAGATTTAAACAGAAATTCACTCTATACAATGTTGCCTCAGGAATGTCTGAAAAAGATGAAAAGTTACAAACATCAATGCTTCTACACGTGATTGGCGATGCTGCCTTGGAATTGTATAATACGTTTGTATTTGCTGAGGGTGAGAGCATGAAGCTTGAGAAAGTGTTGAACAAATATGAGGAATATTGCATGCCGAAACGTAATCTAACGTATGAGAGACATAGATTTTTCACAAGATCTCAGTTAGTGCATGAGAGTGTTGATCAGTACGCAACAGAATTGCGGAGTCGTGCTCAGTCATGTGAGTTTTCCATGTTGAAAGAGAGTCTTATCCAGGACAGAATTATCTGTGGTATTTTAGACGATGGTCTAAGAGAACGTTTGTTGAGGCAAGATGATCTTACATTGGTTAAAACGTTGCAAGTATGTCGTGCGGCTGAACAAACTCGAACGCAGGCACAAGCGTTGAGTTCCGCAGGGGAAAACGCTTCAATTCCGGTAGATTCTTTCAGCAAGACTAAGAAGAAATTTCCTGGTTCAAAGTCAAAACGGTCAGAACCTCAAGGTCGTACTAAACGTGATGCATGTAGCAGGTGCGGAAACCGACATAGCAAAGACAAATGTCCCGCACAAGGTCAAACATGCAAGAAGTGCGGTAAGCAGAATCATTTTGCTAAATGTTGTAAAACCCCAGTAGCCAAGGTCAATGAACTGCAGCACTTGGAGGTAGATTCAGAAGGTTTCATGATTTGCTCTGTTGAATCAAAAGAATCCAAGGATGAATGGATAGTTAATCTACTAGTCAATAACCAGCCGGTTGACTTCAAGGTTGATACTGGTGCTCAGGCGAATCTTCTTCCTGAGACAGTATTTCACAAGTTGAAACCAAAACCAAAGCTACAGAAAGCCAAAGTTTTGTTGACAGGTTATTATGAGACAGATATCCCGGTCAAAGGTCGTTGTTGTGTACAAGTTGAGTACAAAGGGATCAAACGCAATGTGCCGTGTCTAGTCATTCCTGGAAATCGTCAGCCTTTGTTAGGATTACGGACGAGTGAAGACTTGTATCTGGTGAAACGGGTGTATCATGTTGAGAAACAAACTGAACACGGAACGGGTAAAAGTGTAGTTCAAGACTATCAAGATGTGTTTGTAGGTCTAGGTTGTCTTCCTGGTAAACACCACATCACATTGAGAGAGGATGCACATCCTGTTCAGCATGCATGTCGCAAAGTTCCATTTCCACTTAAAGATAAACTCAAAGACGAGTTAGATAAGATGGAACGAATGGACGTAATCACACGAGTTGATGAGCCAACTGATTGGGTTTCTTCTCTCGTGGTGGTGATGAAAAAGAACGGTCAGCTCAGGGTCTGTCTAGATCCAAGAGACCTGAACCGAGCAATCAAAAGAGAACACTATCAATTGCCATCAAGAGCTGAAATAACTGCACATTTTGCAGGAGCCAAATACTTCAGCAAGTTAGATGCATCTAGTGGTTTTTGGCAGATCCAACTAGATGACGAAAGCTCCAAACTTTGTACGTTTATCACGCCATACGGAAGGTACAAGTTCTTGAGACTACCTTTTGGTATTTGTAGTGCTCCGGAAGTCTATCACAAGATAGTGCACCAACTGTTTGCACATATTCCGGGAGTTAACACAATGATGGATGATGTGATTGTATGGGGAACTACCCAACAGGAGCATGATGACAGATTGAGAGAGGTTCTCAGCATTGTGAGAAAAATGAATCTCAAGTTGAACAAAGACAAATGCGAGTTCAATGTCAAGAAGCTCACATTCATTGGTGACTTGATCAGTGATCAAGGAGTTCAACCTGATCCAAAGAAAGTGTCTGCTATCTTGAACATTGAGAGACCGAAATGTCGGAAAGATGTCCAACGGTTCTTGGGTATGATCAATTACCAAGGGAAGTTCATTCCAGATCTGTCGACCAAGTCAGCAGCGCTGAGACATCTACTAGACAAAAAGAATGTATGGACATGGGATCATGCACAAGAGGATGCATGGAATCAGCTGAAACAAACTCTGATACAAGAGCCAGTCCTACATTTCTATGACAGCAAGAAACCAACCAAGCTGTCAGCAGACGCATCAAAGGATGGTATTGGTGCAGTGCTACTACAGCAATATGATCAAGATTGGGTTCCGATCGCATATGCATCTAGATCAATGACTGATGCAGAGACTAGATATGCACAGATCGAGAAAGAATTGCTGGCAATCACATACGCATGTGAAAGATTCCATCAATACATCTATGGACAACAAGTAGAAGTGGAGACTGATCACAAGCCACTTATTCCACTGTTTGTAAAGTCACTGGGTGACTGTCCCCTACGCATTCAAAGGTTACTCATCAGGGTACAGAGATATGATCTCAAGGTCTTGTACACGCCTGGAAAGTACATGTATACTGCTGATACATTGTCCAGAGCAGTAGATCCAAAGGCTGAGCTGAATGCTGAAACTGAGGAAGATATCAGAGTCTACGTAGATGCTATTGTCAAGAGCATGCCAGTTACATCGAACAAACGAAATCAGATTGTCGAAGAGACAAAGAAAGATGATCAACTGCAAGAGCTGCTAGGCATCATCAGAGATGGTTGGCCGGAAACGAAGCAGCAATGTCCAGTTCGAGTCAGGGAATACTGGAACATCAGGAGTGAACTCTCTGAAGCAGATGGCATCATCTTCAAAGGCAGCAAAATAGTGGTTCCCACTACGATGAGAAGGTTCATGCTAAACAAAATCCATGAAGGACACTTAGGCATCGAGAAGTGTAAGAAACGTGCTAGAGAAGTCATCTATTGGCCCAGAATCAACACAGACATCACTGAAATGGTCCTAAGTTGTACTTCATGCCTAATGTCCAGACCAAAACAGGTCAATACTCGATCAGTGAGGGGAAGAAAGGAGGATCATAAGGTGAAGCAAAAAGAGCGATTCGACAAACATGCTCGAGACTTGTCAAAGCTAAAGCCTGGAGATCATGTCATACTCCAAGACATGAAAACCAACACCTGGTCGAAACGTGGTATTCTCAGGTCTGTCCAGGATCGAAACAGATCATACCAGATCGAGACAGAAACAGGAGATATACGTCGCAGAAACAGACGTCACCTCAGGCCAGTCCCACGTCAACAACAAGCCGAGTCTATTCCACTACCAACACAGGATGACTTCGAGCTAGATGACACTGCAGAAGCTACAGAGCAACCAGCATCTGAAGAAAGCTCAACTATGTCATCAACCAGAACCAGAAGCGGACGAGTTATTAAACCGCCAGATCGCTTGAACTTGTAAATAAATGAAAGCGAACTACAGAGAAAGACTTTCGCGTTTTTTAAATAGTTTATAGTTACAGAGTTCAACTTGGACTTTAAAACATAACTGCAGGATTGCATGAGCATGATATATATATTTGCATGTTATAGTTTAAAAATATAACCGGATTCAATTAGTCACTTTGATTACAGAAATCAACAGATATCACTCAACCTCAACGGAGAATTCCAGTTTCGCGAATCGCAACCTTGAAAGATATGGACTGTCGCGTAATAAGTTATATATTTGAAAGCGACAGTACTCCAGCTTTAAGGGACAGAATAATGCCCTAGTACAGTCGCGAGTGTACAGGTAGTCCACCCTGTCACTCTGTACAGTTTAAGAAGTTTTATATATGTATATGTAAACCTCTTTTAAAGAAGGGAGGTGTAGTGATAGCTACATGTAGTTTAACAGAGTCTGCAAATACAGACTAGCATGTATAACTAAATATAGAATGACCTGCAACCCATGACTCATGCCAGGTCATGTTATGAAACAATGAGTACTTGTACAGGGGATGCCTACAAAGATGTCTGACTGACATAGAGCCTCAATAAAGCTATACAACTTATTAGTTCAATCAAAGCTCTCCAACTGGTCTTTTATAAGAACATAATAATTATAACATCATTATGACATATTATTACGTCATTATCATAAGTATCATTACTTTAATTGTAATTTTTATTAATATAGTAATAATATTATCATTTTTATTATTATTACTATCATCATCATTATTATTTGCACCGAGAATGATACGCTTGAAACTAACATTAATTTCTATCTCAATTCTCATGCACCCGTGTGCCCACCATCATCACCCCCACCCCGTCTCGAAAGCTTCCTATAGTCGTACGGCTTCTTC